AGAAAAATCAGAGAATGTTGGTGGTGCCTTGTAAGTTTTTTTGGTAATTAAGTAAAGCGATTGCGTGTGTGTCACATCCAGTTGAGAGATAGTGAGAGTTGTGATGGGTTGCGCCGCCTCAAAGGTAGAGAACCTTCCGGCGGTGGCATTGTGCCGAGACCGGTGCAAGTATCTGGAGGAAGCTCTCTGCCAGGCCCAAGCCCTGGCCGATTCCCACGTCGCTTACTTAGCCTCTCTCAGGACCCTTGGCCCCGTTCTCCACCGTTTCTTCCATGACATTCCTGCAGGTACTGGACCGCCGCCGGCGCCACCAGAATCAGACTCGCACCTCCAATTCCCTTCCGACTCTGAATCCGAATACAAAGAGGACCACACTGATAAACAGTTGGGAGAAACGCCGACACCAGTTTCTGTGCATGATCAATGTTTCAGGAAAAGGGAGGAGGAGGCCTTCAAAAATTTAGGCGGCAGACTGACTTCCAAACTCCCTCCTCCACCACCGCCTCCGGTCAGCTCCACTTGGGATTTTCTTAATCTCTTTGATGCCTACGAGAGGGAGAGTTACCTAGCACCCCTTTATACTTGCACTACTTTGGTTCCTGAAGAAGCTGCTCATACTTCTGCACTTGCTGCTGCCGCTGCTGACAAAATCAATAACGAGATCAATGTTAAACACAATACTAAAAATATTGACGATGATCAGGAAAGGGAGAGTAGGTCGCCGGAGAAGGGTAAGACGACTCACATGGCGACGTTGACCGCAACTCCTCCGTCTGTCTCTGTCTCTCCCACTGTCCCAGAAGCAGCAGAGGCGATGCGAGAGCTTCATCTTCTGTTTGACAAGGCGTCTGAGTCCGGTAATCAAGTTGTATTGTCGCTGCGGTCTCATCATCTCACAATTTCTCTTGATCAGGGTAATTTATCCATTTTAATTTTCTCAATCAATTTTTAATATTATTCCAGATTGTTAGATAAAGATAAATTTAATACATAATTAATTTGACGAATTGGCGTTGGAGAAGCAGAGTATGGATTTGATGACCAGGAAGGCTTGGTTATGAGTTCACAGAACCTTTCTTACACTCTGAAGACGCTCTTCCTGTGGGAAAAGAAACTTTACCATGAAGTCAAGGTATGTAATATGTATGTGCTGCTTTTCCTTCACTAGCTTTGCTGATTAATCACCTTTTTAAGCATAATCTTGACTATTTAATCATGCTATATATATAATTAGGCTGAGGAAAGATTGCGCGTTACGCACGAGAAGAAGAGTAGAATGCTGAAACATTTGGAACATAGCAAGGGTACTACTACTAGTGCTGCTGAGTCTCCCAAACTCAACTCCCTTCGCAGTGCAGTCCGCGATCTTTTAACAAAAATGAAAATTGCAATTCAGATTGTTGACAGAATATCAATTACCATCAATAAGTTGAGGGACGAGGAGCTATGGCCGCAGATTATCGAATTCATCAACAGGTATCTCTACTCTATACCATCACCATTCAAGAGTGATTGATTCTATGAAATGTTAAAGTGATTAGTGGACTGGTTGATGTGCTTGTAGGTTACTCAACATGTGGAAAGCTATGGTAGAATGTCACAAGAGTCAGTACCAAGCAATGGTGGAAGCCAAGGGTTTAGATGGCGTTGCAATATCCAATTCAAAATTAAGCGGTGCACATAAGGTTGAAACTGCAATTCAACTCAAGTTAGAGCTTCAAAACTGGAATGTGTGCTTCTCCAAATGGATTGTCGCCCAAAAGGGGTATGTAAAAGCATTAAATGGATGGCTTCTGAGATGTCTTCTACACGAACCGAATGTGGGCGATCAAGAATTAACAGCCGACGAGGGTATTGGAGCACCGCCTGTTTTTGTGATGTGTAATGAGTGGTCACAAGCTATGGATAGACTCTCAGAGAAGGAAGTTGTTGAAGCCATCAGGGGATTCTGGACTAGTATACATACGCTCTTAATGGAAGACAACAATAATAATGTAGAAATGGTGCAGCAAAGGATGGTAGCTGAAAACAAAGATATAGCAAGGAAAGTAAAGTTTTTGGAGGAAGAGGAGGGGAAGGAGCAGAAGATATTGCATAAGCTGATGCGTGGTAGAGGAGGGAAAAAGAACGTTGGTTCGAGTAGTTTGCGAGCAGGAGAAGACGAGTCACACGGAGAGAGAGTGCAGCAACAGAGTAGTAGTGATCTAGTGTGGGATCTGAAGCAGACATTGATGGCGATGGAGAAATTCACTGCAAACTCATTGCAAGCATACAATGAGCTTCATGCACACATTGAACTAGAGCAAGTCAGCTGCAGGCAATCTGGAATATCTGGATGATGAATTAATGACAACCTTGGCTTAATTCTTCGGATACCAAATGATTAGTTTGTTGTTTTGTTGCCATGGGTGCTTAAGGTTTTGCTCGTCAAATTAGCAATAAGATCAGACACCTGGAAGTTATATAAATTGGCCTTGTCTTATTATGCAATTATATATGTTGATCACCTGTTACAAGAATTTTGGAGATGCAAATATTGCTTATTATAAGGCAAAACAAATGGGTTTATCCATTACTAATTCCATGCTTCCTCTGACCTAGTGACAACCTTTTGGGAGGGTCATCCCAACTCCGGTGCAAGAAGTCGGACAAATTTACATATACATGCACATAAGGTGTATGAAGCTCAGCTCTTTGTAGTACAAACTTGCACATGCAATAACAACATATCCGACCTACAACAGTTTTCGCAACAATAAATTTGTAAACGGGTGCGTGAGAATTCAGACTTGAGACTTCTTTCAAAAGCGGGCGGTGACGATGGTGATGGAATGCATATTTTAATACTATAGGAGCTGATTTTTGTGTACTTGTTCTTCGCTTTATGCACACACTCTTCATTTACATATATCTTTTGCCTTAATATATATATTTTTGTGAATTAGCCAATCCATAAGACGTCCCTCATTTCCCTCATTTCCCTAATAGGTGAGTCGCAAAACAAAACTTGGGTGATGGTTAGACTTCTTATTTAAATCATTAAAAATAATCTAAATAGATGATCTTTTTTTAACATTTTTTATATTTAACATAAAATATAAAAAATGTTAAAAGGAATTCAAAGGAATTCCAGGATTTCAAAGGAATTCAAGTTCCAGAATTTCAGTCGGTTCAGTCCCCTTATCGACCTTTCCTTCCAGACTTTCAGTAATCCAATTCCATTTGAAATTTTGAACACCCAACATTGTGACGGACGTTCAGTACCCCTTTTTTGGTTTTGCTCTCTCACACTATGTTTAGAAAATTTGTCTCCCTTAAACCCTAATCCATCCTTCCCATCTCCTTTCATTTAGAGAAAGCAAAATCATTCAAAGAAAGCAAAAAGAATGAACTTAGAAGATGATGTTTCTATGGAAGAAGTAGATGATTATGTTATAACTAGAGAGATCATGGAGCTTGACGAAAATTGAAGCTGGTAAGTAGCGCCACCATGCTCATCCGTCGGACAATTCCAGATTTTGTTCATAGTATTTTTTTTTCCAGTAAACTCCCGTTTTTCAATGTCTGATTTGTTCCTCAGGGAATATGAATTGGGATTTTTGCCTTGTTTTACTTTAGAATTTGTGCTCTTTTTTTAAATCCACGTCTACGGTTTAGTGTTTTTTTTTTTTGGAATAATTACTAAAATATTTTTATCCCTAGGATTTTGGTTGCTCAATCCAGATACTTTTTGCTTCTTAATGAGGAGATCCACAACATAAGAAAGTTATAGGGAATAGAGAATGAAATTATTCAAACTGTGATGCAACAATTAAATTTTATTTTACTCTAATTGCAACGGTGATGAACCAAGTGTTTCGAGTGGCTTGTTTTGGCCCAGAGAACGTTTTTTTGGAAGGGTTTTCTTACGAGCCCCAGGAGAGGTTCCAAATGTTATTTGAGGGCCTAGCTTGTAAGAATGCCAAGCAGAAAAGACATCAACCATTAGGCTATCTCTAACCGATGGTTGGCCAGAGGGCTCGTTTTAGCCCTTTGGCCCTCCAAGATTCTCCAAGATATTAATATTTTAATGAACAATACATGGCCATATTTGCCTCCGTCTCCAACCAAGGGCCATAGGACTCGTCTTAGCCCTGTCACGAAAAACCGTCTCCAACCGAGGGCCAAAGGGCCAAACATAATTTATTATTTAAATTTAAAAACTACAACAACTTAAATTCAAATTCAACAACTTAAATTTAAAAACTACAACGATAACTGGCCCAAAAAACCAAAAAAATTAGAACTTAAATTTAATGAATGGTTTAGGTATTTATAGGGGAAAAAAATTAGAATTTTTAAGAATTAAAAAAAAAGGCCCAAAAAACCAAAAAAAAAAAAAAATTTGAATACAACGGCTAGCTGACTAGCCGTTGTATTCAAAATTTTTTTAAGTTATATTCTTGTCGGTTATAACCGACAGGAATGCTATATTTTATGGCCAGCCCTCCAGCCCTCTAGCCCTCTCCGATTCTGTGGGGCCCTCTCAGATTCCACAGACCTCTGGCCTAGCCTTCGGTTGGAGACGGTTTTCGGGCTATTTTCGGTCATCTGGCCCTCTGGACCCTTCGATTAGAGATGGCCTTAATGAAGTGAAAAGATCATCCTGTTCATACCAAGTGCAAATTGACTTTTAAAGACAAACATATTGCAGGACAAAGTAAACTGCTGAAGGAAGTAAAAACATGGGTTCGGGCTTGAGAGATGATTTACTTGAGTAAGCACCTCCATTTTCAATCCTGATCAAACGTGTAGGCTGAAGATTAGAAGACCTCGGGGTTTTTTTGTTCCTTTTTTTTATGGCTTTTAGAAAAAAGTAATATTATTTGTTTATATTCTTTTTTTAAGAGAAATTTATCTCTAATTATATATAGGGTTATTTTAGGAATAATACTGAGTGAGAAAATAACATTTTAATTTTTTAACTTTTTATAATAGATGTAAATATAACGTAGGTGACAAAATAAGATAACTGAATGGGTGCAGTAGCTCTCAAGAAAATTAGAAAAAGGAAAAAAAAAAAGGCAGAGATTGGTCTCTGCTGGATGCGAAGCTATAATTACCATAATACCCTTGATGGTATGGAAAGGACAATTTTTTTTTTTAGAAACATATGGAAAGGAAATTCAACTGTTGGAGGAAACAGGGAGAGAGACAGAGGCTTTGCCAGTGCAGACAGAGAGAGAACACAGGCAGGCAAGCAAGCAAGCAATGCCATTGCCATTGCCAAGGAAAAGAAAGCGGCACTGAGTCAACTTGGCCGAGTTATGGGGTGCTGCGAGTCGTCTTTTATACATGCACGTCAACACCAGCACCACCCCTTGGACACCTTCAGCGCCTTCGCCGCCGCCAACCGCACTCCTCAACCGTCCAACGGTCGAGCCGATGCCGCCGGAGCCGGAGCAGTGCCTGGATTCTCGGAATTCTCGCTGGCCGACTTGAAAGGCGCCACAAATAACTTCAGCTCCAACTTCATCGTCTCCAAGAGCGGTGAGAAAGCCCCCAATGTCGTCTACAAGGGCCGCCTCCAGAACCAAGATAACCGTCGTTGGATTGCCGTCAAGAAATTTTCTAAATTGGCCTGGTCTGACCCCAAGCAATTCGCCGTATATAATCACACACACTCTCTCTCCTTCTTCTCCATTCATTATTTATTATTATCCCTCCATCTGGGAATTGTGATTAGGGTTTTCCATTTCCAATTGAATTGAGAAATTTGAACTTTGGGGAATAGGATGAAGCTTGGGGCGTTGGGAAGCTGAGGCACAAAAGGCTTGCCAATTTGATAGGGTATTGCTGCGACGGCGACGAGAGGCTGCTGGTGGCGGAGTACATGCCTAATGATACCCTTGCCAAACATCTCTTCCACTGTTTGTGCCTCCTATATTCTTCAATGACTTTGTTTCTTATACAATTCTTGGATTTTCATTTCTAGACAACAGGTTTGACACATTGCTTGAAATAAATGCATTTGTTCTGCTCGAGCCTCTAATATTGTAATCTCAAACCACTTCCACAAAGCTGATTCATTATCTACACGTATGCTATTTTCATTTCAAAATGTGACTGCTTTTTTGCTTTTCCCATTCTCATATTCTTGACAAGTGACGTTGGAAATTTATTGCCTATAACTTTTCAAAGTGCTCGAGATATAAATTCCTCTCAAACTTTCTTGACAGGGGAGAATCAGACCATTGAGTGGGCTCTGCGACTAAGAGTTGCTCTGAACATTGCCGAAGCGTTGGATTACTGCAATAGTGAAGGCCACCCGTTGTACCATGACTTAAATGCATATAGGGTTCTCTTTGATGAGGTGTTGTCTCGAATTTCCTTCCCCAAAATTTGAATATTTAGTTTTTCAGTTTTTACAAGCAGTGAGATAATATTAATCACAGATCACTGGCCCTTTTTTGATAAGTACACATATTTCTTCCTGTGTTAAGACTTTTTATCTGAAAACTGCATGGATTTATATGACATCAAAGTGGTCATTTTGTGGATGGTGTTGGCAGAACGGTGATCCTCGGCTTTCGTGTTTTGGATTGATGAAAAACAGCAAGGATGGAAAAAGTTACAGCACCAATCTTGCGTACACACCTCCTGAATATCTAAGAAATGGTAATTGTTTATTTTTTATACACCTTAGGGAGGGATAAACTGAACTCTAACCGAGGCAGTGAGTAAGATTATATGAAGCAGGAGTGATATTGTATAATCTGCTGGGCTTAATGAAGCCTTTGACAAGTTTCTTCCATACGTTGTGTGGATGCTGCAGGAAGGGTCACTCCAGAAACTGTTACATTCAGCTTTGGGACTGTCCTTTTGGATCTGCTCAGTGGAAAACACATCCCTCCCAGTCATGTAAGTATTTACTGTGCCATGCACTTGTTCTGCAGTCAGTCGGTTTGGAATGGACCCATAATCTAATAGTTAAAATGCAGTGCTTCTTCTATTTGAGTTGTGCAGAAGTCCAGATTCAGTATGATCACAGAGGAGTTGTTTGTTAAAATGCCTCTTGCTCATACGTGTTTAGTACTCGGCATTAGGGAACCCCTTGTTTTTAGCGTGTGGTGGTAAAATATAGTTGCATATACACAAAATAAGTTTTGCACACATGAGTTGACTTTCCTTGTAGCGGTTATTTATTTACTAATATTTATTTTTTTAACTGATATTGAATTTGTGATAGTTGAAGTAATAGGTTGAGATTGATCGCAAGACACTGATGTCGAAGAGCAGCTTGTAGCTTGGATCATAATTTTATTCCTCTATTCCTCTGATTTTGTCTGGATAATCTCGTAGTTTCTAGTACATAATTATGTAGGCTGGTTTTGATAAACAGAATCTCCTTAGAATCGATGTTTGTGTTGATGCAGGCTATTGATATGATTCGTGGAAAAAACATTCTTCTCTTAATGGATTCACATCTGGAGGGAAAATTTTCAACTGAAGAAGCAACTGTGGTCTTTGATCTTGCCTCACGATGTTTGCAATATGAACCCAGGGAGCGACCAAATATCAAGGACCTTGTTGTAACAGTTGCTCCATTGCAAAATAAATCTGATGCAAGTCTTCTTGTCTTTTCCCCACGTGAATGCAATGATTTGTTATCTTCTTTAAGTTTGTCTCGTAAATATTACCATCACAGCAATTTTAAATACCTTTACATAATCCCAAACATGCTTAGTCAGCGTTTTTTTTATGACGATGATGATGCTTTGTAGGTCCCTTCTTATGTGATGCTGGGAATTCCTAAGCACGAGGAAGCACCTCCGACTCCACAACATCCTCTTTCAGCCATGGGTGATGCCTGTTCAAGGATGGACCTTACGGCCATCCATCAGATTTTGTTAATGACACACTACAAAGATGATGAAGGAAGCAATGAGGTAATTGAATTGTGCAAAAGTAGGTTTAGATGGTTCTCTGGTTGCCCTTCTGAAAGTTTTTGTCTTTGGCATTAGTTGTCTTTCCAAGAATGGACTCAGCAAATGAAAGATATGTTGGAGGCAAGAAAACATGGGGACTTGGCGTTTCGTGACAAAGATTTTAGATCTGCAATAGACTGCTATTCCCAGGTATTTGTTCTGTAATATACAGAGAATGTGTTGTGCCCAAGGGGAAAGTATCAACAACTTTGAACCTGGTGAGTCTTTCAGGGATTAGGGTAGTTCAATTCTTCTCCCCTAGATAATGAGTGTTGAATTTATCACGATTTCATCGTACAAGGGACAGTGCTGCTGGAAGTTTGTTGATAAATGAAATCTCGATCGTGATGTTGAGAAAAACCATATTCATATGAGAGTCTAAGCAGTTTTTGTAATTGGCACATTGTCTTCTTGAACTGTGCAGAACTTCATACAGTACAGAGGATTTATAAGGGGCTGATGATTCATGTCATGATGTTTAGATTTACAGCCATAATTTTTCTGCAATGTTCCCTTTGTTATGATTCATTAATTTCATAGAACTGATATTACAGTTCAAAGATGTTGGGACTACGGTTTCCCCTACGGTGTGTGCAAGAAGAAGTCTATGTTATCTCCTTTGTGAACAGCCAGATGCTGCCCTCCGAGATGCAATGCAAGCACAATGTGTCTACCCTGACTGGTCCACTGCATTTTACATGCAGGGAGTTGCTCTTGCCAAGCTAGATATGCACAAGGATGCAGCCGACATGCTGAATGAGGCTGCTGGCCTTGAAGAAAAAAGACGTCGCGGAGGGAGATGATGGGAGAGAAGAGGATCCTGAAATGCTCTGTAATTATTTTTTGTTGCATTGAAGTTGCTTCAGCTGTTGTAACTTGTAACAGAAGTATAGGGTTATCGAGTACAATGGGGTAGGAGAAAGTTGTATCAGTCCAGACGTGTGCAATATATAGGTAGAGGGAGATGCTTGTATCTTGTGTATCAAGTACCGCGCCATTCTTTTCCTCTAATTTTTCATTGAATAACTAATTGGTTCTTAATGTGTACTTGTGTATATGAAACTTGTGATACATCATTTTTATGATGTCACGGAGCGATGGTTAATACGTGAATTTGCTCGAGTCTAGTGTCTATCCAGCTATCCAACGTATAGCTCGGCCTTTCCATCAATGAAGAGGCTCATGAATTCTTCACCATCAACAGTTTCCTTCTCTATGAGGAGCTGGGCAAGTTTGTGGAGGATATCGATGTGAGTTGTGATGATCTGTGTGGCCCTCGAATAAGCTGTCTCTACCAATTCCCTAACCTCTCCATCCACAATATCAGCAGTTGCCATGGAGTAGTCCTTTTGGGACGACATCTGCAAATTCAAACATACATTTTCCATCAGTTCTCTTGTATCTCATAGGCATATGATGAAACAGTGAATAAACTACGGTAAGTAATCGTTTATAGTACCATTTGCCCTAAGAAGGGATTGCCACCAGAGGCACCCACCGCAATTTGTCCAATCTTTTTGCTGAATCCAAATCTCTCAACCATCTGCCTTGCCACCCTTGAAACTCGCATGAAGTCGCTTGATGCCCCTGTTGTCACATTCTCCTGACCAAAGCTAACTTCTTCCGCAACCCTGCAACAAAATGGAGACCGGGTTCAGAACATAAGTTCCCACACAATCTTCAATACAGCCCAAATGCAAAACGGAAGAATGAATAGACTGTTTGAAAGCAGTTTAAAACGAAGAGTTTGAATAACTGACCTTCCACCGAGGGCAACAACCATTTGATTCTCCAGGTAGCTTCTACTGTACAGTCCAGACTCAAGTCTCTCTTCACTTGGAGCGAAGAAGGTGAAACCGCCAGCTTGGCCACGAGGGATGATGGATATCTTAGCAACAGGATCATATTCAGGCATCAATGCACCAACAAGAGCATGCCCCGCCTCTGTAAAGAAGTCACGGAATAGATGAATAAACCATGGTTAACATCGGATGATAGCAAAATCACGAGTTAACATCGGATATGAGGGGAGAACTGATCTTGTTCTATGTATATACCATGGTAGGCGACTAATTTCTTCTTGTCTTCAGAGACAACAGCATTTTTCTTCTCTGGTCCAGCAATGATCCGCTCCAGAGCATCGGCGATCTCATCCTTACTTATTTCTTTGAGGTCACGTCTGGCTGCGAGAATGGCAGCCTCGTTCATCAGGTTCTGCAGATCGGCGCCAGTGAAACCGGGTGTTCTCCTCGCAATTTTGTCAAAGTCCACATCCTTAGCAAGCGCCTTCCCTCTAGAGTGCACCTGCCATTCAAAAATGCTTCAGCTGAGACTTGAGAGAATGTGGAATGTACAATTCTAGCATAACACCTTCAACCACACTTAAAACTCGAGCAAACGTGCAAACTAAAACGGTTTACAAGCATGCATAAAATACAATTTACAGAAAATAATTGCTTAAGCATATATGTATATGGATTTCATGCTAATTAAGAATGATAAGCTAGTAGCCTAGTCCTCATACCAGGCATTAGTTACTCACCTGCAGTATTTTAACTCTGCCAGCAACATCGGGCCTGTCGACGGTCACCTGTCGGTCAAACCTTCCGGGCCTCAACAACGCCGAGTCAAGAACATCCGGCCTGTTGGTTGCCGCCAAAACAATCACACCGGAATTACCAGAAAACCCATCCATCTCCGTCAGCAGCTGATTAATAGTCTGCTCCCTCTCATCATTCCCGCCGCCCATCCCCGCGCCTCTCTGCCTCCCCACCGCATCTATCTCATCGATGAACACAATGCACGGCGCTTTCGACTTGGCCTTCTCGAACAAGTCCCGCACTCTCGACGCCCCCACTCCCACAAACAACTCCACGAACTCGGAAGCCGCGCACGAGAAAAACGGGGTCCCAGCCTCTCCGGCCACGGCGCGAGCCAGAAGGGTCTTGCCGGTACCAGGTGGACCCACCAAAAGACATCCTTTTGGGATTTTGGCACCGAGGGCGGTGTACTTGTCTGGGTTCTTCAAGAAATCCACCACCTCCTGCAGCTCCAATTTTGCTTGGTCAGCTCCAGCTACATCGGAGAAAGTCACCCCCGTCTCTGGAACTTCTTGGAATTTGGACTTGGACCTTCCGAAATCCATGGGGCCGCCCAGCCCGCCTGGCCCTCCTGGGCCTCCACCAGCTCGCCGAAAAAGAAGGAACAATCCGGCAAAGGCCAAGATTGGGAACAACAAATTGCCGATGAAATTGAATAGGCCACCTCCCGAATCGCCTTCGGAGACGGAAATATCGACGCCGTTCATGGCCAAAATGTCGATGAGGTCAGGGTCGTTGGGGACAACGACGGAGGCGCGGCGGCCATCGACGGCAGTTAGCTGAAGGGCAGAACCGTCTTTGACGAACCTGACTCTCTCGACCTTGCCCTTCTTGACGGCGTTGAGGAACTCGCTGTAGCGCCATTGGCTGCCTTCGGGGAGGTCAGTGGTGACCTGGGATTGGGGCTTAGGGGCGTTGAGGAGGAGGTTTTGGGAGAAAGGAGAGGAGGCGTTAGGTTTGGAAGGCTGGGCTTGGAGCACAAGTGGCGGAGTGGGAGTGGGAGTGGGCGTGTTGTCTATGGCTAGGGCGCGTTGTGGCGTGAGAAAAGAGAAGAGCAAGGCGGCTAAAGTGGCTTGGGAAGTTGCTGATTTGAATGGCTGTGAATCGGGTTTAGAGTTGAAGATGTTTTTGGTGGCGAAAAGCTTTCGCTGGGAGAAGAAGGGCAGGGGAAGTGGGAGGGATGATTTGGATTTAGAGGTGGTTTTAGGGGTGGGAGGAGAGTGGAGGATTGTGGTGGTTCCGAAGAAATTGGAAGAGAGCAAGGCGTTGGTGGCGGAAGCCATGGCTTGGGTCGGTTTGGGTTGGCTGGTGTTTGATGTTGGGTCTCCCTCTCCCCTTCTCCTCCTCTCCCTCTTGTTTTCTGTTATCTGTTATCTGTTATCTGTTATCTGTTGGATAAAAATTCAGCTATTTCTTTCGAAATTAGGAATGTGTTGAAAATACTAGTGGGTAATGAATGCCCACAGTATTGAATACCTGCCACAACATTGAAAACGTTGCCAAAGGGTTGAAAACCTTGGCAAAATTTTGATATGTGGAGATCATTTGTCAAAGATGTGTGCTTGGAGTTGCTCTATAAATAGAGCACTCCGTATGCTTCGAAGATAGAGCAGAAAAAGAAAAAGAGGAAGATGAGAGGAGAGAATACATAGAGTTATCTTTGTACTCCTATTATTTCAAATTATAATGAAAGCATCATTGCTACCTGAGGACGTACTCCAGTCACACTGACTGTAGAGGAACCTCGTAAATTTTGTGTCTTGTTTTATTTATTCCATTGTACACACATCGTCGATTTTACAACACGTTATCAGCACGAAAAGCTCTTATGTCAGTGGAAAGCACAACGCCATAAATCCGATGAAGCACTATCCACCTCTCACCTCCGTCATCTAAAATCTCACAGAACAAAAGGTATGTCCATTTTTCGTCTCTCCCACTGCGCCAGAAGCGCCCCACCGAATTCCGGTGAGAATTGAAATTTACGACCTGAAGTCGTCACGAGATGAGAAAACTCGTACTTGACAACTGGTTTCCAGAGATCCAGAAGAATCTCATCAGACTTGGAAACCCAGATCACGTTGTTTTCAACGAATCTTGAGAACTCCCATGAATACTTGGTTGTTTGAGATGGTGATGGCAAGAATGAATCCACACAGGCCTCCCTCTCTTGTGCCTCTGTCAACCCCACTGTCATCTATGTCTCTGTAAGGAAGTTCTTGCTTAACGATGACATGTTCCCTGGGTCATGCAAGAACAACGCCAGTCTCTTGTAGCCTTTTGGATTGAATTGAATTTGGGCAACTTCCATAACTACCCAGCTGGCCCTGCGTTTTGAGACTGGTAGAGACAGAGAAAGAAGAAAAAAAGGGATGTTGACTGCAACATAAGAAAAATATATATATAAAAAATGATTTGAATAGTGCATGACACCATTTAGTCAAAATCATTTAAATGGTTTCTGTTGGTGCATGGCACCATGTTGCAGAAATCAGAAAAGTAACAATAGTAAACTTTGAATAAGTACTGACAAAAGAAAGAAAAATAATAAATAAAAGGAGATATGATACTTCTTGTTATTTATGTGAATTTGTGTTGGTTTAAAACCCTTTCACAAGTTCTATTTACTTTAAAGTAATTTATTTATCATGGACGGTTTTACCGCCTACTGCTTTAAGTTTTGATTTATGTGAATGGTGCTGAATTAAAGCCCTTGTCACAAGCTTTATTTACTTAAATGCAATTTATTCATTATGGCTGAAATTACCGCCTATTGCTTTAATTTATTTATTGTACTTCTTTTGTTACGATGAGTACATACTGGACCCGAAGTTCCTTGATCAGATCAGAACCTGCAGTTTCTTGATCCTCATCAAATAAAAATGATTGGACCTGAAGTTCCATCAAACAAAAAGATCGGATATAAAGTCCCTTGATCCTCAAGATTAGGACATAAAGTTCCTTGATAAGTATCTTAAGTTTGAAGTGCCGCAGTGCCTCAACTTAATTGCAATAAAAAAAGCCATAAGAGTCTCGGTCTGTAAGACTATTAAATAAGGACCAGAAGTTCCTTATGTCCATACTCAAAAATGGTTTAGCAGAAGTATTTATTAAGCGGATGAAATTAATTACCCGCGTTCTGCTGATGAAAATAAAATTGCCAGTTTTTACATGGGTACATGTCATTTTACATGATGCATTATTGATTTGGTTGAGACCTGTTGACAACCATCAATACTTCTCAGTACAACTCGTGTTTGGGAACCAGCCAAACATTATATATTTACGAGTTTTTGGTTGTGTTATCTATGTGCCTATTGCACTGCCACAACATACTGAAATGAAGCATCATTACGGATTAGGCATTGATGTTAAACATCATCTATCATTCAATATTTAAAACCCTTGACTGGGGATATATTTACCGCGTGGTTTGCGGACTGTCATTTTGATAAGACAGTTTTCCTGCCGTTAGGGGGAGAAAATAACTTTGTTTCAGAAGAACGATGAGCAAATATCATTCCAGAAGAATGATGAGAAAAAACCGTTCCAGAAGAACGAAGAGAATTTGTCGTATTTTGATTCATGAAGCAATCAATATACAAAACAAAGTGAGAATAATTGAATGATGCAACGATATGCAAATCAAATGCCAAATGCATTTAATGATGCAACGAAAATGATAAAATCACATATACTTGCTGCAAGTGTGCCTACAAGAATTAATGTCCCTATTGAACAAAATAATATGGCAGCAAATGATTTATCTGTTGCACGCCTGAAGCGTGGCAGATCCTCAGACTCAAAAGGTTCAGTCCTTCGAAAGAAGAAGAATATGGCACTACTGAACTATTGCATAACTGTCACATGCCAAACGCATAACAGTTGCCGCAAGGATACTTGTCCCGAAAAGGTTAATCCGCGGATATGGGAATATTGATGTCTCATGCATGAAGCATGACAAACGTATAAGTTCCAATGACTTAACTCCCGAAGTGGAGATTAAAAATCCAAGCTCTATAACGCTCAAGAGGAGGTTATGATCTGTATTCTCTAAACTATAACTATCCTGGAAGAGATAGTGTAATGCCCTTGAAGAGGCAATGGATATCCCAAAAGAAATGAAAAGTTTTTATGCATGCGCATGCACATGAGAATATGGGATCAAAAATTGATGATAACCAATGGTAATTTTGGTTCTTACAAGTAGCTACTAAATTCATCAATGAGCTGTGGTGATATTGAGTCCCGTTCTTTTTCCATCAATGAAATTATGGGCCAAAAATGGAAATAGGCAATTCCATTACAATTTTGTAAGAACGTGGAAAAATAGACTTATATACTTGGATACAATACAAATAGCCAAAAGATGTTGAACCTAGAAGGTTACATATGGGCATTTGTAATACTGTGAAATACACTCACATGATATGACACAAGGTTGTAAAGGAGTTCATATGAATGGAGAATTATATACAAAGGGTTATGAGTCGCCCACATCATATCTCCATGAGTAAATCCCTCAAATATACATGGAAGCGAATTGCTCTGTATAAATTCTAAAGGAAAATGTGTCATGAAATGTAGAAAATCCCTGAAGGATTCAAATTGCTTGAAGAAAACCCCATAAGGGTAAAGCATAAAATATGTACTCAATACCAATGGATGGTATAAATTGCCTTAGTGAGTATTTTCATTATGGTATTGTTGCAACATACTAAAATCTCTTGCAAGAGTTGATGATATTAAATTGGGACTCCTGAAGAGTCAAGAAAGATTATAAAGTGTTGAGAGAAATATTGTCTCGAACTGCAGAATCGAACAATATGCCAACACGAATCTTATCCATGATATTTATGACATTAAAGAATCGTATGGATTGAAGATTATGAGTTGAATACTCAAATGATTTAGACACTAAGAATGATCATTTATCTTCGCGAGGGTAAAGATAAATTGATATTTGGTCCAGAAGTACCACATCTTAGTGAAATATATGCTTTATTGTATTTAACACAATACACTGAATGAAATAAAGCTTATATATTAATATCTCCGAGAAATTACATACACATGAGTTAAAACAAACAAACAGAAGGGAACCTTCACAAAGGTTACTCATGTGAAGCCTCAGTACTCGGAAGTACCCTAGAAGGGGAAAACACCAGAAGTTGATTATTTGGAGTCTCAATACTTGGTGGAACTCCAGACAGCTAAGACAATGGATGTCTTTGGAATAAAGACTCGAACCCCCGATTGTCATTTTGAGTCCGACCTTCGGATTCCAGTAGCTGGTCGAGCTTTCTTTTCATGCTCGTAGAGTAATTATTTGCAAGCATGTGTAACACTCTATTCTCATGCTTGAGCCCTCTAATCTCTTGTTTAAGACTTGCCACCTCAGCCATTAATGATTCAACTTGGTGAGTTCGAGCAAGTAGGCGCTGTCCCATATTGGATACAGAACCCGCACATTGAACACTGAGAGCCAATGAGTCTTGAACGGCCGCCTCATCAGACCGGTTTGAAAGGATTCTGTTGTCCTTTGGAGTGAGAAGATTTCTGGCTACCACTGTAGCAGTTATGTTATTCTTCATCACAGAGTCCCCAACCGTAAGAGGACCATTAGAAGTTGAGAAGGACGGGCGCCATATGTTATCCTGATGCTGCTCGTCTGTATCAATCCTGAGACTCAAATCTAAACAAATGTTAGATGGGCAAGCCATTTTCAGAAATGATGAAGGAAGTCAAATAAAATCTCAGAAATGCAAGAAAGGGAAATTTCTGCAGGCAACAATTTTTTGAGTGTTACTGAACAAAATTGATATCTCTATAAAAGGAGGGACAACAGGACCACTTATTCAAAAATTGAAGAGACACCGATTTTCGAATCTCAAAAGCTGGATTTCCCTGTATGACGTCTGTCAACATTTCTCAGACGCAATCTCAGCTCTTGGATATCACGTGCAACTTTGTCAAAGATTTCTGATAAAGTTGAAAACACGTGAATCTTACTGTTCTAATTACACCACAGTTGCTGACAAGAGTAAAGGCACAGCTTTACTACCTGCTATTGGAAAATCAATATATATGTCAACCTTTGTCCTCCACGGCAAGGCAGAACTGAAAAATATCTAACTCTTCCTCATCTCCGAGAATGCATCTTTCACAAAGTATGTCGAAATACTCAGTTTCCCCCCTCTCTGAGAATACCTCTACAAACAAGTCACACCAGAGTAAGAGTATCTCATATCATCAGGGACGAGAGCAAGAGTATCTCATATCATGCAATCTCCCTGTCCTTTCCTTTGTCCTTGTTCTTACCTGCCAAGACAAGGATAAAGAAAGCAATATGTCGGAACCTCCACTCAAACTTGCGCTGCCACCAAGAAGTGATGGTCCATTCAAATACAAGGTTTGCATTCCACTCCTGTATCAGATGACAAATACTACAAGAGAAGATGCCAAACCTGCATAAGGAAAATATCACTTCTGCAAGGAGAGAAAGTAAGGCAAGTGAAAATGATATATTGAAGCATGTGGAGACAACCACAACAAACACATGTCAGTTCATCCTCGACAAAGCCTAAGATCACTTGTCACATGAAGCTCCTCATGATCCAATTTCATTCAAGATCAAGCCTGGACGGCCTTTGAAGAAATCACAAGTCCGATTCAAGATCAAGTGTCCACCACCCTTGAATCAAATTCAGGTCCAGATAAAATAGGTAAATTCAGATCTTTGGAGGAAGTCTAGCAGAAAGGCCCTCCAACCCAGTTCAAGAACAAGTCTGTGGAAAGTTAACAACAAGTGAAACACCTCTTTCGGCAACTATCACCGCTAAAAGACTAAAGCAGCAGGATCAATGATCAGCTTAAATAATTTGAAATCAGGGGGAGATACTCATCAAGGGGGAGCATCCAAAAATAGATCAAGGTCTTAACGAGGCAACTCATGTTGATATGTGGGCATCCAAGGGGGAGTGTTGAAAATACTAGTGGGTAATGAATGCCCACAGTATTGAATACCTGCCACAACATTGAAAACGTTGCCAAAGGGTTGAAAACCTTGGCAAAATTTTGATATGTGGAGATCATTTGTCAAAGATGTGTGCTTGGAGTTGCTCTATAAATAGAGCACTCCGTATGCTTCGAAGATAGAGCAGAAAAAGAAAAAGAGGAAGATGAGAGGAGAGAATACATAGAGTTATCTTTGTACTCCTATTATTTCAAATTATAATGAAAGCATCATTGCTACCTGAGGACGTACTCCAGTCACACTGACTGTAGAGGAACCTCGTAAATTTTGTATCTTGTTTTATTTATTCCATTGTACACACATCGTCGATTTTACAACAGAATGTTTATTTTTGTTTATTTTTCTGCAGATACTAGATTAGAGGGGAAATGAATGTTAAAGAAAGTTGACTCAATTTTATAGGAAAATAAATAAATAAAGAGTCTAAATTATGAATCGTGGCTACCTGAGAACTGTGAATTGTTTATATTTTATTTGGGTGTTTGTTCTCTAGATATTTTTACTGGAAGACCCGTTTTTCACTAGGATTTTTTATTGAACAAGTTTTCTGGTTCTGCTATCTCTGCTTCAAAGTTTCGAAGAAACGGCACCATAAAATGATAAATTATTGGAATTGGATTGTTGTTGCTTGGGTTGCGCCTACGCGTTCGATATGCCATCCATCCATCCATCCGTTCATTCATTATTTGTCGTTTTTTGTTAATCCCTTTTCTCAAGGATTTTGGAAGAGGATATACATGGGTGAGGATTCAGGATCCCATCCCTTCCCCTTTTCTTTTTCCTTTCCCCCTTCAGGAGAGTAGGAGATGAGGTTTTAAGTTTGTTTTGAATTGGATATTAAGGTGAGGTTAGGCTTCCATTGGTGTGCTTATGGCCTTTCTGGACTACCATAACTGTATACCATTATCATATGTAAATGACGAAAGCACGCATGTTGTATTGTATGTAAAGTTGTGTATTCATGCAGCTCCATCATGCACACGTCCGTGTTATTGTGTTACGGCATCCTCCTAATTAGCATGTGTGTGTGTGTGTGTGTGTAAATTAATCTTCTATCATACATGGTTTTTCAATGTTTCATATTTTATATGTGGTACAGATGCACGATCGGATTGGAGGAGTAGCATGTATGTATCTGAGTATCCGTGAAGTTTCACTTGAACTTCTTAGAAGCTCTCTTGTTTTAACTTGCCCAACTGTGGAATGATTTGGTCTCATGTTCAAACATATCTACCCACATAAATATATCAGTAGTTGTGTTGAGTACCATGTCGTATACATGGAGACACGAAAAAGCATATGCACACTTGTAATATATAAACAACTAGTGATGAGATCATTTAAGCCAGTCTAACAACATTAAGAAACAAATATTTGTTTAATTAATTGATTTAATTAAGCCCATTAGTGCCTAATATCTTTGTGTATTAATATTCATGTCTGCTTTCCCCCAATCAGAACCAGGCTGGCACCCTCTCCTCATCCTCTGCTTGTATCGTGTGTCATGTATCATGTATCCTCCATCCTGTATGTATGGTATGATCAGCCTTATCGGTGGTCTAATCACCAACACCAATATATATCTTTAACATATTTGTTGCCTTACCTACCTGTAACATATCCACACTTTGTATTAATTAATGTTAAATGGAATATGCATGGAAGGAAGCTTCGTCCTGTCAAATTACTCCTACCAATTGCTCTGCTCTTGTTGTTCTTGCTCTCCCTTAATCAAATAGAGCCTTAGCTGTCTGTGTATGTTGCCAATTAAACTAAACAATTCCACAAGTCCGTACCTACTGATCGTCAAACCGATTCTTCCTGCTATACTTCCTCAAGTTAGATCCAAATATTCTGGCTAATGAAGGTCCCCAGCTATATATACAAGACCGTATCACCAAGTTTGCATATATCTGTCTATCTAAATCTCCACTCCACAAACTCTTCAACAATTGACATATCCTTGATCTGGCCGCTCATATTTGTCCATCACCTCATTCAATTACATATAAAATCCAATTAATTTCAGAAGGAATTAATGGCCATGGCATGCCCAAATTTTGACACTCTCAGAGACCTACACAACTCCGCCAATAACCTTCTCCACTCCCCGGTGATCCAACAAGCTCTCATCAACGACGTCGGACAGGAGAAATGGGTTCATCAAGTGTCAGAAGCGTCTCTAAGAATGCTGGATGTGTGCGGCATTTCCAAAGACATTCTTTCGGTCGTGAAAGAACATCTCCAAGACCTTCAAACCATGTTGCACCGAGGAAGCAGCAGCGGAGAAGCGGACAAATGTAACAAGATTGCAGCCTACAACTGCTACAGGACGAAGCTAAAGAAGGAGACGCTCAAGTGCTTGAAATATCTCAAAGGAATAAGGAACAGGTCCAATTCTAATTCTTCACAAGTATATATGGACTACAACCTTATGGTAGTTGTAGACGTGCTCAGTCAAGTGAGGGTGACTGCCGTTTCAATTGTGGAGACTCTTTTGTCCCTGATTTCCGTACCATGGCTGGAGCAGAAATCATCGGCTTACTTCCAGTTCATGTCCAAGTTTATGCGTGTGAGTGGCCGCCAACGAGTGTACGTACGATGCATGCGATGCGACGGCGCTTCAAAGTGCGAACAAAAGATTGGACGCTGTCGAGATTGCCGTTCAAGACCTTGAAGCTGAGCTAGACTGCATGTTTAGACGTTTGATTGACACCAGAGTCGCCCTTCTCAATATACTTACCAATTAACTACCTCAATTAACCCATTCATTAATTCAGTTGATCATCGGTTGGAACTTCATACCCTCCTCCTCGGCAATTGCAAACCACGATGTCACGATTCGTTCATTTTTCGTTAGGCTGCCCTACCGTGATCGAGTAACTGTGGTGTTACCAATTCTTTGATTATGTACAATAAACTCTCTTTTCCCGCTTCAGGGATCCAATAAGTAGTGTAATTGTAGTTCTACATTCCATGCAACTTATTTACGTACAAGTATATGATTTATTTTTCCACCTCCAGGGGGATTTCAAGATGAGTTGCAGAAAAATTAAAACAATTAAAGCGAAAGAAAAATGGAACGAAAAAGGGAAGTAGTTTCAACTTCACAAGGTGTGTAAAAAATACAAGCATCATAAATATAACTTTCTGAAACGGAGTTTGATGTCATCAACATCATTCATATCACAATATTTTTCTTCACAATCACTTTATTATACCGAAATCAAGAAAGATGCTCCACATGACGCTTTCACTAGTATCCCGCCTAATAAGCCGTTTATGATATCGACTCTTGGCTCTTCCACAGGAACCTGCAACAATACAGTAAAGCCTCGTTTCAATTATTTCTTTCTACCGACATTTCCTTCTATGCGAAAAATTAGTTACTGAAACGATAAAGTCTGTTTGAGAACACCCAAAAAATAAAAAATTGAAGGCCTTAAACAAAAGCAAACAAGGATAACAGGCACTGGTCCACAAACTCATGGACTTACTCAATTACTGGCCCCTTTCTTCAAATGAAAACCATGGAGGAAGCAGAGTTTCAACAAGCATAAATCAAACCAAGCCAAACTCGGCATCATGATCCTTGTGTTTAGAATTTACTTCATTCAAATATATATTAAATACTAAGTCTACGCCATAATTCTAAAATGAAAGGCATATAATCATCGATCAACAGTGTGTAAGCATAGTTACAACTGATCAGACCCAGTTGGTAGCCACTAGCCAGAGCTCTACTCTAAATAGGAGTTCATAAGTTCAAACCCAACTCCCCAAACGTCACAACTGATCAAAGAATGAAAAGTATCACATAAAGCAAACAAAATACAGTGGATCATATGAGTATATATGATAACTTAGCCAAGTATCTTTAGCTAAGACAAAGAAGGATAAACGGTACCTAATGATGATCCTCGTGGCCCTCCCAGGGGTGTCTCCAACCCTAAAAAACATATTAAGAAAGAGAGTAACTTGAGTTTATCAAATTGCAGAGAAAGGTGAAACAAGAGAAGCACATACCAAAACTACAGGACCATCCTTCTTGGCCCTGTACAGCACCCAAAACCTGATGCATCAAAATTTTGAGGAAAAAAAAAACAGTAAGCTTCACGGAAATGCACCAAGGAAAAAAAATACACAAAGCAATATTTCAATAGAAAAATAAGTCAAAGTTAGTAGTAAACTTAGAAAGTGAATAATACATTCAATCTGCAATATATCAATGCAGGGACTGAGGTTTACACCAATAGTAAACCTCTCCAAGGTTCAAACTTGAACTTTATCCCAAATTGCATGATTCCAACGATACACATTCAGTTACCATTGTCCTCTATGCTCAAGAGTTAACGCCTAGCACCAAAGCAACCTTAAACCGGTCACGGATTGAAAGAAAGAAAAAAAACGAAGTAATGTGTGATACTATAGCTTTATATACGCCAGTCAACAACCAAATATTGGCCATTATAGGAAATCCCATAATTCAATCTCGAGCAAGACGAACTTGTTGATATTTCAGCTCCATTATATTAAACAGCCACAATCCCCAACTCGAATCCCAACATTAAAGTGAATTCTAATTTCTTCCTGTTAGTATTTTCATGTCTAAGTTCCTAACCAATCGATCCCCACTTGTATTTGAAAGAACCCCAACATTCAAGTGAATGAATTGCAATTTCTTCCTATTAGCATTTTCAGGTCTAAGTTCCTAACAATCGGTGCCTTAACATGAAATTCCGAAAACATTAGAAAGTGTACCCAGAAAAAAGATTAAAACAAAAAGGCACGCAGATCCAACATAGCAGAAATTTGACCAAAGCTAATGTACGAAATCGGCAGAGTAGACGGAGTTTACCACATCACAGCACACATGCCTTTGCCGGTGAGGGTGTGCCACCGCTTAGGCTGATGCACCGTGATTCCCTTATACGTTATGCCCTCGCCGTGTCCTCCTCCCATCTTCGCCGATCACTCTCTCTTTCTCTTTCTCTTTCTCTTTCTGAGCTAGCCCTAGACTCCAAAATGAAATCTGTCTCAATTAAGAAATGCTCCAGACCCGATGACAACTCTACCATTCCCGACCCACTTTTGCTTCTCATGACGACAAAAGTTATTTCCCATCGTGGGCTTCGCTTGACTAGTTTTTCTGCAAGCCCAACTTAGTTTTTGAAACAGAATTTTTAAGTTAATGAAATTGAAATATGGATGGAATATAATAAAATAAAGCCGTTTTGAGGTTTTCTATGAAATGAAGCATGCAGCGGAGCTACTACGAAGAAAACCCAGGACAGGCCCATAGGAAAACCAAAGTTTTATTTTGCTTGCATCTTTAAAAGAGTTTATTTCTTTTATCAAATTAAATTTATTTTCAGGGATTTTTATCATACTTTTCAAATATAGTTGATGGTGCTTTTTTTTTTTTTTTTTTTTTTTTTAGAGAAATACGATAATTCATTGCAAGCAAATTTAGAATACAAACAAACTGAGAATAGTGTGCATACTTGGTCTCAATAAAATCTTGCTGAGAATTTCACTCCGATCGAAGGAAAAAAAGTGTCCCGCACAACATAAAGTACCTATCCTCAAATGTCAATACATAAACAAATTCCGAACTATCTTCGAACAAAATATGCAACTCAGGGGGTCTTCAACCAACTAAACTGATTGATTACAAAGCTTTCAACCATTTCATGCAGTGAGCGTCAACAGTGTGGCAAAGCTTTCGACCATTTCTTCCATAGTCTTTTCCACACGCTGCAACTCAGTCTCAACCACCGGTAGAGAATGTCTCCAATTAGTTGGACCAACATCCACATAGTATCAGTATGAGACCTATGCCCACAAAACTACGAACACGAAATCAAGGTAACTCGACGCCATCCCTATAGACGAAGCAGTCGTTTCTTTTAGTGAAACCTAAGAAGACCTAGAAACCCTAGACATCAATTTTACAAGAAGACCAAGACTAAACTAAAATAATTAAAACCAATCCATTGACCCATCATCACCTGCAACTAGAGCAAGTCCGTTGCACCCAAGAGCCAAGGCCGCCAAGGGAAGGCGGAGCCACCACTAAACAGTTGAGAAAGACCACATAACACAGAAAATCAAGCCATATAGTAATATGAAATTGAATGAATTAATCAATGATATGAGTGACCACATACATTTCATCACCCATAACTAAGGTGACAAATTAATCTATTAGATTGTTAATAAATATGATATTGGTAGTGGTGGTGATGATAATGTAAAGTCAAATTAAATGGGTATCCATTAACAACTCAATCGATTGATTTGCCACCTCTACCCATAACAATGGATAATATAAAAAGAAAGTGGAAGAGACTTTTTAGAAAGTACTCACACAACGATTAACCCAAGAGTTTTTTTTTTTTTTTGTATTATATTAACATTTAATGTGTAATTTATGTTATTCTTTTTAATATTTATATGAAATCATTATTGACACTCGAAAAATCTTATTTCACTCCAAACTTTGTTTAATTATAAGAAATATACACGTGAATAGTGTAAAATGAGGTTTTTAGGGAACGTTTGTTTGCCCTCACTAAACTTCCTTGGATTGGACCGGCTTAGCCAAGATTGCTAGCCAGTGTTTGGTGCGAACAAGGATTATCATTAATGAGACTAAGTCAGACTTGCACCGACTAAGTCTTTCGTTAGGTAGTCTTAGCGAGGACCCCCAATATGTATGAGATTGCTAGTCTCATTCCCAAACCTGCTTCGTTTGCCTATTGCATCGTCTACACGTTGCGTCATTTGCAAGAGTTCCTTTGCAACACCGTTTGCCCACTGCTCATGTCTGAAACAAAGCCCACCCACTGCCTAAACCTCAAAATCCAACAACCAAAATAAAAAATAAAAAAAAACGTAAAACAATAACAACGACAAAATCCAACCCTAAAATTCAAAATCCACCCACTGCCAGAAAATTTCGAGATGGCTTTGCAGGCGGAGAAGCCAACGAATGTATCAGAGGGAGGAAAGAGATCCGAAATTTTTTGGGAGAAAAAAGGATGAAGAAGGTGGAGATGCTTAACAGCGGTAAGAGGGAGGGTGGAGATGCATGTATTATTATATATGCATTAAATATTATTATATATACATTAAAATAATATAAAATATTACTATATATGAATTAAATAATTTAATAATTAGTTCGTTAATTATCCTGCTTTTTTACTTTGACATTGCATCAAACGTTTAACTAAGTTAATTCAGCTTAGTCTATTCTAAACCAGTCCAACTTAGTCCTTAAAGTTAGTCCGGTCCGAATGTTCGTGATGTCTCATAGTAGTGCTTATTTGCCAAAGGGTCGTCGTCTTTTGCAAGTTCACCAGAAAGTGATGCAAGGTTTTGTCCTTGTGATCGTTATCTTTATATTTGGTTGGATTTTGTTTTGTAAGGTAAGTAATCATATTGTATTCCAGATTAATGATGTTTTTTGCTTTATTTGATAAATGAAATACTTATCTTAAAATAAAGGGAATTTTAATGAAAAATCATAATTTTACACTAAAAAGTCAATCATGGTACTATTCACTTTATCTTTTATTTTGTCTTTATCAGTTAAAACTCAAAGTTTTCAAATCCTTTTGCATTAGTTTTCCTTAAAATATAGAACTTTAAAGATAGTGCAATTTTGACCATTGTATTTTTTTTTTTTTTTTATGGCATGATAAAACAGATTCTAAATAAAATATAAAACTCCTTAATTAATAGATAGAATCAGAATCTCTATAAAACCAGCCAAATGTATTGTGTGGCTCTAAGGAATCAGCACTTTACCCAAACGAAAAACTCAGCTTATGTAATGAAGATCCCAGTCACATTAAAAAATGAACAAGTGTGGAACACGTGTGCCCAAAATACCCCCATGAGACATGTCTGATTTTGACCAAACTCTTTATAGGGGCTAAGCAATCAGTCAAAGGCCATATATCAGACCGTCAAAGGTCATATATTGGACCGACGGAGGAGCTCCACTGAATATAAAAAGCCACCCTCGCATGAGTCCTTGGAGCCAAAAACCAAACCAAAACAATCTCATCCATTCGCCAGTCAAATTCAACGGCACGATGGCCAGCACTCCGACGGTCGACGCCAGAAGCGGCTTCTGCAGTTCCAATTCGGTATTCTACAGCAAGCGCAGGCCCATACCACTCCCGCCCAACGACTCCCTCGACATCACAACCTTCATTTCCTCTCAGGCCCACCGTGGCAACGTGGCCTTCATCGACGGCTCCACCGGCCAACAACTCACCTACGTTCAATTATGGGATGCCGTCCGTTCAGTTGCCTCTTCGCTCTCCGACATGGGCATCCGAAAGGGCCACGTCGTCCTCCTCCTGTCCCCGAACTCCATCTTCTTCCCGGTCGTCTGCCTGGCCGTGATGTCGCTGGGCGCGATCATAACAACCACAAACCCCCTCAACACTTCTCGAGAAATCGCCAAGCAAATCGCCGATTCCAAACCGGTGCTCGCCTTCACCACTCGCCAGCTCATCCCCAAACTCGCCGGTCCAAATCCTCTCCCCATCGTCCTCATCGATGACGAAATTGAAGCGCCTATTGATAATAAAAGTATTGTGAATACCTTGGGAAAGATGATGTCGAATAAAAAACATGATGGGTTGAAATCGAGGGAAGCGATCACCCAGGACAACACGGCGACGCTGCTTTACTCGTCGGGAACGACGGGGGCGAGTAAAGGCGTGGTGTCGTCTCACAGGAATCTGATAGCGATGGTCCAGACCGTTATCGGCCGGTTCTATTCGGACGATAACCACCACCAAACGTTCCTCTGCACGGTTCCCATGTTCCACATCTATGGTTTGGTGGCGTTCGCGACGGGCCTACTTGCCTCCGGATCGACGATTGTCGTACTTCCTAAGTTCGAGATGCATGACATGCTTTTGTCCATCCAGATGAACCGCGTCAGCTATCTGCCGCTGGTGCCTCCCATACTGGTGGCGCTGATTAACGCCGCCGACCAGCTGAAGGCCAAGTACGATCTGAGTTCGTTGAGGTGGGTGCTATCGGGTGGGGCCCCGCTGAGCAAGGAAGTGATCGAGGGGTTCTTGGAGAAGTATCCGATGGTGACGATTCTTCAGGGTTACGGATTGACGGAATCGACAGGAATCGGAGCGTCAACGGATTCGCTGGAGGAGAGTCGCAAGTACGGTACGGCGGGGATGTTGTCGGCGAGCATGGAAGCTATGATTGTGGATCCGGACAGCGGTCATCCACTAGCGGCGAATAAGACGGGAGAGCTCTGGCTCAAAGGTCCCACGATCATGAAAGGTTTGTCTACGCGTTCAATCCAATTAGCTTACTAATTTTTCCGATGAAAGAAAATTCTTTACTGGTTTTTTGTTTACGTCCGCTGGCTGATTGCCTTACATTTTTCTTTTTCTTTTGGTTTTTTTTGTCAATATTTTTCTTTTGTTGTTTATTTGAATGGTAACGTGACGAATGCTACTAAGAAATGAAAGACCCTCAATTTAAACTATATTTTGTAATTTTATGACATGGTTGTTGTGTTTATTTTTTTATTAATGATTCATCGCATAATTAACAAATATAGTAAAAAAATATAATTTTCTTAACATTACTTACTAATAATGCGAGCGGTTGATGATGATCCAGAAATGTTAATAGAATTGTAATTAAATAACTCCAGTAGTGGATGATGATGCTACAAAAATAATAGAATTGTATATTTGCATCATCTTTTGTAAATTGAATATTATTGTACGTGAATTTGGAAATGTCTGTTTTAACTTTTCAACAGGTTAATATTTGTTAATGAATTTGTGAATTAGTTTATAATATATTGTCGGGTACAACTGTATGTTCAGGATATTTTAGTAACGCAGAAGCGACTGCATCGACACTTGATTCAAAAGGGTGGTTGAGAACCGGAGACTTGTGCTACATCGATGAGGACGGATTTATTTTTGTAGTAGATAGGTTGAAGGAGCTCATTAAATATAAAGGATATCAGGTGAGTATCCCTCACACACGTGGCACAATGATAATATTCGTCAACTTGCTGCATATATTATTGGAAGAGAAACCAATAAAACCATTTATTTTGTTATTAGGTGCCCCCTGCGGAACTGGAGGCTTTGCTTCTCACGCACCCTGAAATTGCTGACGCTGCTGTTATACCGTAAGCCCATGCACCCCTTCATTAGCTCAATAGTTTATGACAAAGTAATCTGGATCAGCTGTTTTCTATCAAGTATTTAGTGATTAATGTGTACATGTATGTATGTATTATGGTTATCAGATTTCCAGATGAAAAGGTTGGACAGTATCCACTGGCATATGTGGTAAGAAATGCCGGAAGCAGTTTAACGGAGAGCGGAGTGATGGAGTTTGTGGCCAAGCAGGTGGCTCCGTACAAGAGAATTAGGAGGGTGGCATTTATAGATTCTGTGCCTAAGAATCCATCTGGCAAGATTCTCAGGAAGGATCTCATTCAGCTTGCAGCTTCTTCTTCTTCGTCTAAACTATGAGCACTTGTAGTACTAGTGCTACATTTATTAATAACTTGAGATTGAAATAGTGGTTGTACTTATAACAATATTAGTTCAGTCAAATTCTCGGCCTAGTTAGTAAGTTCGAGAGGTTACGTACTGAAAGACAATTGGAATTCCACTATAAAATCAATGGCAAAGTAGCCATACTTCTTATAAACACATGCAATGTTCCTCAATTTTCTTAAACTCGAGGATTCTCGAGAAGGTGTGTTGACAAAAATTCCATTTACTTTTCACTCTTTTTCAATGGAGATTATGAGCTTTTAAGGACTGAATTTGGTGGAATCATCTGAGTTTAAAAAGCTTGTGTCCATTTGAATTTGGTGAAACAGTCAAGGTGCAAGAGATTTTTGTTTTGCACCCTCTTCCTAGTCCCCATATAATTCAATCACTTGTAATATTTTCATGAAGCATTGAATCTAAATGATGTTGTAAAATCGACGATGTGTGTACAGTGGAATAAATAAAACAAGACACAAAATTTACAAGGTTCCTCTACAGTCAGTGTGACTAGAGTACGTCCTCGGGTAGCAGTGATGCTTTCATTATAATTTGAAATAATAGGAGTACAAAGATAACTCTATGTATTCTCTCTTCTCCTCTTCCTCTCTTTCTTTCTCTGCTCTCTCTTCAAAGCATACGGAGTGCTCTATTTATAGAGCAACTCCAAGCACACATCTTTGACAATAGAATCTCCACATATCAATATTCTGCCAAGGTTTTCAACACTTTGGCAATGTTTTCAATGTTGTGGCAGGTATTCAATACTGTGGGCATTCATTACCCACTAGTATTTTCAACACTCCCCCTTGGATGCCCACATATCAACATTAGTTGCCTCGTTAAAATCTTGATCTATTTTTGGATGCTCCCCCTTGATGAGTTTCTCCCCCTGATTTCAAATTATTTAGGCTGATCATTGATCCTGCTGCTTTAGTCTTTTAGCGGTGATAGTTGCCAAATGAGGTGTTTCACTTGTTGTTAACTTTCCACAGGCTTGTTCTTGAACTGGGTTAGAGGGTCTTCTACTAGACTTCCTCCAAAGGTCTGAATTTACCTATTTTATTTGGAGCTGAATTTGATTCAAGGGTGGTGGACACTTGATCTTGAATCGGACTTGTGATTTCTTCAAATGCCGTCTAGGCTTGATCTTGAATGAAATTAGACCATGAGGAGCTTCATGTGACAAGTGATCTTAGACTTTGTCGGGGATAAACTGACATGTGTTTGTTGTGCTTGTTTCCACATGCTTCAATGTATCATTTTCACTTGCCTTACTTGCTCCCCTTGCAGAAGTGGTATTTTCCTTATGCAGGTTTGGCATCTTCTCTTGTAGTATTTGTCCTCTGATACAGGAGTGGAATGCAAACCTTGCATTTGAATGGACCATCACTTCTTGGTGGCAGCGCAAGCTTGAGTGGAGGTTCCGACATATTGCTTTCTCTGTCCTTGTCTTGGCAGGTAAGAACAAGGACAAAGGAAAGAACAGGGAGATTACATGATATAAAATACTCTTGCTCTGGTGTGACTTGTTTGTAGAGGTATTCTCAGAGAGGAAGAAAACTGAGTATTTCGAGATACTTTGTGAAAGATGCATTCTCGGAAATGAGGAAGAGTTAGATATTTTTCAGTTCTGCCTTGCCGTGGAGGACAGAGGTTGACATATATATGGATTTCCCAATAGCAGGTAGTAGTGCTGTACCTTTACTCTTGTCAGCAACTGTGGTGTAATTAGAACAGTAAGATTCACGCGTTTTCAACTTTATCAGAGATCTTTGACAAAGTTGCACGTGATATCCAAGAGCTGAGATTGCGTCTAAGAAATGTTGACAGACGTCATGCAGGGAAATCCAACTTTTGAAATTCGAAAATCGGTGTCTCTTCGATTTTTGAATAAGTGGTCATGTTGCCCCTCATTTTATAGAGATATCAATTTTGTTCAGAAACACTCAGAAATTGTTGCCTGCAGAAATTTCCCTTTCTTGCACTTCTGAGATTTTATCTGACTTCCTTCATCATTTTTGAAAATGGCTTACCCATCTAACATTTGCTTAGATTTGAGTCTCAAGATTGATACAGACGAGCAACGTCAGGATAACATATGGCGCCCGTCCTTCTCATCTTCTAATGGTCCTCTTACGGTTGGGGACTCTGTGATGAAGAATAACATAACTGCTACAGTGGTAGCCAGAAATTTTCTCACTCCAAAGGACAACAGAATCCTTTCAAACCGGTCTAATGAGGCGGCTGTTCAAGACTCATTGGCTCTCAGTGTTCAATGTGCAGGCTCTGTATCCAATATGAGTCAGCGCCTGCTTGCTCAAACTCACCAAGTTGAATCATTAATGGCTGAGGTTGCAAGTCTTAAACAAGAAATTAAAGGCCTCAAGCATGAGAATAGAGTGTTACACATGCTTGCAAATAATTACTCTACGAGCATGAAAAGAAAGCTCGACCAGCTACTAGAATCCGAAGGTCGGACTCAAAATGACAATCGGGGGTTCGAGTCTTTATTCCAAAGACATCCATTGTCTTAGCTGTCTGGAGTTCCACCAAGTATTGAGACTTTAAATAATCAACTTCTGGTGTTTTCCTCTTCTGGGGTACTTCCGAGTACTGAGGCTTCACATGAGTAACCTTTGTGAAGGTTCCCTTCTGTTTGTTTGTTTTAACTCATGTGTATGTAATTTCTCGAAGATATTAATATATAAGCTTTATTTCATTCAGTGTATTGTGTTAAATACAATAAAGCATATATTTCACTAAGATGTGGTACTTCTAGACCAAATATCAATTTATCTTTACCCTCGCGAAGATAAATGATCATTCTTAATGTCTAAATCATTTGAGTATTCAACTCATAATCTTCAATCCATATGATTCTTTAATGTCATAAACATCATGGATAAGATTCGTGTTGGCATATTGTTCGATTCTGCAGTTCGGGACAATATTTCTCTCAACACTTTATAATCTTTCTTGACTCTTCAGGAGTCCCAATTTAATATTATCAACTCTTGCAAGAGATTTTAATATGTTGCAACAATACCATAATGAAAGTGCTCACTAAGGCAATTTATACCATCTATTGGTATTGAGTACATATTTTATGCTTTACCTTTCCGGGGCTTACTTCAAGCAATTTAAATCCTTCAGGGATTTACTACACTTCATGACACATTTTCCTTTAGAATTTATACAGAGCAATTCGCTTCCATGTATATTTGAGGGATTTACTCATGGAGATATGATGTGGGCGACTCATAACCCTTCGTATATAATTCTCCATTCATATGAACTCTTTTACAACTTTGTGTCATATCATGTGAGTGTATTTCATAGTATTACAAATACTCATATGTAACCTTCTAGGTTCAACATCTTTTGGCTATTTGTATTGTATCCAAGTATATAGGTCTATTTTTCCACGTTCTTACAAAATTGTAATGGAATTGCCTATTTTCATTTTGGCCCATAATTTCGTTGATGGAAAAAGAACGGGACTCAATATCACCACAGCTCATTGATGAATTTAGTAGCTACTTGTAAAAACCAAAATTACCATTGGTTATCATCAATCTGTGATCCCATATTCTCATGTGCATGCGCATGCATAAAAACTTTTCATTTCTTTTGCGATATCCATTGCCTCTTCAAGAGCATTACACTATCTCTTTCAGGATAGTTATAATTTAGAGAATGTGGATCATAACCTCCTCTTGAGCATTATAAAGCTTGGATTTTAATCTCCACTTCGGGAGTTGAGTCATTGGAACCTATACGTCTATCATGCTTCATGCATGAGACATCAATATTCCCATGTCCGCGGATTGACCATTTCGGGACAAGTATCCTTACGGCAACTGTCATGCGTCTGGCATGCGACAGTTACGCTTCGGGAATGCAATAGTTCAGTAGTGTCATATTCTTCTTCTTTTGAAGGACTAAACCTTTTGAGTCTGAGGATCTGCCACGCTTCAGGCATGCAACAGATAAATCATTTGTTGCCATATTATTTTGTCCAATAGGGACATTAATTCTTGTAGGCACATTTGCAGCAAGCATATGTGATTTTATCACTTTCGTTGCATCATTAAATGTATCTGGCATTTGATTTGCATATCGTTGCATCATTCAATTATTCTCACTTTGTTTGTATATTGATTGCTTCATGAATCAAAATACGACAAATTCTCTTCGTTCTTCTGGAACGGTTTTTTCTCATCATTCTTCTGGAATGATATTTGCTCATCGTTCTTCTGAAACAAAGTTATTTTCTCCCCCTAACGGCGGGAAAATTGTCTTATCAAAATGACAGTCCGCAAACCACGCGGTAAATATATCCCCAGTCAAGGGTTTTAAATATTGAATGATAGATGATGTTCAACATTAATGCCTAATCCACAATGATGCTTCATTTCAGTATGTTGTGGCAGTGTAATAGGCACATAGATAACACAACCAAAAACTCGTAAATGTATAATGTTTGGCTGGTTCCCAAACACGAATTGTACTGAGAAGTATTGATGGTTGTCAACAGGTCTCAACCAAATCAATAATGCATCATGCAAAATAGCATGTACCCATGTAAAAACTTGGCAATTTCATTTTCATTAGCAGAACGCGGGTAATCAATTTCATCCGCTTAATAAATGCTTCTGCTAAACCATTTTTGAGTATGGACATAAGGAACTTCTGGTCCTTATTTAATAGTCTGTAGACTAAGATTCTTATGACTTTTATTGCAATTAAGTTGAGGCACTGCGGCACTTCAAACTTAAGGTACTTATCAAAGAACTTCATGTCCTAATCTTGAGGATCAAGGGACTTCATGCCCGATCTTTTTGTTTGATGGAACTTCAGGTCCAATCATTTTTATATGATGAGGATCAAGAAATTGCAGGTTCTGATCTGATCAAGGAACTTCAGGTCCAGTATGTACTCATCGTAACAAAAAGAAGTACAATAAATTAAAGTAATAGACGGTAATTCCAGCTATAATGAATAAATTGCATTTAAGTAAATAAAGCTTGTGACAAGGGTTTTAATTCAGCACCATTCACATAAATCAAAACTTAAAGCAGTAGGCGGTAAAACCGTCCATGATAAATAAATTGCTTTAAAGTAAATAGAACTTGTGAAAGGATTTTAAACCAACACCAATTCACATAAATAACAAGAAGTATCATACCTCCTTTTATTTATTATTTTTCTTTCTTTTGTCAGCATTTATTCAAACTTTACTATTGTTACTTTTCTTATTTCTACAACATGGTGCCATGCACCAACAGAAACCATTTATATGATTTTGACCAAATGGTGTCATGCACCATTCAAATCCTTTATATATATATATATATTTTTTTCTTAGGTTGCAGTCAACATCTCCTTTTTTCTTCCTTCTCTATCTCTGCTAGTCTCGAAACGCAGGGCCAACTGGGTAGTTATGGAGGTTGCCCAAATTCAATTCAATCCAAAAGGCTACTAGAGACTGGCGTTGTTCTTGCATGACCCAGGGAACATGTCATCGTTAAGCAAGAACTTCCCTACAGAGACATAGATGACAGTGGGGTTGACGGAGGCACAAGAGAGGGAGGCCTGTGTGGATTCATTCTTGCCATCACCATCTCAAACAACCAAGTATTCATGGGAGTTCTCAAGATTCGTTGAAAACAACGTGATCTGGGTTTCCAAGTCTGATGAGATTCTTCTGGATCTCTGGAAACCAGTTGTCAAGTACGAGTTTTCTCATCTCGTGATGACTTCAGGTCGTAAATTTCAATTCTCACCGGAATTCGGTGGGGCGCTTCTGGCGCAATGGGAGAGACGAAAAATGGACATACCTTTTATTCTGTGAGATTTTAGATGACGGAGGTGAGAGGTGGATAGTGCTTCATCGGATTTATGGCGTTGTGCTTTCCACTGACATAAGAGCTTTTCGTGCTGATAATATGTTGTAAAATCGACGATGTGTGTACAGTGGAATAAATAAAACAAGACACAAAATTTACGAGGTTCCTCTACAGTCAGTGTGACTGGAGTACGTCCTCGGGTAGCAGTGATGCTTTCATTATAATTTGAAATAATAGGAGTACAAAGATAACTCTATGTATTATCTCCTCTCCTCTTCCTCTCTTTCTTTCTCTGCTCTCTCTTCAAAGCATACGGAGTGCTCTATTTATAGAGCAACTCCAAGCACACATCTTTGACAATATAATCTCCACATATCAATATTCTGCCAAGGTTTTCAACACTTTGGCAATGTTTTCAATGTTGTGGCAGGTATTCAATACTGTGGGCATTCATTACCCACTAGTATTTTCAACAAATGACAAATTATATGAGATTTTTAAATTTTTGCAAAAAATTATTCTTAACGTACGGTTCAATGGCAACCTGCAAAGTCCTTCCAATTCAAACTACCATCTCTCCTCATAATAGATGTTTTTATTCATCGTTACAGTCATAGCCTCCGAATGATCGTGCGTGGGTGTGGGGGAATTGTTGTAGGAGTTTGTATGTAAGTTTTCAGATTGGGCTTTGGGATGAGGGTTTGATTTTGTTTTGGTGCTTGCAAAATTAAGATTTGGGCTTTAGCATCTATTGTCTATATTCTCTCTGAAAATGGAAATGGATTCGGCCCGTTTGGGTCCCTAATTTCCGTCTCAACTCGGTCATGTTATAACTTTTGGCAATTTTTCAAAGAAAGTGATTTTCACGCTCTTTTAGCTTTTTGTACATCTTTTTTTTATTTAACCATGAGATCAAACAAAAACAGCAGAGATAAAATTCAAGAGACGTGTGCAGGAAGTTAAAAATAGCATATTTCTCTTTCCAGTCCTGTAAGAAAATAAAAAAGAGAAGTCCAAATTTGGTTTAGGCAGTTCCCTTTAGTATCAAGTGGTAGCCAATGATAGGGAAACAAGAAACAAGAGGAGGACTTCAAAGAAACATCACAAGGGAATGCATGACATCTCAAGGGTAAGGATTGCTCAGTTAACAATTTGAATACGTACCAACCTACGTGGTATAGTTAGGTATGGGCAACGGTTATGCCGGATGGGTAACCGTGGTTATTTACCTATAACCGTTTATGTTCATACCGCATAACCATTTACCCGTTGGGTAATTGCATAAACGGTTATATTCATACCCATAACCGTTTATAAACGGTTAACCATACCCATAACCATGTACCCATTTAACCATGACCGTTTACCATTTAACCATAATCATTTACTCATTTACCCGTTTTTAAACCCGTTTATTCTTTTTTTTACTCATTTACTTATTTTTTCATCTATCTACATGTTTTTTTTTAACTACTTGAAAATTACAAAAGAAAAATTTATCATAATTTTCATTTGTTGACAATTAAACACTGCTATAAATCCATTTTAGCATGCATTTCCCTATTTTAATCATTTAAGTCCTCATACAATTCCAATAATTGAAATAATAGTTTACGAACGATATTTTTCTACTACACCCAAGCAAATCTTTAATTATAATCCATATGATTACAAAGTAAAGCTTCTAAAAACAAAAAGTAGTCATTATTTTGAATACTAGATGATTCAAAGCTTCAAAATATTCCGAAACTAAACACTTGTGAACACTAATGCTTTAGCACGTTCAATCACAAAGTCTCATTGACTCGTTGTCACCAAAAGAGGCCTGCAAAATAAATGTATAAATTGAATTAATATCCTATTTAGGAACACCGACACCAATTAGCATGAATCCAACAGAGGTAAGTGATCACATAAAGTTTACATTGCACACTCAATTATCAGAAGAAAAAAAAAATGGCAAACAAAAGCGGAGTACCAAATCAATTGAGTTAGTATCACCATTCATCAATATGCATAAATAGAATCTTTACATTCCATGATTTTTCACATATCTATATGCATAAATTGAATTAGTATCACCAATAACTCCAAAGTAAAAACAAAAATAAATGGGTAAATGGATACTCGTTATAACTGCAGGTAATACTCATAACTAATAGATACTCGTTATAATCGCAAGTAATACCCATAACTGCCCATTTAAATTTCACGGATAAACGGTTATACCCATAACCGTTTGTTTGTCTAAACGGTTACCCATAACCGTAACTGTGAATTTTAAATGAGTGGGTAACCGCGGTTACCCAAACTCATAGGTATTTTGCCCATCCCTAGTTGTAGTTGCGTTAAGGTTGTAAGCAAAACGTACAAAACCCTAAATCGTATATTATTGTTCATTTATGTAGGATGATTAAATTAGGTTTTGCAAAATCTTTTTAGTTTTGTGGATTTAGGTTACCCCTCAGGTTTCCAGAATTGCACACCTCAGTGATAAAATTCAAAGTGCTATGCGCCTCGTCCTTCCAAACGCTGTGACAAACAATGATATACTTGTTCTTCAACTGCCTCAACAGCTTAACCTCAGAGTAAAGCCGATTTATGAGTGTTGGGCCGTTACTGTAATTGTAAAACTGGACCTGATTCCAGGCCACCCCTGTACCTTCCTCCTGATCAAAAGCCCTATAAACCTTTTTCACAGCACCATGACCAAGGAGGTCAGCATACCGCCCATACCGTCCAGTTGGATCAACCTCCACAAATGGTTCAGCATCTCGATCAGATGCATTCGAACTCTCAACTGGCATCTTCAAAGATCACTCTGACGAGGAATTAAACCAGTTCAAGCTATAAACATCTGCGCCATTCACAAGGGACTTCAAATCATGACTAACGAGCCAAACAGAATAGAACGCTACCTCTACTTCTCCGATGCAATAGTATTGAGTTACTCTATTTGTACATATATGAACAATAATATACAATTTAGGATTTTGTACGTTTTGCTTACGTAATGAAGATTCAATAGACTAATAGCATGATTTGTTGTAGAAGACATCAAAATTTCATATCAATCATATGAAAGTTGCAGGCCTCATCAGCAAAGAAGGAGATGGAGGTTACGGTACTTCGAATCAATGGAGTTCTACGTCCTTTCTTGTTTGCACGCTTAAAACTAGGGTTTCTTCTTTTAATTTTATTTTTAATTACCTTCCATATTTTATGCTTTTTGAATTTTATTTTTATGTTTAATATTAGTTAAAATCCACTTAAGTATCCATGTTATTTAATGAATGAATATGGGCCTTTGGATGTTTTGTAATCTAAAGGTTTAAAAGAAGTGTAAAAATATTTGTCAACATGTTTATCCCTTTATCATATCCCTATATATATATATATATATATTGTACCGTTTCTTTAAATGATGATACAAATAATGGTACACGTACCACATACGTTAGTAGATCCTATCTTTATTCTACATATGGTACAACTAGGTGGTACGTGCAACATGACTCTTAAATTTAGGGAAAATTCTCTTAATTTCATTAATTAGTATACTATATGTTACTCAGCAATATTAATTATATTAATTACAGAAACTGATGACTGATGATGATCTCCAATTCTCCATGCCATCTACATATATATATATATATATATATATATATATATTACAGTATATATATGGATCATGCTCATGCATGTTGGCACTTGGGCTGGGTACGGTACCAAACGGACAAGGCTCTAGCTATAAGAAATATGTTGGTCAACCATTAATGGATTCTCCTCTCCCACGTCTTCTTACACAAAAAATACATACATATAATTAACAAGCAAAGCAACGCAGTTACGCAGCCAACCCAACTCTAGTCAAAAGATTCTACTTTCAACTTTGAATTCATTAAACACCTTTCCCACCTTTGACCTTTGCCTAATTGGGTCCTCTATCTGTGAATCCTCGTCACTCACACGACTCACAAGCACATAAGTTTAGTTTCATGAGACTCAAAAAACACACAAACCTTATTAGTTTGAGGTCGTCTTTTTATATACTAATTTTGTACAATAAAATAATATCAAATTAATAAATATTACCGAGAATTTATCCTTAAATTATTTGTTAATCACCCATCATATATTCATGCATGGATCATGATGGCCCCACCCCGGAGAAAAATAAGAAACCACCTGCCACATCTAACTTAATTTTGTCGGTGTCTCAGTTCTCTAGCTATATATATATATATATATATATATATATATGGTGATTGGTGAGGAAGAAACGTTCGGAATCAGAACATGCAGAATCAGATGGATGAGGTGGAGGAAGTGAAGTCGAGCCCAATGAGTGCTACAAATATGACCCCAAAAAGTCCGCTCGTTTCTCGTTTTATGGCGACTCCTTTGGGCAGTCCGATGAAGGCGGCGATGACAAGCATGCGAGGCTACCTAGAAGAAGTTGGACACTTGACAAAGCTTGATCCTCAGGACTCTCAGTTCCGGAATCGGCATTCCAGCCCTCCTTCTTCCTTTATCTTTCGATGCTCTTGGCTCGTAACAGCTTTAATCAATTTTTTAATCAATTGGTTTTCTCTAAATTCTGATATTTATTTACGTATAATTAATTAGTATGCATGGTTCTTCATTTGCTTAATTAATTTAACTACATGTGTGTATATTCATGGGTTGCAGGGCATGGGGAATTATGTCTCCCAGTGGCTTTCATGTAGCAGCTCTATACTCTGTGGTTACTGTACAACTGCACGTATCCGAATCGGGAATGCGCTACAGAAGATACCTTCGACTTTCCATGGCAGCTTTTGGTAATTAACCATGCATAATATATATACATATATACACACACTTACATATATTGATATATTAATTGATCGAACGCTCAATAATACAAAATACTGGTTCGGCAATCTACGACAAATTGCAACGTCCTAAAAAAGTTGTCAATAATTGTTCGTCCAAAATCAGTATCCAATTTTAACAAAAAGAAGTGTAACTCTCAGGTGAGAAGCTAGGGAAATTTCTGGCATTGTTTCCAATCATGTACCTCTCAGGTGGTACGTGTGCAACCCTGATCAGGATCCGAGGTGGGACCATGAAAATGTTTTTCCAAATCGTGTGCAGTGAGACATGCCGCCACGTAAATCCACCGTCAACGATAGAGTGGTACTTGGTGTTCACCGGCACTGCCATTCTTCTCGCTCAGCTTCCTAACCTCAAATAAATATCCGGGATTTCCCTCATTGGGGCTATCACTGCCGTAAGCTGCTGCACGCTCATTTGGGTGGTTTCTGTCACCAAAGATAGACCCAACGGTGTTTCTTATAAGCCGCTGGAAACAAAATCTGATGCAGCCACCGTTTTCAGTGTCCTATATGCGCTTGGGATCACTACCTTCGCTTTCAGAGGCTACCTTGTGCTTGAGATACAGGTTACTAACTAAATGTGTGGACATCCTGTTGATATGGGTAAATATAACGTAGATGTTGTTGATATATTGTTGGTATGATTGTCGATATGTTGTAAATATTTTGTCTGCACGTGCGCTTAACCACAACCTAGCTCGTAAAAGTAATATATACATAAATTATTTGGAATATTTGCAGGGAACCATGCCTTGGAGCTCTAAACGGCCGTCGTGTTTGCCAATGTGGAAGGGAGTCATCCCATGCCTTAATATTCAAAAACGTCTTTTGCTTTTGACTAAACTGAAATTAGCAAATGTTTTTTTGACCTGGATTGCGTATTGTATCTATGGCAGATACCTTCAAGCGGGGGGATGTTAAATGCTTTGAACAAATACCACGGACATGACACATCAAAATTTGTCCTAGGATTGACAAGCATGCTCGACGTCGTCGTGGTTAACAGCCTCAGCTCCTTTCAAATATATGCAATGCTGGTTTTCGACAATCTCGAATTCAGATTTACTAGCAGCGTGAACAAAACCGTGTCCTTGGTGGCGACTCACCGGATTTAGGATTTTCTTCGGCTGCTTTGCATTTTTTATATCTGTTGCACTACCATTCTTGCCCAGCCTAGCAGGAATCATCGGAGGAGTTGCGGTACGAATCACATTGGCGTATCCATGTTTCATGTGGATACTGATTAAGAAACCTTGTAAATGTAGCACAATTTTTAACTGGGCACTCGGAGCCTTGGGGATAGTCCTAAGCATTTTAATCATCACCGGAGCAATTTGGAACATAGTCACTATGGGAATAGAAGTCCACTTCTTCAAGCCTCAATAAGCAACCGAGGCAATAAGATCCCGCTCTCGACCTTAACTATCAACCAACGCCTCCATTTTTTCCTGGTCATATAAGTATATACCATTGCCTTGTAAAGGAACATACCCAACGCTCATCCTAAAGAAGGAAGTGGCAATTTTAACAACGGTTCTGATATCTAAAGTAATTTTACTGCATGCTGCACATCCACACAGTAAAATAACACTTTGGGGTATATGCATCTGAAATGTCATAGACTTGTTTCTTATGTCATTGTATTGTTCATAAGTAAAGAAAACATCACTATATCATTAGTAATAGGCCGACAACAGAATAAACCGTATGGTCAACTAACCTTTCCTCCCCTCACTAACGAAATCTCACTATCTTGATCAATCAACTCGCCACTCTGATCAGCATCTTCCACAGTAATCACATCAATTTTTTACCTAACCTTCGAAGGCAATGATTACACATTCCACCCTGATCAACATGCCATACAGACCAAATGCAATGGCCAAGACTTTTCCAGATGTGCACAATAAGGTTGGGTAGCGCGTGCCCCTCATCTAGTATTACATAGATAATGGAAGAAGCATCCTCCGTTTCTTTTTCCTAGCCAATCTCACTTGCTTTGTAACTTTTATGCACAAAAGCAAGAGCATTGCAATGCATACTAAGATGAAAGCAAGTCGCATATGCCTAAAATATAAAGAAACTGCCGAAAAAACCAGGAAAGCTAGGATTACCAGTTCCCATATTACAAAGAGCACAACATCCACCCTGCATCCACAAGTTGGGGCAAAAAAATAAATATTAGCATCAATAGTAACATCTCAGATGTATCAGTATGAAAAATATGCACAAACACAATACTCCTACATTATCAAAAAGGGTCAGTTCTAACCAAGTTCATTAAGTGCAAAAGACTAGAGAACATCAAGAAAATTAAAGACAAACATAAAAGCAGCATGAGCCTAAATGCAATCATTATCCAAGAGAACCCTAATGACATATCATCATCTTCACAAACTGAATCTTCTAATGATCAGCAAACCAACAGTTGTTACCCGTTAGTTGATTCATTGTTATGTTTAGTTTCAGTCAATACAGTTAGATAGTTAGATACTGTTAGCTGAGTTCGACAAGTGTTAGCCTGTATGTTCAAACCTATTTAAACCTCTCTGTAATCATTATCAATCATATCGAGAAAATCATTTCATTTTTCATTCTCTCCCTTGTTTATCCTTAAAACCTGCTATTTATGGGAAGTTTATTCACTAGAATTCATTTCAATGTTCAGAAAGAATGCATAATGACAAGCTGTGTAAACGTTCCTCTCTGATGCAATAACCAAGTTCAGATGTTGATAAATGAGAGTCTTTCTAGTTTCTTGAGTTGAGCAATACATGAAGTTTAAACATGTGTCCACACGTTCACAGTCTTAGAGTCTCTCTATGTCACACTGTAAATGTTTAGGTGTAATAACACTCTTCTTGAGAATTCCTGGGTGTATTAATATGGATCTTTCCAAATCCATGTACCATTTATCCTATAAAAGGTGGTCTGTGATTTCCTTCTTCTGTGCAAAGCAAAGGTTCACATGGAGTGATTTGAATACACAATTGGGTGATGCATAGGCGGAAGACCAAAATGAGTCCGAATCTCTTCTTATTGTCCTACATCACTCCCTCAGATGAATCGACAATCTGGGCTCTGTCCTACATCTCCAGGAATCCTGAATTGCAGACAGCCACTCCCAAATTCGAAAAACAGGCATTATAATATACCAAACCAACATATCTTTTCATCATCATTTTGTTTTCCCCTATTTATTTAAAATTCTGTCATTCTACCCCTTCCTCCATTGAACTATTGATTAAATCGAGCTCAAACGACAGGAATTAGGCCTCCAATCGAAGCTAAAGCGTAAAGTTGTGATTAAAAACCTCAACTTAAATAATTAGCAATTATCAAATCCAAACTAGAGTAACACTTTAAGGTTTCTCCCAAATTGTTAAGCATATAAATCGCATAATCAGAAAGCAAGATAACAGAAATCAAAGATAATGGAGAAATTAAACAGAAATCGGGAAAGTTGAGGGGAGTGGGTTGAAACCTTGATAAAGTATGATTGAAGGAGGTGGAGGAGAAGAAGGAGACGGAAGCCCATTCATGCTTCGATCGAATCTGATACTCTCGCAACTGCTCCGCCAGATTCGATCGCGTTATCATCTCTTTGCCTTGCCTTTGCTTTTGCCTTGTATGAACCTCTCTTATTATCTTTACAGGAGCTCCTCCGAGGTTCTCTGCAACTGCAACAATGGATTCGAACGACGAAACGACGAGTATTCGCTGGTTTTCGTTGCGTCTTCCCAATCCGTGCCCTCGACGTTAAAATTGATCTTTGTGGACTCACTCGAATGGCTCGGTTTTTTAGTATAATTTGGTAAGCCGGGGTTTTCCTAACAAGAATAGCGGTTAAACCGGCTCAAATTAAACTGAGCTGTCCAGTTTATTCTATCTTTTTTCAATATTGCAATGGTAAACTAGAACGCAAGTGCCGCTCTATCAGTAATAGGGAAAAAGTGTTTTGTCTTTACATCACGTCATGAATTTGGATTTTGTTTATTTTCTAATTTAACAAATTTATTATTTGATAAAACATAAAATAAAAAAAGAATAAACTAGAATGAATTGGCAATAATTGATTTGGAGAAATCAAAAGATGAGTACTTATTAAAGACAGATAATTAAGTGTACGATTAACGTTAACAAAATTGCACTGTGAAAGATTAAAAAGAGTTAAACATAAGGTGGGCTTTTCACCCGGCTTATTTTTATTGTGTTTGGGGTAAAGATGGGCCTTCTTAAGTTCCAAAGGCACAACTCTTATTGATTGGAAGTTTTGAATTCGAAAAGCCCTAGAATTAGGCTTAAGACAGTCCACGCTTGCAGTGGAGCCGAAGGAACGACATACCCACATGGAAACAACGGACAAACCCCCAAACCCCTCCGAGAATCCCCCTAACGACGTCGTCTTCGACGACTCGTCGCCGGAAACCGACCTCACTCCCTCAAGCTCAACCCCTCACGAAAACCACTCGTCGGAAAACCCATCGGCACCTCCCCAAACGATCCTCGAAGCCCCCGTTTCGGACTCTCAAGATGACTCCTCCGAGCCCATTCCCGAAGGCGAAGACACCCTTCTCGAACAACAGCACCTCCAAAACCCTATCGAACCGGGCCCAGCTGAACCCGCTCTGCCAGCCAAGAGACGCCGTCGCAGGAAGAAGTTCTTCACGGAGCTGAATGGCTCTCCGTCGTTGGCCAAGAACCGCCGCACCGATCTCAACAAAGACGTCGACGTCGAAGCCCTAATCGCAATATCAGTGGGATTTCCGGTCGACTCGCTCACGGAGGAGGAAATCGAGGCCAACGTGGTCCCCACCATCGGCGGCGTTGAGCAAGCCAACTATATCGTCGTGAGGAACCACATTCTGGCTCGGTGGAGGTCAAATGTGTCTTTCTGGTTGACCCGGGAGCTGGCGCTGGAGTCAATTCGCTCGGAGCACAAAGGCCTGGTAGACTCAGCTTACGAGTTTCTGGTGGAGCACGGCTACATCAACTTCGGGCTTGCACCGGCAGTGAAAGAAGCAAAATTGAGGTCCTTTGTCGAGGCCGAGAGGGGCAATGTGGTCATTGTGGGGGCTGGCTTGGCAGGTTTGGTGGCTGCCAGACAATTGGTGTTTTTGGGCTTCAAAGTTGCGGTCTTGGAAGGTAAGAGCAGGCCGGGTGGTCGCGTGAAGACGAGGAAGATGGTAGGCGAGCGTGAGGGAGTGGAGGCTGCGGCGGATCTCGGCGGAAGTGTCCTCACTGGAATCAACGGCAACCCGCTCGGAGTTTTAGCTAGGCAACTGGGTTTGCCTCTTCACAAAGTGAGGGATATTTGCCCGCTTTATTTACCAGATGGGAAAGCTGTGAATTCTGAGATGGATTCTAGTATAGAGGCTTCTTTTAATAAGTTGTTAGATAGAGTTTGTAAGCTTAGGCACGCAATGATAGAGGAAGTTAAGTCCGTAGATGTTTCGTTAGGGACTGCATTGGAAGCGTTTCGACGCGTTTATAGTGTTGCCCAAGACGCACAAGAGCGGATGCTCTTGGACTGGCATCTTGCCAATTTGGAATATGCAAATGCTTCCTTGATGTCGAATTTGTCCATGGCCTATTGGGATCAGGATGATCCCTATGAGATGGGAGGTGACCATTGTTTTATCCCGGGAGGCAATGAGACTTTTGTGCGGTCCCTTGCAGAGGGCCTTCCAATCTTCTATGAAAGGACTGTGCAAAGTATTCGGTATGGTTCTGATGGGGTTTTGGTTTATGCAAACGGGCAGGAGTTTCGTGGGGACATGGTTCTTTGCACGGTCCCGTTAGGTGTGCTTAAGAAGGGTTCAATTGAATTTGTCCCTGAGCTTCCACAAAGGAAGAAGGATGCAATTCATAGTTTAGGATTTGGATTACTGAATAAGGTTGCCATATTGTTCCCTTATAACTTCTGGGGTGGAGATATTGATACTTTTGGGCACTTGACTGAGGAGCCGACTATGAGAGGCGAGTTCTTTCTGTTTTATAGCTACTCTTCTGTATCAGGAGGGCCTCTTCTAGTTGCTCTTGTGGCTGGAGATGCTGCAATTAAGTTTGAGTTGATGTCTCCTGTTGAGTCTGTGAATAGGGTGTTGGACATATTAAGGGGTATTTTCAACCCGAAAGGGATTGCTGTTCCGGAACCTATTCAGGCAGTGTGCACTCGGTGGGGGAAGGATGACTTTGCATACGGATCTTATTCATATGTTGCAGTAGGGTCTTCAGGAGATGATTATGATATTCTGGCAGAGAGTATTGGGGATGGGAGAGTGTTCTTTGCTGGAGAGGCCACTAACAAGCAATATCCGGCAACAATGCACGGAGCTTTTTTGAGTGGGATGAGAGAAGCGGCTAACATACTGAGAGTAGCCAAACTAAGGTCAATTATCCCATCAGAAAAATCAAGTAATGTTGGTGATGAAAAGGACGATTTGAATAATTTATTTGACACCCCTGACCTAAGATGTGGGAGCTTCTCTGTTTTGTATGATCCCCGGTCAAATGAGTTTGATTCTGCTAACTCGCTGTTGAGGGTGACATTTGGAGGGGGAAATATGTACATGGGATCATGTCTCTCTCTTTGCCTATATGGTTTGATTTCGAGGAATCAGGCGAAGAAGTTGAGTGAGGTAGAAGGGGATGGGAACAGGATGAGAATGATAAATGTGGAATTTGGGGTGAGGTTGGTTGGGAGGAGAGGTCTAAGTGGTGCCGGGGAATCTTTAATCAGCTACATTAGGACAGCAAAATCAAAACCCAACGTAGATGGAGGAGTTAAAGTATGAAGAATCCTGGGTATGTGTTGTGCATAATGGATTGCAGTTGATTGGATCATTGATTTGAGCAGCTGGATGGAATTCATGGGCAACTGAACTGAACTGATTTGGTTTGGTAGTGATTATTTCTGCCTTGGTTAAGTTGTTGCTTAATTCTGTCCTTGGAAGTGCAAAAGTGATTGTGAGTTATTTATTCTTCATCCTCTCTTACTCCCTCGTGAATTTAGTTGAAGAAGTATGATTTTTCTTCATTCAGTTTGCAGTATGCTTTTTGTGTGGCTGTTTATGTTTTGCTGCGTTGTTTGTTTCCAATCTCCATGGACCGTAGAGCATAGGCTACAAGGGACGGATGACGAAATTGATTGGTCTTAACCATGCCAAAACTTGGTGGCTAGGAATTGGATTGGATTGAATTAAAAATTACTAGATTCTAAATTTTGTCCAATCCTACCATTTTGTAAGGATTATGAGGTATAAATTTTCTTCATGATCGATTCATCTGAAGTCCTTGGACCTGGATAAAAGGCCATCGGATCGAATGTACGACGGAAATTCACATGGGCAATGGGCAATGGCTAAGGGGTAATGGGTAATGGGTTGGGAAGCCTGTTGGTTTGCTCAGACTGAAAAAGGCAAAAAAGCCCAAAATAAAAGTTTGATCCATGGGGCCGATGACTTTGCCATTCTTGTATACTTTTACCATTTTCTATCTTATGATATCCGAAAGCAGTCACATCAATTATCACTTTCATCCAGGTTTCATTTCATACTAAGTGCCACTCCCAACCGCCAAGTGGTGTGCTCTCTAATTTGGTCACTAATGCCATTTTGAATTTCGTAAATCAGATACTTTGAATTTCTTTAGGAAATAAAATATATATTTCTTTTAGTGGCGTCGTTGGCTAGGCCACCAAAGAAACGTTATTGTTCATCTTTATGTCAAACCATCAAATGGGACCCGCCCAATTAGTTGTATATAAAACGATGAGAAAAGTTTAGCAATGCTAATTGCCTTCCAAACTTTTCTCAATTATTTCGTTAATATTTTCAGTCTCTCGTACGACAAAAGCTTCTGAATTTGCTGTATATATTTGAAGTTGTGAATTGTAATTCATCCTTAAGTTTAACAAAGTTTTAGACAAAGACTACAAGTCACGTGCATGGGCACGTGCAGACCGGCCAAAATTGGTACGTACTTGTATTCTAATATTTCATAATTCATAGGGTAACTCGATTGATTGAATTTTGGGCTTAAACCAAAACTTAAACGGTACGGACGCCTAGCCGTGGTTCGAGAATCGCGGCATGCTGCCATCTGTACGCTGTACCCTCTCAAAGTGATGAACCCGACAAGTGGCAAGTCATAACCATTCATAAGGAAAGGGATCCGGAATCACCATGTCTAGAAATCCAAACGTTTGAAATTTGATTCATTGATTATATAATAAATCTTTATTTATATTTATTGTATCAAATTTCAACGAATTTTATAAATTAAAAAGAAGGATCAAGAGGATTCCTCTCTCTTTCGTAATCCTGATGAATAATAAAATGGCCCACCATAATAATTTACGGTGCACCCACCTCGCAAATCTCGAAAACCCCCTGCCTCCTTCCGACGATTGCCACGTGGTCCCCTCCATCAAACCGACCTTCACGCATTTATCCGAACAAGGCCGACACTGAGGGGTCCCACACTTGCACTCCTCCCACGTTCTTCTTACACGTTGCGGCCTCTTACTGGTACATGCTCTCAGCACCAGTACGTCTCACCTCTCTTCCTTGGCATTTGTCTACTTTCTTCTTTTGCCTTTAAGACTGTTTGATTTCCATTATTTGATTTGCCTACAAGGAAGGCACAACTCGCCGCTCCTAACGGGCACATTTGCCATCCTGACACGCGTCGGCTATCCATGGCGAGTGGAAATTTGCGTGGGTACCAATTCTCCTCTCGCCCTTTATGATTGAATTGAAGTCACCACGTCGGTCGGTTACAATAGGATATAAATCGCATATATAATTTGCTTTTAACTTAATGGCGTCATACGCGTGTGGGTGGATGCTATATAAAGCTCACTCTCTGCATAAGCAAAGAACATCAAAGCAACATTTCATTTGCTCTCTTCACAAAATCATTATTCTTTAAGTTGGTTGTGATTTGATATTAAGAAAGTATGGCGGAGGAGTACAACAAGAGCCAAGAACACGAGTACGAGAGGAAGACTGGGGATTACGAGGAGGGATCTGGTGCAGGCGAGACCAAGGATCGCGGGTTGTTTGATTTCTTGGGGAAGAAAGCGGAGGCGAAGCCAACTTCTTATCAGCATGAGGAGAAGCCAGCTTCTTATCAGGAGGAGGAGGTGATCGTCACTGAGTTTGATGAGAAAGCCAAGATCTCCGATCATCATAAGGCACCGGCTCCTGATCAGTACACATCATCATACAGCAAAGTAGAAGAGGAGGAGGACAAGGAAAAGAAGCACGAGAATCTCTTGCAGAAGCTTCACCGATCTAACAGCAGTTCTAGCTCTGTAAGTATTCGTATTTGGAAATTTTTTTTTTTATTACAAACGATTTGCTTTTAAGCTAATTAAAAGGAAATCATGTATTGTATCATACATATTTTTGGCAAGATTTCTTAACCCAAAAAAGAAAGGAATCTGGATCTCGCAGTATTTTAGGAATCCGTAAATTATGTTACTTCATCGGATCCGATTAGAAATTATTTTAAATATTTTTATTTAAAATTAAATATAGACAATACCGATCAAAATTTACATTCGTTCATCATACACATGATTAGAAATTATTTTAAATAATTTTTTTTAAATTAAATATAAACAATGCCGATCAAAATTGAACGTACGATAAACAGATACATTTCATGAATTTCTAAAATCTCACCAAAGGATTCTGAAACGATCCTGTTGGGATTTTATAGATCAGGGTTTTTCTGCATATTCCGCGTGTAATCACGTAGTGTTTACGTTGCTTATATATTTGACATGACATATAGAGTAATACTAAGAAAATTAATTAGTAGATTAAATTAACAGATTAAAAGTGTCACCAATATAAAAAATGAGGATAAATATTAACAATTTAATCATAAATTTTCATATGCTTACAAAATTTAGTCAAAACAATTTAATCGTCCAAGCATTCCTCTAACATTTGTCCTTGTTCTTAATTTCCATAACTTGAATGTCTAAACTGTATGAAATCTCTGAACATTCGCAGTCAAGCGATGAGGAGGAAGATGAAGAGAAGAAGAAGAAGAGGAAAGAAAAGAAGGGATTGAAGGATAAGATCGAGGAGAAGATCTCCGGTGATGATCACAAGGAAGAAGGCTATCGCAAAGAGGACACGAATGTCCCAGTGGAGAAAGTGTACGAGGAGGAACATCATCATCAAGCTCCAGCTCCGGTTGTCCATCACCACGAAGAGCCCACTGATTACCCAACTGAGGAAAAGAAGGGTTTCCTCGAGAAGATCAAGGAAAAGCTTCCTGGACACAAGAAGACTGAGGAGTTTCCAGTTGCTGCTGCTTCGTACGAACAGCAGAGTCACGACCATCATGCCGCGGAGCCACCGGTAGTAGCCTCTTATGAAGCTGGCGAAGAGCCCAAGGAAAAGAAGGGTATTATGGAGAAGATCAAGGAAAAGCTTCCTGGGTACCATTCCAAGACCGAGGAAGATCACAAGGACATCAAGGAGAAAGAGAAGGATACTCCTTCCTACTAATCAAGGGATTAAGAAAAAAACAACATATATAATCTTGTCTTGTGTTCGGAAAGAATGGTTATGGTGGTTTCATTTGTGGTTTGTTAATTTCCTCCTCCCTGTGATGGGTGGTTTATTTGCCATCTTCTATTGAGAGTATATTGGCTTATATGCAAGTTTGTTTAGGGTTTCCGTTGTAGGGTTCTCTTTGGTTTGGGAGGACCTTGAATTTCTTTTGTATGTTATTTAAACATTTTGTTGATTAATAAGATATTTGTTCTTCCTTTGTATTCCCTTCGTGTGGTCTCTGTGTGTGTGTGTGTGTGTTTATGTATAAGATGTATATATATATATATATATGTGATGCATATTTATGAACGGGATTATATGTTGAATGGTTCTTTGTAAATTTGTTTTATGGTCAAATTTTACAATGTTGATATTGTTTTGGAGTAACTTAATAAATTAACTATTGAAGAAGCAAATGAAGTAATGTAAGAAAATGCTCAAGGGATCCCCATTTCCTTAATTAATCCGGACGGTCACTTGGATCCATGTACTATATAGTGTTGTACATGCGTGAAAGTTAAGAGTAACATGGAGGTGGGAGTGATAAGTAGAGTAACATGATGTCAAAATGCGCAGAGGTGCAAAAGAAGTGGAGGCTTGATTGGTCACGATAGGAATATCAGTCATATCTCTTAATTTAGACTTTTAACTTGTGATATTATAAGTCTATATACATTATACTGCAACGAAAGTAGCATAAATTAATTTCTAATTTTTCCTCTCTATTCTTATCGTGAGTTTGTTCTAGTATGTAAAGACGCATGTTAACACAAAATGTGGAAGGGTTCTTTGAATCAATTAATTCAATAATATTGTTACAACATTTACATTGTCATCTTGTTGTATTTACTTGGATCTCACCTGCTTGCTTCTTTATACCTACATTATTTCAATTGGACCGAAATATCAAAGATGATGTCCGTTGGGAAAATGATGGATCGTGCTTGCACCACTCATCTTATTATCTCGATCGATCGTCCGTTTCTTACAACTCATGAGCTGATGCTTCATATTCCTACGAAGTAATTGTAAAATCCCACATCGACCAACGGAGAAGGGGTAATGTGTCTTATATGTACATACTCCCCTCTATATATAAAGAGGCATTTTGGGAACTCACTGGCTTCGGGTTCCATCAAAACTTCGAAGTTAAGTGAGTTCGGACGAAAGCATTCTTAGGACGCGTGATCCACTGGAAAATTCTCATATCAGTTCCTAGAAACAAAACCGTGAGGGCGTAGCTGGGGCCCAAAGTATACAATATTGTACTACGGCGGAGCCTGGACTAGGATGTCACTCTGCCATTCGGTGCGGATGTGCCGGCAAGGATGCCGGGTTCCCCTTAAGTGAGGTGGATTGTAAGATCCCACGTCAACCAACGGAGAATGGGTGATATGCCTTATGTGTACATGCTCCCCTCCATACAGCACGAGGCCTTTTGGGAACTCAATGGCTTCGGGTTCTATCGGAACTCCGAAGTTAAGAGAGTTCGGGCGAGAGCATTTCCAAGATGGATTACCCACTGGAAAGTTCACATGGCTTTGGGTTCCATTAGACCTCCGAAGTTAAGCGAGTTCGGACGAGAGCATTCCCAGGATGGGAAATCCACTGGGAAGTTCTCATGTGGGTTCCTAGAAGTTCACATGGCTTCGGGTTCCATCAGAATTTCGAAGTTAAGCGAGTTCGGGCGAGGGCATTCCCAGGATGGGTAATCCACTGGGAAGTTCTCATGTGAGTTCTCAGAAACAAAACCGTGAGGATGTGGTTAGGGTTCAAAGCGGACAATATTGTGCTACGATGGAACCGAAACTGGGATGTGACAGTAATAATATAACATATATTATTTACATTCAACATCCTTTCATATATGGAATCTTAATCCGTAATGAAAATTTAATCTCTAAGTCAGTTGATTGATCAACTAATTCTCTATTGTTTGATAGCGAGCCAATTTGCCTATACGAAGGGAGGGGGGTGAGGAAGGAACGAAAACAGCAAAAAGATAAAAAAGAAAATGAAGGAGTGATCGTGTGTGTCTGTCTCCCTGAAGCCGTAAATTGCGGCTCATTGACGTAAAAGGAGTTGTGACCGGAAAGCTCTCGCAGATGGACGGATGGGATGGTACTGGAGTTAACGGAGGAACCACCGCACATTCCTCGCGCTCTAGTCTTTAGTTTTTTGGTCATGATGAACATTGCTACATTTAGGCCCACATTCTGATGTCTCGACTTTACCTGTTTGTGGGTAATTTCACGACACAAATGATTCACGTTGATTATCAAACTCGGTACTGAATATCATGCATGTCTGGCGGTACTGAACTACTTATAGCACGCAGTTGAGAGAAATTTCTCTTAACTATTCTAACCTTAGGGATCAAATGCAGTCTGCAACCGTTGCTATTCAAATGTTCAGGTTGGGAAGCAGATCATGCTTTCTGTCCCTAGAGATTAGTCCTCTTTTACAATTCACAACTCATACCTATGTCCATCGCATGCGCACTGACAAATTCTTTACCAAAACACAAAGGCAGTACCATTCCAACATTACTGAGATTCGTTTACACCTTTCTGCATAAATCAATCTAAAAACTAAAACCCCTCACAAGTGACATGTACCATAAGAAAAACAGCCACCATGAGCACTCACCATAAGGCCTGCTCTTGACACCAGTACGAATGGATTTAACAATCTCTAAGCTACCGATTCTTGCAGAATTCCCCACAATGGCCAGTTGGCGGCTAAGGGAAGCAGTCAAGGAGACCCTTATAAGTAACAGCAATGGTGAATTTGATGAGGGTACTCACATTGTAATAGCAGGTCTTCCTAATACACACAACAAAGATATGAGGTACATACTCAACCCTTAAGGAAATTTATTGTTTAACACGTTTGGCATGAGACCTACCTAAATTGATTCCTAGGGAATCAATTTCTTAACTTCGCACTACTTAAATCTAGCTTCCACTCTCTATGGTCCTCACACGTCATCATCTTACATTCAAGAATTCGAGAAATTAGCCAAAGCGATGGCAAAGGGAGACAAAGGGCTTCCTTAAGGTCCCTTACCACCACATCTTTCCTATGTACAACTCAGGCTCATAGTTGATTGTTCTGGAGACTCTTTCCTTTGTACAACTCACGCTCTTAGTTGATTGCTCGTCTCCTGGCTCTGATATCATCTTAAATTTCAGGTAGACGGGTCATGGGCCCACTCCAACGGGTAGACGGGCCATAGGCCCACTCCAACAACATTAATACTGTCCCCACTTAGCCACCTACTCAATCCATCAAGTATGAGGTTTTATTACAAAAGGTCTCGGTGTTAGTTAGAGTGGGGTAATTCTGTTTAAAAGGTTTATTCTCAAGCCTTCTGGCCGATGTGGGATAGAGGATATCTAACAACTCACCTCCCCCAAGATACAAACTTTGGGGGTTATTAAAGAGGATATCAACTTACCCAAAAGTGGATCATTCAAAAAGGGAGATAGACCAACTGCCACGTTTTGGAGTGCTAACTTAAGATATGACTTATTGACGGAAGGGACATATGCAGTGGTAGAGATGCTTCAAGGAAAACACTGGTTTCCTGTTTACGACGATGATGATTTCTCCCTCTTTTTCAAGTGGAATGTAGATACCAGTAGCTTATATGGCACAGCAACCATAGAAGGGGAAAGACCGAGGGATGCAAATTCGGGGGTTTACAGGCTAAGGCATTTTGGTTCAGCAAAGTAAACCAAGGATTCCCCCAACACCTGCTTCACTGGCGCATCTAGTGGATTTGCAGTCTCTTAAATGTTTATTTAGTATTTTTCTTTCATGTGTATCCCTCTTAAAGAAAATAAGAAGATAAGGTAACAAGGGATGCAAATAAGTACTCATTTAGAAAATGAAACCTTTCATGCTTATTGATAGCTTAGAGTACATATAAATGTAAAGGCTGTTGCACACAGAAGTAATTTACTCATTGCTCATATAGATTACACATCGAAGGCATTGCCCTTCAATGAGCAAATCGAAAGCGCTGTTGATGTCTTCAAACCTCACCTCATGTGTCACAAACTCATCCAGTTGTAGTTCCTGATACCATGAAAATCAAAAAATTAAAAGGATATCCAGTTACAGTAAAGCGAAAAACAATCCAAGTAAACAGTTTACTCCTAAATCACCTTGTCCATGTAACGATTGATGAGAGCAGGGATATCCGATTTAGGTTTGAGTCCTCCGAATAAGGATCCCATGAGGGTTTTGCCGCTGTGAAGGATATCACTAGAGGGAAGGCTCACCTTTGACCCTGGTTTGTCCACGCCTAACACGATTGTTTTTCCCCAACCCTGCAGTTGAAAAGAAAGATATTAATACACTGTTCAGTGAAAACAAATTATAGCCGCCTAAATTCATCCTGACGACTGATGGAGGTTCACAAGCCTTCTGGGCATAGACTTACATAAAATATGATGCATGTTATAATCTAAAACAACTAGCTCCCACATGATCAGAATTATGCACTTTCTTGTTTTGATAACTAATTATCAGAAGGGGAAAGATGTTCAACAAAAGACAGCAAAAGACATGATAGTGATAATGTCTGTGTGTGTGAGAGATAGGAACGGTAAAAGGGGGGGGGGGGGGCGAGAGGGGGAGAGAGATAGAGCAAGAACCTTTCGGCTACAAGCATAAGCTTCTTGCACCAATGATGCCAGTCCAACACATTCAAAGCAATAGTCTGCACCCCCGCCAGTCATCTCAATGATCACCTGTTTTACATGAGAAAAAAGAACTGGAAATGCTTAGTAGGATAACCAAGTGAACCAGAGGTGAAAAATTAAATACTACAATCTCTGAATAGTCAGGCATAGTTTTAGAGAAAACCTGGCTCGCAGATTTATTCTCACAAGTTGCAGCATTCACAAAGTCGGTGAGGCCCAACTTCTTTCCTGTGGTGATAAGAAAAAGAACAATAAGTGGTGATAAGAAAAAGAACAATAAGTGGTGATAAGAAAATGAACAATAAGTGGTGATAAGAAAATGAACAATAAGGTCTATATTCTTTGCAGAAAGCACATTCACATGAATACAAAGCTTTTTGCTAACAAAAGTAAGATCAATTTCTTCTGATAGAATCCAAATACCAATTTCAAATTTGTCCGGATTCACATCCACTCCAATAATTCTAGTAGCTCCACAAAGTCTTGCTCCCTCTGCGACCTGGATAATTCAATCACGGACGTGATGCAATTAATCACATATCATAAAGAGGAAAAGTAGCAAAAAGATATGCAGACTACGTTCTGCAAGAACATACAGCTAATCCAATTGAACCTAGCCCAAATATAGCAACAGTTGATCCCTTCTCCACATTTGCTGTCTTCCAAGCAGCTCCAACTCCTAAAGCCAAATTTGTCAAAGATTGATATAGATGTTATCTAAATTTTTAGTGAGATGCGACTACACATGTACACAAAAAAATGGATTTTTTAGAACAACTCTAGATTTTTCAAACACCACACTATCTCAATAAGAATTATAAGGAATTTCTAGTGTACCTGTTGATACTCCACAGCCGAGAAGGCATGCCCTATTTGGAGGTACTGCAGGGTCAATTTTTGTGACATGGGCTACGTCAACCACTGTATACTCTGAAAAACTAGACACGGACAAAAAATGGTATAGAACCTCCCCATTGAGGTCTGTGAATCGGCTAGTCTCGTGTCTTGGCATAAAAGGTGAGAGCTTGAAGGGGAGTTTTGTACATAGGTGGCTCTTTGTGGATTTGCAATCTACGCATTCTCCACATTCTGGCATGAAAGTTGGGATGACAGTATCTCCTTCTGAGACCTCATTGACATCCTCCCCAACACTCTCCACAACCCTATGACAAATAAGCATTGATGGACAAGTATATCAGCAGTGATGATCAAACAAATGTGTCTGAAACATATGACAACCAAAGCTTCTAACTGCCCTTTGCAGCAAAAGTTAGATGTGGTTGGTGACCGATCCCCGATTATACTTGTGCTGATTAAGGAAATTAAAAAAAGTATACATACATCAATGGACATGGTAAAGATTAATAAAGTGATAGACTTGGCCTTTCTTTCTTCCCTTTAATTTTTGGCAGTTCCTAACTTGCTAGTTGCTACTTTATCATGTCTTGGAAAGCAAATGGCAATAAGACGTATAGGAAAGCGTTGGAGCTCACCCCACAGCTTCGTGACCAAGAATTCTGGGGAAAATTGCAGGAAAGTCCTAACAAACAAAAAGTTTTGGAAGTAGTAAGCACCAACTACTTGTTAATTAATTATATAGGAGGAAAGAAGAAGGAAAGAAAGAACCTTCATTTTCCAGAAAGTGATATCGCTGTGGCAGAGAGAGGTACAGATAATTCGGATGCGGACTTCATGAGGCATTGGCGGCGCCACCAGGATCTCTTCCAGAATTAGCGGCTCCCCTGCCTTCCGACTCACCGCAGCTATTAATTAACATGCAAATTCAAGTGCAACACATATCAGTCAGAGTCAGACTACTATTCATTTGAACTTAATCATGCATTCATTAGCAGCAAGAGCAAGAAAGTTAATCAATAATTAATAATCAAAGAAGAGAAAAAACCGAAAAGAAAAGAAAACCTCTGCATCGAATAGGCTTCCCTCTCCATCTGCTTCCACCCGACAATCTCTGATGCTCCATTGCTAAAGCGCTCGCTCTCTCTCTCTCTCTCTCTCTCTCTCTCTCTCTCTCTCTCTAAACTTGTGAGCCTGTCTGTCTGCTGTGACTTGTGAGTGCGTTTAAGGCATTAGGCATGGACCATTTTTGCAGGAGTAATTTTATTCTTACCATAATTTTATACTACATTTTTTTACTATTTTAGGTGGCAGATGAGTTGGACAAGTTACATAATTTAATTTCAATTTTTTTGTTAATTAAAACACTTAAATAATCTTATGGGAAGAAGGAGACTCCTCGTATAATACAATCATCATTTAATTAACAATTTTTTATTAATTATTAATTAACATTTTAAAATTAAATATTAATTAATTTAGATGATGTGATTGTCTACGTCAGATGTCATTAAAAATGAGATATAATTGTAATACAAAAAGATACTAAGAATAACATTGTTTTTTTAGAGGTTTCTGGTCAGAATTCAGAAAAAGGACGTGAATAAGGACCGTTACAAACGTAATCATTTGGAATTTTGGCTGGCCTTTGGACTTTGGACCTTGGAGTTGGGAGTGGCCAACCAGTAGTTTTTAGCAATAAAATATGTGATTAGAAAATATTATCAGTAGATTAGTAGGTTAATGAAATAAGACAGCCTGCCTACAATTAAATTAAACTATGAATTTTATTCTCAATTTACAATATATAATTTGCTGTAAAATTGACGGTATGTGCAGTGGAATAAATAAATAAGACACAAAATTTACGAGGTTCTTCTACCGTCAGTGTGATTGGAGTACGTCATCAGGGCAGTAGTGGTGCTTTCATTATAATCTGAACTAATAAAATTACAAATATAACCCTCTCTATTATCTCCTCTCTTTTTCCTCTCTTTGCCATGAGTCTTCTGGCTTCTCTCTTCCTTTTTTTTTTTTTTTTTTTTTTCTGTATCTTTATTCTCTTCGTATCTCCTTTGATTTGTAGGCAAAGTAGTGGCAACTTCTAGTGGAAGGACATGTAGAGTGGGATGAGTGGGATGTAGTGGGTTGACCATCCACATATTGAATGGCTCATAATATTATAACATAATTATATAATAAAACTAATTGATCAATGAATGATCGAGTTCGTCCAATGAAATCAAATAATAAATGACAAAGATGTAGGATATACATGTGACCAGAGAATCGGAATATGTCTGATCATGCGATTCATGCCCGTGTAGGCAGCCCCTCATCCCTCATTTATAACTAAAGGGACTAAGCAAATTAGTTTATGGATTACTAAAAACAAAATAGTTTCTAAATTACCGATTTATTGTTAACTCCCTCCCCACTCAAAGATTGTGTGTGCAGAATTGAAGGTGCTATTTTACCCAGCAAACCCCCAGATATTGTGCGACAGCCTCTCGAGTCAAAACAAAAGTTGGCGGCCCTTGGAATGACTGACTCAAGTGGCATCAATTTTGCTAGCTCAAACGTAATACAGTGGCCTTTACTGATATTGGTGTCAATGTCTAAGCTATTTTTTTTTTCATCATCCCATGACTTGAGGGTAGATTTGCAACTTTAACGTTTTTTCTTAAAAATAAAAATAAAAAACCCTCCTCATATGCACTATTCGTACACTAAACAAGAAAATAATAACATTATATTCATGCAAGTTTTGAAAATTACAACGTCATTGTTTAATGTTGATAGTATAAAACCATCAATAATATACAACTAATTATACTTTCATTCCTCCTCATATGCACTCTTCGTGCACTAAACAAGAAAATAATAACACTACATCCATGCAAGTTTTGAAAATTACAACATCATTGTTCAATGTTGATAGTATAAAACCATCAATAATATACAACTAATCATACTTTCATTCCTTCTCAAAATCTTATGGACAGTTTCTAAATTTTTTTTCTAATACAAGAAATTCTACGACGTGAAAATTAAATATCAAAGGATATGAGTAAATAAATGTAGACGCTTAAGTCACCTAGCCACAAACATCTATTTATCTTATTTTGGAATTAAGTCAAACGTCTAAGGTTTTTAAAATTTGTTCATTAAAGAATGAGTTATCCCAATTTTTTTTACTTTGAGTTATCCCAAATTTAGCTTGCACTTGGTATTTGCCATTTCCTAATTTAATCCCAAATGTGAGGAAGAAAGTTGAAGTCAACAAGAAAATTAGCTTTTAAATTTTTTTTTTTAAAAAAAAAAAAGAGAAGAATTGTTTTCTTCAAGTCATTTTAGGATTTTGCTTGCTATAAAAAAAATAGTCATTTTAAGTTCTAAATTCCAACAGATATCGTACACACCTCTCGTTTAATAGGAACCGGAACCGGAACTGGAACCTTCCGAAAATTCCCCAAGTTTGCAGTTAGGGCTTTTGTATTGTAATTGAAGACCACCGGAACCGGACTTTCCAACGTTGTTACTTTGCATCAGCCAGTTGAGGCCTGCGATCGCCGTAGGATTGAACGATTATCGGGTGTGTAGATTTGCTTTTTGAAGATCAAATGTTTTGTTTGTTTGTTTGTTGGAGTTTGGAATTTATATTCTCAGCATGACATATAGCCCGTGATATTCGGCAATTCGGCATTTGAAGGGTCCAATGCAATTCCCAAATCAATGAAATTTCCAGTCTTATAGGGTTTGACTGCAAAACCCTAAATATTTGTTTGCACGTTCAGATTCAGCTCTGTCGAGCAATAGCATCATCCGGGATTCTATTGCGTATTGCAAAATCAGACAATATCTGTTATATTGCTTGTCGATTCTGCGAATTATGTACTACTGTACTAGGAAGTTTGATCTTTGTTGTTGAAGGAAAAATGATGTTTGATTCTACAGGCAGATACTAAAGGTTGGAAACTTGAGGTTACTTTCTGAACCATTTCGACTAGCATGGAAGATCAGCACTCCAACGAAGGCGCCAGTTCCGGCAATGTTGTTGGGGCCACTTCTGATTCAAATCTTGAGATCAATATTAAGACTTTAGACTCACAGATGTACAGTTTTCAAGTTGATAAAAATGTGAGTTCTAGTCTTTGGTCATGTCTTTCGTAATGCTTACTTATATGGGTTTTAGTTTTGTTATTTGTCATATCTAAACCGTGAGCCAACTGCTAGGAACTACATGTTTGTCCCTGCCCTTATCAAGATATGATCCCTTCAAGATCTTATTTATTTTATATACTGAGATATTTGTACATATACATTTTTATTTCAGATGCGAGTTTCACTGTTCAAGGAAAAAATAGCTGATCAAACAGGTGTACCAGTCGGTCAGCAGCGGCTGATTTTCAGGGGAAGGGTGTTAAAAGATGACCATCCTCTTTCTGAGTATCGTATCCTACTATTCCGAACATGTATTGTTTACATTAGATTTATATAGGAATTCTGGTGCGTGTAGTATGTTCACCCAGGCAGAATGCTTGAAATTTGAGTAACTGAATTGGATCTCTACCTGTCATCTGTCAGCTGGGTTGGTTAGTTTATTGTGTCACCACAATACATATGTTGACACACAAACCTCTTGTATGACATTTCAATTTTTTTAAGCTTTCAAAATTTTAGGTATTACAATAGTTATTGTTGATCCCCCACTTAGTTTCTATTGCTAAACCTTTTGGGAGTGCCTCATGATCAAATCCTTGTTGTCCTGCAATGTGGTTGCTGTTGCACATCTTAGCCACTGTTGATCAGTTTCAGCATATGATCCCTTAACCTCTTGTAGATTTGGAAAATGGGCACACATTGCACTTAGTTATTAGGCAGCCATCCCAGCCACAACCTTCATCGGGTACAAGTTCTGGCGAGGCACATGTGAATAGTGGTAAATAAGTAATTTGATTTTAGTAGTGTTGGTACTTCTATTTCAGGTTTAGAGTAATTTGTTTTTTGAGCAATGTTGGTATATAAGCTTCTTGATGTAATTTGGCAGGAAATGATGCTAGTGGTGTTCCTCATGGTCGCATTGGCCAGATATCTCACAGTGTAGTTCTTGGGACATTTAATGTTGGAGATCAAGGTGAAGGCGCTGTTCCTGATCTTAGTCGGGTTCGTATTCGCTTCTTGTTGTGCTAAAGTAATGGATTTATATGTGTGTGTGTGTGTGTGTATTATATATAAATGGGTGAGGAGCCTTAAAGTTGTACTTCCGGAAGCACATTATACTTTATTCTTTCTTGGTAGCTTATTGGCGCGGTTCTGAATTCTATTGGAATTGGCACCCAGGCTACAACTAATGGCACAGGCAACCCACAGTTCACTACTTCGGTGAGCAATGAATGTTTCTTGAAATTACAACCAGATTTGTCTAATATCCTAAGTATTTTTCTCACTTGCAATTGTGGTCCAGATAAAATAAATTGATCAAATTACTAGTTTCTTGAAACTGCTGTAATCTTGTAAAACTAAAGAAAATGTCATAAGTGTTCATGGGCTAACGTTCCTTAGGAAAAAAGTATAAATTTATTGTGTGGTTTTCCTACAGTCAAACACTCCTGGTCCGCCTCGTAATGGAAATGAAACAGAAGGGTCTCATAATGTCAACGGAGGAAGACATCAAGCACAGTCTGGACAGGCATTTCCTACTCAACCATTCCGAACTTTTCCTCAAGCTGTGCAAACTCCTCTTGCAGCTGCAGCATTTCCTATGCCTTCATTAAATATGGTATTGTTATGATTTTTTGGGCATGTCTTATAAGTGAATTGGACATGTATGTGACTGCTTAATGTTTTTTATGTTTTCTGTTCAGCCAATTCCACACTCTTTGGATACACTCTCCGAGTTCATGAAGAGAATGGAGCAGGGATTATCGCAAAATGGTTAAAAACCAAAAAGTCTTTTACTATACAGTAAGACATAAGGAATAAGCTAAAATTTTCTGGTTTTATTTAGGTTATCAGCCAAATACATCTGCAACCAATACAGGAGACCCATCTAGGGTGAACTTACCTTCCACTGCACAGGGGATGCCCACACCTGAGGCATTGGGGATTGTTCTTCGTCATGTAGAGCGACTACTCAGCAATCATGCTGTTTCTGTGCTATCTGTAAGACTTCTAAATTTATCTTTCCCTATTGATTATGCTGTTTATGCTATTTTTTCCAGAGAAACTATGATGGCACCATACACATACAATGATCATTTTCCCTCGAATTAACTGTTAGTCTTGGACTTAAAAAGTTTTGTATTTTCTCATTTGGGTTGTAGAAGAAGGGTTCCTTTGCATGCTAGAGCATATCGTATCTAAGTTTCAATTGCATTGTATAACAATGCAGTTCAAAGATTTCATGTCTTCTATGATTAAAGGAATTAAAACTTGCCTTTTGATAAGGATACAAACTTTTTGAGACTTGGATTATTAAAGTGCTTGCTTACCACAGTCATTATTCAATCCGCCCAGCTGATCAGTTCAGTTTGGTGGATTGGATCAATTTCAATAGATTCACGTGTAATATGAAGATTGAAGCTATTGTAAAGTGTTTTGCTCATATCATGTACCAAAAATAATTCTCAAAGAGAGTTATTGTTTCCATACTTTCAAATGCTTACCAGCTCTCATTTATTAAAATGGAAAGCTTCATCCTGATAAAGATTCATGACCATTTCATCTTTATTTACTGCTTGTGTTAACTGATTCTGAGTTTAATTTTAATTTGCTGCAACTTTGTAGCACATTGCAGGACGCTTGGAACAAGATGGAGCGTCTCCTGATCCATCTGTGAGAGGTCAAATTCAGACAGAATCTATACAATTAGGACTTGCAATGCAACATTTAGGTTCTCTTCTTCTTGAGCTTGGCCGAACGATTTGGACCCTTCGTATGGGGCAGTCTCCAGTATGTTCTAGTTTGATCTCAATGTCCTGGTTTAAATCTGTGAATAATAGGCTATAGTTGTTTATAATTGTTGTGGCAAAAAAATCTACAGGGAGAAGCTGTTGTGAATGCTGGGCCAGCAGTTTATATATCCCCATCAGGGCCTAATCCTATAATGGTCCAGGTTTGTTGATGCATTTATTATGAATGTATACATACTATCACATATGGATTAAGCAAGACATGCAAATGAAAACATATAAATTATTTATAATGAATAAGTCGAGTGAAAATTATTATTATTGGGGACTAATTTTGATAGTATAGTGGAGAAGCAAAGTATGGCCATTAGTTCAGTAAGTGTGGTTGTTTAACTCGGCGTTTTATCTTTTTGTTGGTATATCCATTTTTTGAGCTTTGGTTAATTTTGGTTTAATTATATTGATTTTGTTTAGATGCCAACCAACCCCCGCGAATAATGTTTTGTTTGCAGCCTTTCCCTCTTCAAACAAGCTCACTCTTTGGTGGTTCTGTACCTCAATCAAACCCTGTGAGTTTTGGTCCTGTTGGGATTGGAAGTGCTCCAAGGAATGTAAACATCCATATACATGCTGGTTAGTAAAATTTATCGCTGACTTGAAGCTTTTACCTTTTATGTATCAATGCAAAACACTTTTTACCATCGAGTACCTCACTTGCACAAATTATTTCCGCAGTTGGTGCTAGGGGTAGTAATGGGGAGGGTATCCCATCTGGTTCTAGGGATTCAGGTGGCAGGGTGCTGCCAGTGAGAAATGCAGTTGGTGCCACTATTCCATCCTCCCAAATTGGTGTTTCAGTCTCCAATGCGTCACAACCCAGTTCTGGTGTTTCGGTTTCACAGCAGCCTTCTGGCTCCTCGGTTTCCTCCATTGTTGCTGAACTTAACTCACATTTTATAAATTTTGTTGGCGATACACAAGCTGAAGACACAGTTCAATCAGGTACCTTGCTGTATGTGCTTTGGCTTCTGTGGATATAGAATGTCATTCTAGTTTTCCTAAGCTATTTTGTTCTGTAATCAGGTCAGGATGTGTCCACTGTTCAGAATCCATCTGTTGAACCACGTAATTATGCAGGAAGCGAACCTCCAAGTACTGGCTATGTCGATGTAGCTGGTGTGTCACTACCTGGTTGCACATCTGAAAGTGACGGTCAGAAGGTATGTTTCACACATTCTTGGAATTCCCTTCATTTAGGTTGTTTTATATATTTATTTATTATTTCACTGATGTAATCCGATGCCCATCCGTAATGTGTCAAAGTTCGTAATTCTCAGGATTCAGGAAGTGTTAGTACCTTGAAAAACGATTCAATATTCCCGGTTGGAGGTTCTCTAAGCTCTTCAAGTGACCAAAACACCATGGTGAGAGAAGATGAGAGGGGAAATGCTCCACAATCCAGTGAGAAGCAAGCTGAGGATGCGAAATCTGTTCCACTTGGTTTAGGACTCGGAGTTTTGGAGCGTAAGGTATAATAATTTTGCATCTGTTTCATTGATTTCAGAAAAATCTGTTACAAACCAAATTTCCCCCACCCCCCCCCCCCCCCCCCCACTTTAGTCTTGATATATCAGCAGTTTAAAGTATAAATACTTGGCCACAATATGATGGATGTAGTGCTTGGGGAAGCAATTAAGAGTACATACTATTGGTTTGTTTTTTTTTCAGGCTCCTACATATTAAAATAAATAAATACTTTGCAGTCAATTTTCATTTAGGTTGTTACTGAAACTGTATCATTGATCCAATCAGAGACAAGCCAGGCAGCCAAAACTGCTGACCAAGAATGGAGATGGTGGAATAACTAGTTCTCCCATCAATCAGAATCAGCAAGTAATAGGTGGCCAGCAAGTTTCACAGTCCCTTGCATCTCGTAGTTCTGATGTAAGTAGGATGAATTCAAGTGATGTGCCAGCAAGACAAACAGTGCCTGCTGTTGGGCAGGTCAGAGATGGTAGAACATTGGGAGGGCAAGGTCTTGTTGGCCAAGTTGATATGGGAAGCATGATGTCTCAGGTTCTGCAGAGTCCAGCCCTGAATGGTCTGTTGGCAGGTGTTTCAGACCAAACAGGAGCGGGTTCTCCCGATATATTGAGGAATATGTTACAGAACTTTACACAGAATCCACAGATGAGGAATGCTGTCAATCAGATTGCTGAACAGGTTGACAGCCAAGATTTGGGAACCTTGTTTGGAGGAGGCCAAGGTGGTGGGATTGATATGTCCAGGATGTTCCAACAAATGATGCCCATTGTAACTCGCGCTCTTGGGGCTGGATTAAATCCCGTCCGGCCATCCTCTGCTTTGGTTCCTGAATCTCGTCCACCCCACAATGAGCGAGGTCTCAGTAGAGATGATAATGTCCCTAATTCTGAGGTGTGTATATGGACTTCAAAACTTGTCTATTCGTCAAAGTCTTGGATCAACATTTCACTTTTCTGGGACAGTGAGGGTTTTTGTATTTTTGGCCGTAAAGGGTTATGGTTTGTTTTTTAATTGAGCCATAAATTGCAACTTGTAATAGCTCTTTTTCTTTATGCTCTAGATTAATCTCCAAGAAGTGGTTCAGAGGATTGAAAACCTGAATGCACCGGGAGATGTTTTTCATGCTCTAGTTGAAAATTCAGTTCAGCTGTCTGGCGGAGGAAGTGGTCCTCAAGAACTTGTGGATGAGTTGTGCAGGGACGATCATCTCTCCAGTGTATGTGTTGTATGCTTGACGTTTGTGGGAGGTGCTAGTCTTGAGATTAATCCGTACTGTATTTAAACGGTTGTGCTTTTTCCACTTGTGCAGGAATATGTTCAAATATTACGCAGGGACATACGGCGACGGCTTGAGGGTGATTCAGGGAAGGACAAGTGCTAATACTGCCTTGCAGGCGGGCGGGTGGGTGTTGCTATGGATAGTATATGGCTTCCAACGGGGAGGATCGTGGGTTTACTTGTGTTTTAGAGTTGTCATTTGAAATTTGTTTTACAGATTGATCAGAATGTCGATGTCCAAATTGGGATTGGGGGTTTGGTTTGATCTGCCTGGGATGTACCATTTGGTTCGTTGTTGGAACCAACCAGTTTCATAAATTATTAATTGATTTCTATTGTAAACACAAAAATCAGTTGTGAATCTGAGTTAATAGATTAGCTGACGGCTTTTTTAGTTAATGTCAGTATTTGGTACGGGCTCCGCTAAACTTTTACGATTATTGAATTACGAATTTTAATTTTTCATGTGAATGTGACATTTGGTTGACGTATAAAAGTTGTTTATGTTTGATAGCGATCATATATATGTACTAAGGAATAGTAGCATGCCAAAGTGAAGGGCAGCTTCGTAAATATGTACAGACGCCAAAATTGTTCGTGTGTTTTCGAAAGTAAAGAAAGAGAGGCGAGCGGAACAAAACTACTCTCCTATTCAATATTTGAGTCGCAGTCGCAAACAATAACTGGGAACATTCCTCATCCGTTCGCAGCTCGTGAGCTTCCCACCAAGTGTCTTCACGTTCAATGGAGTCGTCAGCCGACGGCAAGCCGAAGAAGGCGGGGGGCCGCCAGTGCTGCATCTGTCATGAGAGACGGGCCGCCCTCAAGAGACCCAAAACCCTAGAGCAGGTAATTTCTCCTACTGGTTTGCAGGGAGTAAAACCCTAGAATTGAATTGAATCGGTTATTGTATGTGAAGATTTGCAGGGTGTGTTTCTACGAGGTGTTTGAGCAGGAGATTCATCAGGTCATCGTCGAAAACCAGTTATTTAAGCCTGGTGAGCGCATTGCCCTCGGTGCCTCCGGCGGTAAAGGTAAATTAATTAATCAAGCTGTGCTTCCAGTGCTGCTGAGTGGTGATAAATTATATGCCGTTTTGGATTGTAAAAGTTATGTTATGTGGACCTTAACTTCCTTCTGCTCATTTCCTTTCGTGTTATTTGCTGCCTTCAGATTCCACTGTCCTCGCTTATGTATTATCCGAATTGAATAGGCGGCGCAATTACGGTTTGGATCTCTTCCTCTTGTCAGTTGATGAGGGCATTACTGGCTACAGGGACGATTCTCTTGAAACCGTCAAAAGAAATGAAATCCAGGTCAAGTGAATTTCGACTATGAATTTTCGGTCATGTCTAATGCTTTGTGTTTCTCTCTTTTTAAAGCTTTAATTGACTCTCGTTTGTAATCTTTACTTTCAGTATGGATTGCCGCTGAAAATAGTCTCCTACAAGGATTTGTATGGGTGGACCATGGATGAAATAGTAAAGATGATAGGTCTCAAGAACAATTGCACCTTTTGTGGTGTTTTTCGTCGTCAGGTATTTGGCTGTCTTGGAAATTGGCTGTTTTTCATTTTCTAGGCATCTTGTATAGATGTGTTTAGACATGAGCACGGCATTTTGATTTTTTGACAATATATGATATTTCCACAGAAACTTATGCTGCTTGTTACTTAGTTATGAATGAGTAATTTAAGCACTAAAACTGGTCATTGAAACTTTCTGCATATAACACCTCCAAAACGCTGGCATTTGTGAGCTTTCTCTTTCTTTAAGGATGGAAGGCATGATCGAATTCTATTGGTTGCGAGAGATAACAAGGAACATTTCAACATAATGGATATATCTATTTACCTCCCAGGCCCTCGATCGTGGTGCTGCACTGTTGAAGGTAGACAAGCTAGCTACTGGACATAATGCAGATGATATTGCTGAAACAGTTCTTTTGAACATATTAAGAGGTGACATTGCAAGGTAATTCATTGTTCATATTCCATCAAGGGTTTTTTTTCGTCAGTTTGTTTGTATGTTGAACTGAATTTATGGTTTTGTTTTGCAGATTAAGTAGATGCACTTCAATTGTCACTGGTGAAGACGGGCCAATTCCAAGATGCAAACCTTTTAAATACACCTATGAGAAGGAGATTGTTATATATCCTGGCTGCTGAAATATTCAGTACTCTGATATTTTTTTTTTTCTCTTTTCTTTCATCTCTGTTATTCATCTTAATGTTGAGTTGGAATTCTTTGCAAAGCCTTGACTAATTTTGCACGTATGCATATTTCAAGAGGCTGGATTACTTCTCCACTGAATGTAATCTATCTTTCCTCTCAAGTCTTCCTCGGTTATTTTCCCTCCACTCAACCACCATTTGCACTATATTTCTATGTTTAATGCTTTTACCGTTAGATCTCAGAAGACATTTTTGTCAAATTGCAGGCATTTATTCACCCAATGCATATCGTGGTTTTGCTCGTGAATTCATCAAGGATTTAGAAAGAATCAGGTGAGTGCCTTGCTGAGAGAATGTTTCACTGGTTGGCGTTGTAGTTTTCAGTTTTCACAAAAAAAAATTGACTTATTATATTACATTTTCAGTATGCACATTCTGTACTCCTAGTTTGACATTTTACTGGACTTCTTTCAACTGAAGACCTAGGGCTATACTTGACATCATCAAATCAGGGGAGAATTTCAGAATTTCAACTTGTACAAAAATGCCAGAACAGGGGACATGTGAACGGTGCGGTTACATTTCCAGCCAGGTAAGTTTGTTACCCTAGCATACGTGACGTGATTGAGATATCTGATTAATGTTACGCATTCTCATTTGCTTTCGTTACTTGGGTAGAGTTTGGTTAGAGAATCTGAACATTTGTTGTTTTATTGTGCAGAAATGGTGCAAGGCTTGTGTTTTGCTAGAGGGGCTGAATAAGGGTTTGCCAAAGCTGGGAATTGGGCGGAGTCGAGGACTTAATAACGATGGGAAGAATGATACGAAGGAAAGAAATGGAACAAAAAGTATTGAAAGCAAGCAATGTGGGAGTTTGGATTACTGATTAAACGTGCAGGCTATATGGTATAAAATCATGATTGACAGTAATGGTAAAGCTAGGTTTGGATATTCGTTGCAACACTTGTAATGATTTGGTTTTAGCGGGCAATTACTTGTTTACGTTTCCTCATCTGTAGCTTAGTTGACATGTTTACCCTAAGGATACGATTAAATCGTGTAATTTCCAATTTTGTCACAAGATTTTCATCAATAAAACAAATTAGTTTTCTAGATCGAGTGGGCAATGGAGCATTACTTGTAAGAGAAGTTTTGTTATGATACGGAAAATTTTGAAAATATCAGCTGCCTCACCACACCAGGCTCACCTTCTGATCTCGTTCACAAAACTTCGTATAAATTTGAGTGACTTTTGGTTGAGAAAGCGTTGGTGCTGTCAGTGCTCACTGCTCAGCTTAAAGTAAAGATTTTAGGTCAGGTTCTGTACGAATTCAATTCAGGTAAACAAGATTTAGTGGTTTGCTTGGACTTGGAGCTTGGGATTGAAAACGTTCTATTGATTCTGATCCTGTGATGGATTTCGCATGTTATCTGTTTTCTACAAATTCTATGTAAAGTTAAGGGTTGTCTGTTTTAGTTATGAAACATCTTGGGCAGGCGAATCAAGTGCTTAAAGTCTTTCAGTTTCATGTTTCCTTATAATTCTCAAGTGGCTAGCGGATATTGTGTTATGTATTTGTGTCTGGATATTTGAGGGTTGATGTGTCGGACACCCTGCATCTAGTTCTGTAACACTACCTAGTACCTACACACTAAACTCTGAACATCTCCTCTAATTGAGTAAAACTTCTATATACCGGTTAGATAATCCCCCTCTACCAACACACTTTGAACATCTCCTCTGATTGAGTAAAGCTTCTACGTACTGGTTTCATACGCTTCTATGTTTCTCCTCTCGTGGCCAAACTTTTTCTGCTCCAATTCATGGAATTTCTATCATGCTAAAGCTTGTGTTGCCATATCATTGGTTCTTGTGCTTGCACACACATAGGCTTCTACACCGTTGAAGCCGGTACCGCATTCTTTAGTCTCATCCACGAACAAGGAGGATGGAAGACTGAATTATCCTAATGGGTTTAGGGCGTTTTGCATTAAACTTCTATGTGTTGCATGATTGGTTGGGCAAATGACTTGTTAGCCTATGTATTCAACTATTCGGGTTGGAAAACACTTGGTTCCTTGCATGTAAGGGGTCATTCCTCCTTGTAGACGATTCAGATATGTGGTAGAACTATTCCTTTTCTAGTTTCAATGAGATATTTTCTTACATGTTGAACTATAATTGACACTTAAAGAAGAATGACTGTTTATACGTAAGAAATCAAGCAGTGTTCGTTGTGCTTTTACTTTTATTTCCTTTGGTACATAATTGTAGAGGTCTTTTACCGTGTGACCCGAAATTACTTTCCCTTGCATGCATCTCACTGAACGAATTTCATGTGAGCCTTCAATAGTATGAAATGAATGCATTGAAGCAATTGGGAGGGTCAGTTTAAGGCCCTCTTAATTTTAAGAAAAAGAAAAGGAAAGTGTTATGTTAGTAGGATTTGGATCCCATCCTGATTCAAATTGTGGAGATTCTAGGGATCTTCACATCTTACTCATTCATCGTACATCATGCAGTTAAATTTTATTATTTAAAATTAAACATAAATAGTAACTAACTAAAAATAACCGCACGATGTACGATGAACGGTTAAGATATGAAAATTCTTAAGATCCTCTTCGAAGAAGATCAAGAGAGAATCCTCATCATATTAGTAATAGAGTGGTGTCATCATATTTGAATTTTTGAGAACTGGTCAGCTAAATTGTAGTGCAAGTAAGGAACTTTTGTAGCCTTCACACTTCCATTCCATTTTCCATGTGAGAGAGAGAGAGAGATTAGGGATTCGGTTGTGGGTTGATTGAGATTTGAGAGCAATGTTTGTTTACATATCGTATTACTTTTTGTGGGCCTCAGCCTGACTGACTACATGATTATGAGTCCAACAAAAGTTATAAATCCTTTTTGGAATAAATGTTTTTGTGAAACAGCTGTCTTGTGTTATATTGCGTTACTATACTACTAGTCTACTAGTATTGATTTGGTGTTTTTTTTGTGGTGGTATGGTTTGAGTTCAACATGCCCTGTTCATGGGACCCCCAGCAAAGCAAACAAACATATTTCAATTAAATTTTTGGGTTTTGGGCCGCATTTGAAAACGAATTTAGAAACTGCGTGCGCATGTTTTACGTCGGGGAGTTGCTATTTTATTTTGTTTTATCACTAAATTTACTACTTCAACTATTCTTCTTGTTTGCGGGAAACAAAGAACGAACGCGTGGGCGATCAAATCGCTTCCTATATGATAGGAATTCTGATTTTAGGTATTGAGTTATGAATTTTAATGTACAACTCGCACTTGTTATTTTATCTTTGGTCGGATTTTCTTGCATGTTTATTTATGCTACGACAATATAAATTAATAAACAGTAACTTAATTGGTAATTAGTTAGAAAATGGTTATTCAAATACAAAACTCATGTTACGTTACACAAGTGATAATATAGGAGAGATAATCAAATTTAAAACCTTGTATGTAGGAGCAAATGTTGTTATTTTTATTTTTATTTTTTTATAAAAGAGGAATAAGTGGTGGCAAGCCACGGTTATCCATTTCTTTCAAGGGCTGAAAAAACTCACAGAATCAAATATTGTTAACTTGAGCTACAACATTTTAGGACATTCTAGGAGCAAAAAGAGTGGGTAAAATGTGGTTGAAATAAAAGGCAGGTATAGTGTCATTAACAAAAAAAAGTCTGAATTCAGTTAACTTGAAAAATAAAGACTCGCCAACTTTCACATGCTTGCTTTTGTTCCACGGATATTGTATTACCGTACCCCATTTATGTCAAAATAACTAGAAAAGAAAGAAAGGGACGTGAACAAAGTGACTTTTTGGTGGACATTCAAATTATGTATAACAACTGTAATAACATACTAAAGTAATTTGGAATAAGAACAATTAATTGTCACATTATGTGGTTTGAAAAATACGATCTAAAAGAAGTAGACCATATTTTGATTTATAAAATTTAATTTAGAAATTAATTTGTCAAGCATTACTCATACAAAAGATGTGTGCAAATGTGTAAAATCACGACATGCAAAAGATGCCGCTATATCTGTTGAAAATTACAATTATAGAATGTAGAGGTAACGTCTAAGATTCACGAGAGCATTGACCGTAGGGATAACAACGGTTTGGTTTGGGGACATAAATGTTATATCTATCCCCATAACCACGAAAATTAACCATATACATAACCGTAAATTACCCATCAGTGATTATCCATAACCATATCCACTGGTTCAATCCGTTATCTGTTATATCCATCTTCATCAAAAAACAAAATATATATATATATATATTCATCTAATTGACGCATTATAAATTTTAGTAGATACTAATTCCGTCATTAAATAGCAACATCCAATTACAAAAAACATAACAATATATTTGAAGTTGTTCATGATAACATGAACCAATTTCTTGACAGTGAGACTCTTGAAGAGAGATGAATCTGATAAACTTGTAACATTTGATAATTGATATATAAAATGATTCAATGAATTAATTGGGTTGAGTATACAATAAGAGTACTGAATTGATGAAGTTGTTGGTATGGGCCATGCATGATGTTTGGTGTATAATAAAGATAACATAGGATTTGATGCATGCATAATGAATTAGTATAGAGAGGGTTTGGTAAATTGAATAAAATTATATTATATATCAAATATATATATATATATAATATTTGGGTCGGATATGGATTGAGGATCCCTATAATCATATCCAAAACCATAACCAAATAAAATTTACAGTTTTTCCCCATATCCATACCATACCCGAATTTTCATATTCAAATCCAATTCATTCGGACGGTTATCCATAATTATCCGGTTTAACGGTTAGAATTATCATCTCTAATTGACCGTGATATATGTAATTTTTATTTTTTTTTTTTTGAGTTAAGTTTTGGTTTGGATTAGGCATTATATATTAAATTAAAAGTATATGGCCAATGGCAAATCAGAGTTGGGTGGAAAATGGTTGAGTTGACTAATGAGTGATGAGGGATGGGTTGAGTGAGGGCAGAAGAGGGCCCCGCTTTGTTAAAAACTCCACATTCTCTCACATGCATTCTCTTGGTCCTGGGATGGCGCCAAAGCGAAACCCCCACCCATCCCAACCACCTCACCTCCAGACACACACAGTCGCAAGTACAAACACCAACCCAACCCAACCCATGTGGCAGACACACACTTCACACTCCCAATTTATTCACTTCATAATTCAAATTTAATTATGGATAACAGCCACACATTATGTGTGTACTTAAATATATAACATTTTTTTTTAAAATTATAATCTAAACGGAGTTTTAATTGAATGTAAATTAAGATATAAAAAAGGGAAAAAAAGGAGTGGGGAGAAGTTGGAGGAGTAAAATTATAGTTACATGAGATGCTGCAAGCAAATGTTTTATTTTTTTAATGTAAATATTTAAATGCTCATGTTAAGGAGATTAAATTTGTAAACAAAATTTTGAAAATTGAAAACATAGAAGTTGATGATTGATTTATCATTCAAGCATTGATAAACGTATTCATTCTTATTGGTGATACATCATTTAGTTTACAAATTTAGTCTCCAAATTTAGTTTCTCCAACATTATCCTGTTTCTTACGGTAATGCGAGAGAAGTTAAATTTGGAAACTAAATTTTGTAAGTTAAATGATATAGAAGTTAATAATTAAATTATCATTTAAATGTTGATTAGCATACTTATTTCTTATTGATGACATAGTATTTAATTTACAAATTTAGTATACAGATTTAATCATTTTAGCATTACTTTTTTTTTTTATAAATATTTTATTACAATTACGTACGAAGGACTATAATAATATTTTTATTGATTTTAGTAGATAAAGAGGATGTTATATTAATTAATTAATAGGTATGCAAATAGAAACCACCACCGACACCCACCGCTAGTTAATTTTCTTGCCACCTCTTTTAAATATAAATTATACTATATAATTTTCAGGAAAAAAAAAGGAGAAAAAGATTATGCTTTTATTAGCTTTCCCTCTCTGCGGTGGCGGCTATGCTCCATGTCACCCGTGGTTGTCTGTACCGCACTTAAATATATAGGTGTCATTCCTCCTCCTCCTCCTCCTCCTCCTCCAGTCCTCATCGATTATGTCATAATCCATTCACTCTTTCCCTTTCCCTCACTTCTCTTTTGAAAGTCACTCTCCACAGCTCTCCTTTTCCCTTATTATTCCAAAATCTCTCCGTCAGTCATTAGCTTAATCACATAGTCGTACGCATAACTAAATGCCGCTAAACGGAGCGGAAGGTGCCATCTGGGCACTGCTATGTCTCGCCGCTCTCTTCTCCATGGCCGTCGCTGAAGATCCCTACAGATTCTTCGAATGGAATGTCACTTACGGCGACATTTACCCTCTCGGTGTTCGCCAAAAGGTTTATCCTCCAAATCTAATTATCTTTTAATCAGTTTGTGGCATTGTTTAATACGTTGACTCAAATCAGTATCTGATTCCTCCGATCTGTTGAATTTAATCTCAGGGAATACTCATAAATGGACAGTTCCCGGGGCCAGACATCCACTCCGTCACCAATGATAATCTCATCATCAACGTCTTCAACAGCTTGGACGAGCCGTTCCTCCTCTCCTGGTAACACACAGCACACACTCTCTCTGGCTCTCTCTGCTCTGGCTCTCTGATTAGTTACCTAGTTAGTGCAAAGATTATATACCAAATCAATTTTTTATTAATGATTTGTAATACATATGAAGTAAAACCTAAGAGACAAGATTTCCCTCTTCATTTTTTAAGCCTTTGATTAGAGTGCGGGGTTAGTGCAACTGCGCACGTACACCTCCGGCTCAGACAGTCAGACTGACGCCTTTGTTGGTTTCCACATTATTATCTATCTTTCTTTTGTATTTATATTTTACTTTTGAGTTTAGATCTGGGGAATTGGGGAATGTTTTGTTAATTGTTGTTATTGGAGGGAAGGCATGGAAGGAACAATTCAATTAGATCCGGTTCGTTATCAATACAATAATGGTAGTAATCTGGTACTAGTGACTTCTCACCAGCTCAGCTTTCTATATCTAGAAACTAGAAAACGACTCGATTCCTCTGCGGCTGAGCTTAATCATTTGATTCTTGTTAATCAACCTCCTCTTATTTTGACTTCTCATGTTTAATTTTCCTACCATTAGTTATTAGTCATTAGTAGAATGAGTAATTACTAGATAAGAGCGCTATATGGTGGTGAATTCCTAACATATAAATTGCTCTTTATTTTATTTTTGAGTTTCTTAATAAAATATGCTACGATTTTATAAGTTTGTTGGCTTAATTGTTCTTGACACAAGGAACAAGAAAAAAATAAAATAAATCCAGTAAATTAATTAATTCCTGTGAAAGGATGCAGGAGGTTATTTAACTAATTAATTGTTTATTTAATTTGGGTAATTATCCTATTTGTAAAAACAGGAACGGAATCCAACAAAGAAGGAATTCATTTGAGGACGGAGTGTATGGAACAACCTGCCCAATTCCACCGGGGAAGAACTTCACCTACATTCTCCAAGTCAAGGACCAAATCGGAAGTTTCTACTACTTCCCATCTCTCGCCTTCCACAAGGCTGCCGGCGGCTTCGGAGGCATCCGAATTCTCAGCAGGCCCAGAATTCCCGTCCCTTTCCCTGATCCTGCCGGTGATTACACTGTTCTTATTGGTGATTGGTACAAGGCTAATCACACGGTAAATCCTATATTTCCACTTCTTTTTACTTCTCCAACTAAAATCAAACACATTAATTTATCCGTGTTCCTAGTTGCATACATTTTCCCGCGTGTTTTTTTTGTTTCATCCGAAATTTTCGCGCATTTTGGAAAGGAAGAAAACAAACAAAAACATAAAGCGCTTACGTCGGTAGGCATGTAACCGCTTACTTTTCAAGACAGCTGGACCTGTTTGAAATATGTGATCCTATGTCGGTAAAACCAGCCCTTATGCGTTTTTATTCCATTCGAAAGCAATTTTTTGTGAAAAGATAAAAATCAAAAGCAATTTGTAATCCAAATTTTCTCTAAAAGGAAAACTAGTAATGGTTTTTGAATTACAGGTGATTAAAGGTTTGGTTGTTGAACTAAGCATTGGTGAGTATTGATGTTCATGAAATTATCACAATATAGAGAACGATCATTTTTAACAATAACAATAAAATTTTCTTTCACAATATAAAATTTAGGCAGATAAGACATGAGAGCCGAGCTCTAAGTTATAACAGTGTTACTAAAAAAAACCAGCTCTCAACATAATGACGATTGGATTAGAGACCAAAATTGTAACTAGGACTAAATTTTACATCTAACGCACCAATTTTCTTTTTCATTTTTGTTATCGAAATTGCGGTAACCCTTATTGGTGTTGCGAGACTGGGGATAATTGTGTGTGTGTGTGTGGGACCACGAACGCAGTGTTCAGCACGTCACTGTCTTTATCTGCCCACTCCAAATGGCCCATTTGGTGACCCAGTTTTGTCTTAATGTTATATAACTTGTAGCCCATTGTTTTGTTCTTGTGGGTCACTCGCATTATCTCCCAGACCTGTGACGCAAGCTAATAATTCCGAACAGTAAATCTCTGAAACCATATCTCAGTAGCCAGAAGAATAATACTTCGCTGCTGTAAACACAGCAGGAAGTCCTGCACAAAAGTGACGCGGCACGTTCACAGAACAACACGTGTGGGCTTTCCTCCAAAATCTCTTTCAACTCTGGTTTAGTTATTTAACCCAAGTAAAACGGAGCACCTTCTTCTTTCTTCCTCTCCAGCTCCTTAGATTTCATTTGGGTTGCGAGGATCGTTAGGCTATGGTGGTGGGGGATGATGGTTGACAAGAGGCTACAATTTTGATGGTGGCATGAACAGATGGTGGGTTGAGCGGGGGTTGCCGACTGGAAGGGCCAGAAAGAGGGAAAGATAAAGCATGAAGCTTTGCAGTGGAGAAATTGGGAGAGAGAGAGAGAGAAACAGGGGCAGGGAGGAGAGACAAATGAAAATATGGAATTTCCAATTTTTTTATCTGTTCAAAATTAGTAGGATGCAAAAATATTTTAGGATTTGCAGCCATCATGAAGCCCTAGATCTTTCTTCAATAAATAGTGGGAGAATTGTTGGATAGAGAGAGGAGAAAAAAGAAGACGGTGAACAGGGAAGGAAAGATGCAGGGAAGGAAGCAGTCAAGAACCTGCCAAATATTTTTGTTTTGATACAACTGGAATAAGGAACACTTACTCCCTCAACGACCTCTTTGTTTTGATGCAAGCTAATATTTTACTTTATATTATTTAAATTGCAAAAAAATAGATTCGAGCTCATCAGCTCAGTTAATGTAACTACATTCACGTCTACCTCGACAACAACTTTGATTAGTTTTGATTGCTTTGTTAATTTATCAGTGTTGATTATTTTATTTGTCTTGTACAGACCTTGAAGGCTCATCTGGACCGTGGTAAGAAGCTACCCCTCCCTGATGGAATCCTTATCAACGGCCGCGGTCCTGGTGGATTCTCTCTTAATTTTGAGCAAGGTGTGCCTTCACAGTTAATGTCGATATCAACTTTTACAATCACAAGCATCCTACATTAATCTTCATTAGATTGTTAATGGTGCATATGTATTATGCATCTCATTGCAGGAAAAACATACAGGCTCAGAATTTCAAACATTGGGTTGCAAAATTCCCTCAACTTCCGCATTCAAAACCACAAAATGAAGCTGGTAGAAGTAGAGGGAACACACACCCTCCAAACCACCTACTCATCCCTTGATGTACACGTTGGCCAATCTTACTCCGTTCTTGTAACAGCTGATCAGCCCGGACAAGACTACTACCTTGTAGCTTCCTCTCGTTTCACCTCTCCAATCCTCACCACAACCGGCACTGTCCATTACGCCAACTCTGCTGGCAAAGTCTCTGGCCCACCCCCTGGTGGACCTACCATCCAAGTCGACTGGTCTTTGAACCAAGCCCGCTCTATCAGGTACTTTCTCGTTTCATACTATTTCTATCAAATTGGACTAATGTCCTGACCATTCTCCATTACGCATGCATGTTATTTCAGGACCAATCTTACAGCAAGTGGACCGCGGCCAAACCCACAGGGCTCATACCACTATGGACTGATCAATTTAACCAAAACTTATGTGCTACAAAATTCCGCTGGTCAAGTGAACGGTAAGCAAAGATATGGGGTGAACAGCGTGTCGTTTGTTCCAGCAGACACTCCCTTGAAGCTCGCGGACTACTTCAAAATTGGAGGAGTTTTCCGTGTTGGAAGCATCTCCGACAGGCCTACTGGTGGGGGATTGTACCTTGACACCTCGGTACTGGGTGCTGATTATAGAGCATTCGTCGAGATTGTGTTCCAAAACAACGAAGATATAATTCAGAGCTGGCATTTTGATGGTTACTCTTTCTTTGTTGTTGGGTAAGCATACCCAACCCTCTGTTCCATATGCTCAATTTAATCCAGTCTTTTCTTGATAAGTAATTCGAAATTGCTTGTCAAATATTTGCAGTATGGATGGAGGGCAGTGGACAACGGCTAGCAGGAGTGCGTATAATCTCAGAGATGCGGTTTCACGTTGCACCACTCAGGTACGTAATTACTCCTTGTGCATTTGATGCTCACATTCTAACTATGACAATGGGGAGAAGAACAAAAAAACAGAAAAACAGTAACATACGTGTATATATATGTGGTTGATTTTATAGATTACTTTGAATGCAGGTGTATCCCAAGTCGTGGACGGCTATATACATTCCGCTAGATAACGTGGGAATGTGGAACTTGAGGACAGAGTTTTGGGCACGACAGTACCTTGGACAACAGTTATATCTGCGTGTTTATACTTCATCCACTTCAATTAGGGATGAATACCCTATTCCAAGGAATGCGCGGCTATGTGGCAGAGCAAGCGGCCGGCGCACACGACCCCTGTAAACTCTAAACTAGGAGTGAGTGAAGGGCCTCTGCGATGGAGTTTTAGCTCTAGCTGATGAAGATAGAACAACAGTCCACTCGACATGTTGCTTCAAATTTGATTTTTCAGGGGTGCTGTTTGATTACGATATATAAATTTATGTCAAAGACCTCAGCTCGAGGTCACATTAATTCTTTACTATAACAGATTGATTGTATTCCTTTTGTTAGTGTACCAGGTTTTCGTATGCCTAATTAGTAATTATCATCAGGTTGGGTGACCCTCCTGTCCTCAAGTTCCCCCTTAAATTATAAATTTTGTCACAATTTTGAATTAATTTCATCACGACAATACTCATGACCAAATTTTAGAGGCATAATAATGTGCAAGATGGAATTCAAATGTATCAACTATTCAAAAATAGGTTAAAATATGATTCAATTTGAAAAACTAATGATACAAGTAACATCGCAGAGACAATCACACAAATTGAATACTTGTTTGGATGTAATATTATTTATACCAGGAAAGGAGAGGGGATAAGTTTACCCTCACAATGAGTTAGCAATAATGTGGTATCAAATTCACTTTTGGCGATAATCAAACCTAAGACTTTTTACTTACAAGTGGAGAGGAATATCACTAAACTATAATACTAAGGAGTTGTTTGGATGTGCTTTTAAAATAACTGAAAATATATTTAGAGAATGTTTTTGAGTTCTAAAAACACATGAAGTACTTTAAGTTTACAAGATTTACTTGTATTTTTATAAAGAATTGATTTCAAAAATATTTTCATTAAAAATATTTTCAACCATTTTAAAAATAAGCATCGAAAAAATCTATAAGTATGAATAAAACCTAATTAAAAGTTTTTGTATATCGTAAACCAAATAAAAATTAAAAAAATAAAAGTGAAACAAGAAAAAAGCAATAGGGCCTTCCTGGTTCCTGACTTTCGTTAAAATCATTTTCAACCATTTTAAAGAAAGTCAAGTACGAATAAAACCTAATTAAAAGTTTTTGTATATTGTAAACCAAATAAAAGTTAAAAAGATAAAAGCGAAACAAGAAAAAAGCAGTAGGGCCTTCCTGCGATTTCGCTAGGGCATCTGGTACTTGTCATTTCCAATCACCGGCTAGAAATCACGCTGGACCACCCTTCCCTTCCAATCCAACCGTTCGTTCCATAACCCTTGTTCTGATGCATCATATTTTGAAAAACCGAGCAACCTAGCGGAGGTATACACCCGGTTCTTCTCACTACACTCTCTTTCACTCCTGCGCTGCCGGTTCAACTTAGAAAGAGTGAAAAAACCCTCGACGCCGAAACCAGTTATTTTGGGCGGGATCTAGAGTCTTCAATTCTCCCTTCACTATCTCCGTCTTCGCTTTCTCTTCGGTAAGATCAGGTAGTTTCTTTTTCACGGTTTCCGTTTCCTAAGATTTTGCGTTTTAGGGTTTTACAGACTTCAGATTTTCTTTGCTTCAAGTTTCCTTGCTTCTCTCATTTTCCTTGTGATTTGCGTGCTCGGATTGTTTTTTGCCGTTTGATTTTACTCTGTTTTGTAAAATCTCACAGTTTTCTTTCGGCCGAAGTTTTTTGATATCTCTATTCCATGGCGGTAAGCAAATGTTTAGAGTTTAAACTTTGGCATTTTAATTTCAGGTTTCATTTTTTTGTTTGATTTGATTTTATTGGTAAATGCGATAGGTGGAGAGAATTTTCAAAGATGAAGCTAGTGAGGAGAAAGGAGAGCGCGCCAGACTGGTGAGTTTCCTGTACCGTGCTTTGAAAGTGCACAATGTTTTGTAGTAAACAAAATGTTATTTCTATGAATTTCATGGTTAATGATTGAAAGATTTTGTTTCCTGAAATTTTGTTGGATAATGTTCTTGACTAGAATCACAGCATTTGTTCGAACTTACTTTTGTGGGATTAGGGTGGATGTATGAGGTGTTCCATTGAATCTTTTGTTTGGCTTTAATTTGTTGTGTTCGTAAGGCCTTCTGCGATTCGCTACTGTCCTGGATTATACTGTTGTTCAGTATGTAATAGTTTAGGCAGATGTAGATTAGGAAATTTCAATTTTCATTTTGCTATTCGAATTCAAACGGATATGGCAAGATTCTGACTTATCCCCCCATGTACAACTTATCTTTAATTTGTATTGTTTTAGGCTTCATTTGTGGGCGCAATGGCAATTGCTGACTTGGTTAAGACAACATTAGGGCCGAAGGGAATGGTGAGTTTCTCTTACTTAATCTGTTGCCAAACTAATAGACACTAATGCTTATACAATGCTTTCCTACTTGTGTTAGTTACTTTCCTGTTAATATTTTTTGTACAGGATAAAATTTTGCAATCAACTGGAAGAGGACACGAGGTTACTGTTACGAATGATGGGGCCACCATCTTAAAGTCCCTGCATATTGACAATGCAGCTGCTAAAGTTCTTGTTGGTATCCTGACCATTTGATTTTAAATTTGTGACTGTTTATGCTGATTATTACAGGTTGTAGACATATTTTTCTATTTCAGTTATCTACTTATCACTTGACACATATCTATTTGGCCAAAACTGTTGTTGGCAAGTTATCTTTGATCTTGAAGTACTGAAAGTGTATGGGAGTGGTAGAGATAGATCTCGCTCACATTTGGTGATGATCCTTAATACAAGAGTCAGATATTTCAAAAGTTCAAGATGATGAAGTTGGTGATGGGACAACTTCCGTTGTTGTTTTGGCGGGTGAGCTCTTAAGGGAGGCTGAAAAGCTGGTTTCATCAAAGATTCACCCAATGACAATCATTTCAGGTTTGTCTTAGGTTTCTGCAAACACGTATCTCACTAGTTTTGTAGTTCTGTTCTGTTGTAGTTTTATGTGGTGCCATGTAACTTTAGTGCTTTAATGCTGTAAGTTTGATTTTTTAGGTTATCGGATGGCAGCTGAATGTGCTCGTAATGCTTTATTGCAGAAGGTTGTGGATAACAAGGCTGACTCTGGTATTCACTACTGATTTTTCCCTTCTTCTGTCCGATCCATTGAATATTTCACCTCATGGATCTACTTTCATTTAGTAGCTGTTGATATGAGTTATTCTAGTTAGTAGTTACATGATGTTCAATATTGAATTTGATGGGTTTGGTCTTTATGCATGCTGCCATCTGAGATTGGAGCTTTTGAATTGATTGACATTGTATTCATTATCTTTGCCTTGTAAAATTGTAACTAAGTGAAGCCATCACTGAATTGTGCAGAAAAATTTAAGTCGGACTTAATGAAGATCGCAATGACTACTTTGAGCTCCAAAATTCTTTCTCAGGACAAAGAACATTTTGCACAGCTAGCTGTGGATGCTGTGATGCGCCTAAAGGTGATTGTAAAATAACGTATAGTAGTTAAGGTTCAGTCTGAACGTTGAAAACATATCTTTTTCTTTAGTCTTCATTTACTTAACAAGCTGTTTCCATTGGCAGGGAAGCACCAACTTAGAGGCTATCCAAATTATAAAGAAGCCCGGTGGATCACTTGTAGATTCATTTTTAGATGAAGGGTAAGAAGGAAAATGAACTTTTGAGCTTATGTTATTTTAACTGCTAGTTTTGACAATTTTGGAAATTTTGGAATGTGAGTCTTGGATTCTTTTTGTTATTTCATGACTTCTTCTATACTTCTGTTTTTATTTTTCAGATTTATTCTTGACAAGAAAATAGGTCTTGGTCAGCCGAAGCGCATAGAGAATGCAAACATTTTGGTCGCAAACACAGCAATGGACACAGACAAAGTGAAGATTTATGGGGCACGTGTTCGTGTTGATTCAATGGCGAAGGTTGCTGAAATTGAAGGGGCTGAGAAAGATAAAATGAGAGAAAAAGTGCAGAAGATCATAGGTCATGGAATTAACTGTTTCGTTAACAGACAGTTGATCTACAATTTCCCAGAAGAACTCTTTGCAGATGCTGGAATACTTGCAATTGAGCATGCTGATTTTGATGGCATTGAGCGTTTGGCCTTAGTTACTGGTGGTGAAATTGCATCAACCTTTGATAACCCAGAGTCCGTGAAGCGTGGGCACTGCAAGCTCATTGAGGAAATTATGATTGGTGAGGACAAGTTGATCCACTTTTCTGGAGTTGAACTGGGTCAGGCTTGCACAATAGTGCTGAGAGGCGCGAGGTATTTTTTTCATTTACATTTTGTTCTCTTCTAATGTTCTGCACTGGCTAATATTATTGTGCCCACACAGATGTAATTTTAACCTCGTGTGTGTGTGTGAAAGATAGTATATGAAATGTGAGAGATAATACATGAAATGGAGTACTATACATCCGTAGCTTATATATGGTAGCAGGTATTACATTTGTGGCTTGCGTTACTGACGGTTTTGTTATTAGCTGACTGGAAACTGCTACTCTTGTCAGCTTGTATTTCCCTTTCTTTCCGCTTATGGATATTCCTTGTAGCACCTAGTAATTAGGATTTACATTTGAAGTATACTCCAAAAAGATGTAGGAAGCTTTTGTTTTGGCCCTGCAGTTAAAGAGTTAAAATTGGTTCTTTTTACTTTTAGTTGGATGATTGTATGATATGTTTGTACTTTGGCAGCCATCACGTTCTTGACGAGGCTGAAAGGTCTTTGCATGATGCCTTGTGTGTGCTGTCTCAGACGGTCAATGACAGCAGAGTTTTGCTTGGAGGTGGATGGCCTGAGATGATAATGGCAAAGGAAGTTGATGAGCTGGCCAGGAAAACGCCTGGAAAGAAATCCCATGCTATTGAAGCTTTCTCGCGGGCACTCTTGGCCATTCCTACCATCATTGCTGACAATGCCGGTTTGGACAGTGCTGAGTTGATTGCAAAGCTACGTGCAGAGCACCAGAAAGAAGGATGCACTTCTGGGATTGATGTCATCTCTGGAACAGTAAGTACCAGAATGAAAAGAAAAAAAAAAATGAACAAAACAGTAGATTTATGACATTTCTTTAATATATTGAGCATGATGTTTGACCTCAGCTTTGGAAGGCTGTACCCGTGATGTGATACTGTCATGCAAAGCGAAGCATATATGTTAATGGGGAGAAATTACTTGCGGGTTGTCTGGACTCTTATAATGATCTGATGCATGCATTTTTTTGATGCTGGCAGGTAGGAGACATGGCAGAACGAGGGATATCAGAAGCATTTAAAGTTAAGCAGGCCGTCCTGCTCTCTGCAACAGAGGCTGCAGAGATGATTCTTAGAGTCGACGAGATCATCACCTGTGCACCAAGGAAAAGAGAAGATAGAATGTGATTTGCCAGAAACGGATGTATTTTAATGTCTGCCCTTTGTCTTGGCAATATGTGGTTTTGTACGTTGATGTTATTGTTAGATGGATCAAAGTTTTGAAAAAATGAGTTTTCGATATGGCCGGGATTGTAACTGAGGACTTATTTTGAATTTATCTTTGAGTGGATGTTTCTTATTTGGTCGGTCATCTTGCTTGGACCACTGAATTTATGTTGTTGACTTGCTATCGTGGATATTGGCATGAGCTCGTGAAAGCACTCCTTCGGCTGATTTGGTTCGATGGAGAGTCGATCCTTCCATTAGTAGAACTTTTATATTAACCTTGAGATATATGTATCAACCTTGCCTCGCGTTTATACAAGCTGTATTTGAAAGTGCACCAGATTCTTTTTAATACAATGATGATGATACATGATATTCTGCTTTAACGAAGTAGGAATGTGCAAGTATGCATATAAATCATAATTAAGTATCAAACTTGTAATTTTTTTAATAATATCTAGCATTGAATGATTCAAAAAATAAATAGTTGAGATTGAAAATAAAAAGATATAAATAGTTATGAAAATTAAATTTAATGGTTAAAACACTCGATACATTCAAAAGATACGTAGTATTGAAAATAGGTGATGTATTTACAAGTGTCAAAACATGGTGTTTTAGCATTGTAGCGCAATGTTCTAAATTTGATTACTCATCAAGGTGGAGCAACTGAGAAAGAATCTGAAAGTATCATCGGGGTTGCTGCGTTTTTGGTGGTTTATGATCAATGAATGACAAAAACAATAATGGACATTATGGATTTTCACAATATTATCCGATTTGTAACACGTCATGCCAAACAGGTTAAAAGGGGTTGTCCTGAGAGCGGGAAGCAAACAAAGTCTCATACCAACATCGAAGGCTTCGCAGCTATCCAGAAGAGAGCCTTCTCGCTGACTGCACATGTTTCTAAAGTGTCAATTATGTATCTATATCTATACAACAATATGGTAAGATTAAGATCCACTTATAAATAAAGAAAATCATTAGACTGTAAGTTAGTGTCTGCCATTGTAACCAAAGAAGTAAAATGACTATTATGCCTGTTTGATTAATACGTAGAAAAACTTCAATAACGAAGGTGATAATAGTAATTTAAGCCTTGAGGAACATATTACAAGATCTTGGGATGCAGTCGTACAATTTATTGGATTTCGAAAGTATTTTTAATGACTTTTTAAAGTTGGAAGTAGAAAAACTAAAGAAAAATAATCAAGGGACTTAAAAGTTATTTTTAGGTGTCTAAAATCTTCGGAATGTCCTACATTAATATAAGAAAACATGTGGTGTGATGAGAATACCTAAAAATAAGATGTAATCGTGGAATTTATTGGGTCCAAATGTATTTTTTTTTATGGATTTTTTGTCACCTCCTGGCCCGAGCTCCACCACATCCCTGGCTCGAATCCGTGGTAGCACGATATTGTCTGCTTTCGGTCCCAACCACACCCTCACAGTTTTGTTTCTGGGAACTCACACGAGAACTTCCTAGTGGGTCACCCATCCTGGGAATGCTCTTGCCCGAACTTGCTTAACTTCGGAGTTCCGATGGAACCCGAAGCCAGTGAGCTCCCAAAAGACCTTGTGCTAGGTAGAGATGAGAACATACATATAAGGCTTACAGGATCCTCACTCCTGGGCAATGTGGGATGTTACAATCCACCTCCCTTAGGGACCCAACATCATCGTCATCACACTTCCGTCCAGGGATTGGCTTTGATACCAAATTGTTACATCCTGGGCTGAACTCTGCTGTAGCACGATATTGTCGGCTTTGGGCCCCGACCACGCCCTCACGGTTTTGTTTCTGGGAACTCACAGAAGAACTTCCCAGTGGGTCATCCATCATAGAATGCTCTAGCCCGAACTAGCTTAACTTCGGAGTTCCGATGGAACCTGCAGCAAGTGAGCTCCCAAAAAGCCTCGTGCTAGGTAGAGATGAGAATATACATATAAGGCTTACAAGATCCTCATCCCTGGACGATGTGGGATGTTACATTTTTAATGTTGAAAGTAGAAAAATTAAATAAAAATAATTTAGGGCTGAAAAGTTATTTTTAGGTGTCTAAAATCTTTAGAATGGCCGACATTAATATTATGAAACATGTGGTGCGACGAGAATGACTCGAAAGTAAACTTTTGATGAATTTTGCAAAAATTCGCAAAATCGATTGAAAACACGAGTTATAACTCACGGAGTCTATGAAAAAATTGAAATTTTGGGAAAATTCGTGAAACTGATTAAAAACGCGGGTTATACTCACGGGTTCTGTAACAAAAACTGAAATTTTTAGTTTTGAAAAATCTTTTGCGTGGGATATGTGGAACATATTACAAGATCTTGGGATGCAATCGTACAATTTATTAGGTTCCGAAAGTTTTTTTTTATGAATTTTTAAAGTTGGAAGTTGAAAAACTAAATAAAAATAATTAAGGGGCTCAAAAGTTATTTTTAGGTGTCTAAAATCTTCGGAATGTTCTAATTAATATAAGAAAACATGTGGTGCGATGGGGATAACTTGAAAATAGGCTTATGATGAATTTTACAAAATTTCATAAAACCAATTGAAAACATGGGTAACTCAGGAATTATGTGAAAAATTGAAATTTTTAGTTTTGGAAAATCTTTTGCATGGGAAATGAATAAAATATTACAAGATCTTTGGATGCAACCGTACCTTTTATTAGGTCCCGTAAGTATTTTTTATGGATTTTTAGTGTTGAAAGTAGAAAAATTAAATAAAAATAATTACAGCCCTCAAAAGTTATTTTTAGGTTTCTAAAATCTTAGGAATCTCCTAGACTACTATTAGGAAACACGTGGTGCGACAAGAATACCCGAAAATAAGCTTTTGATGAATTTTGCAAAAATTCGCGAAACTTATTGAAGACGTGGGTTACTCACAAATTATTTTAAAAAAAATTGAAATTTTTAGTTTTAAAAAATCTTTTGTGTGTAAAATGAGGAACATGTTACAAGATCTTCAGATGTAGTCGTGGAATTTATTGGGTCCAAAAGTATTTTTTATGATTTTTTACTGTTGAAAATAGAAAAATTAAATAAAAATAATTTAAGGGCTCAAAAGTTATTTTTAGGTGTCTAAAATCTTTGGGATGCCCTACATTAATATTATGAAACATGTGGTGCGACGAAAATGACTCAAAAATAAACTTTTGATGAATTTTGCAAAAATTCACAAAATCAATTGAAAATACAAGTTATAACTCACGTAGTTTGTGAAAAAATTGAAATTTTAGTTTTGGGAAATCTTTTTGGAAATGAGGAAAATGTCATAAGATCTTGGATAGTCATACCATTTATTGGGTCCCGAAAGTATTTTTAATGTTGAAAATAGAAAAGTTAAATAAAAAAAGTTACAATCCCAAAAGATGTAACGATCCGTCCCCAAAAATTATAGTTCTTCTAATTTTAAAACGTGAATTTATGAAAATGCCCTTCGAGGCAAATATGTTGACTTTTGTTGACCACCTTGTCGTGTCACATAAGATTCATTTTCTCGGTGTATCCTTATAGTACTTGTCGCTACAAACGTGTGGGCGCAAATGGATCGTAATTTGGAGTTATAACAAATGAGTTATTAACGAATGAAGTCGAAGGCAAAATGGTAATTTGACCATAAATCTGGAAGGCTCCGTATATTGTTGGAGCATTAATCTGATGGTGCCACATGTGTGGCTACAATGGAGTAATGAGAAGATAAAATAGGGAAATGAAAGAGATGGATGGAGGAGAAATAAGAGAAATGAGGGGAGTGTTGGGCAATCGGGAAGAATGAGAGGAGAAAAAGGAGGGGAAGGGAGAGAGGAGAGAATGATCACTTAGTCTGGTTTCATTCTTTGACTCGACCCGACCCGACAAAATTGATGAATTCCAACAGCCCTCTCGCCATTTCTCCGACGAAGCAAGGCAATCCACCACCTGGAAAACATTCCTCGACCCTCCCTATTCCATTTCCACCCAAAATCAAAAGAAATTTAGTTGTAGTTTGGTGAAAAACCCACCGTGGGTGCCGTGAAAAATCCTTGCCGAGATCCACCATTTTTGAAACGTCCTCTTCCAATTACCACCACCATTAAACTCCCCTTGAGGCCTGGAACAAAGCCCAAACAACTGTAAGGGCGGCGGACCACTGAAGGTGACATATCGAATCCACTTATTTCTAAGGTTCCGGCGGGATCGAGGGCGATTTGGGGTGTTTTCCGACCGAATTGGAACTCAGCCCAGGTATGAAAGTAGTTGTTCCTCTCATTGAGATCTTCATTCTTGTAAAATTTGAGAATTTTTAGAATGGTTGAACTTTCTGGCGAGTCGAGGTGGCCGACCGTCGAGTGCGGCTACTCGTGGCCATTTGGGCCGCTGCCTCTTGGCTGTTCGTGCGGTGGCATATAGGGGGAAACCCGAGGTCCTTTTTAGGTTTTTCAACATGTCGAATCCGAATCCGCAGTTCGTTTTTCCAAATTCTAATGTTTTAGTAGAGTTTTACTAAATGGTCCCTAATTGTGTTTAGGCATTGGCGGGAAGCGACGTCATCCTCGCTAATTCGAATGACTCTCGGGTGATAAAATAACTGTGAGTGGACCCCTTCTTAACTATTATGCTTTATAAAATATTAGCCTAGCATGCATTGCATATTCCATTATTTGAATATGTTTTATATTATGCATTATGAAGTTTTATAATCATGGTTTACAAAAAGTTTGATTTATCAAAATTACGTTTTATTAAAGGTTATGAAATATCGGATTTGCAATATGGATTTCTATGGATTTATTATGGTTATGAAGATGGTTTGAGCTAGAAAGTTATATGATTTTTTGAGATGATGCTTTGTGCATTTGAACTCTGAGATTTAATATGAGTTTTTGAGATATGTTTTTGGTACTTATCTAGTGGGTTATAATACGACACATCTGCACACCACTGGTATAGATGTCTATGGCCATATGACAGATGATGGAGGAGTGAGATATGATATATTATATACCCCCAGCTTCATTGCCAAAAGTAGTGTCGGACAGCTTCACTAGCTAAGGCTAGTGTCGGTGTGGATGTATGCTATTTTATACAGTTTCACCTTCGGTGTGATGGACATGTTATTCAGCTTCACCTTTGGGCGATGGACAGGTACTGCCTGCAGGCGATTATGATACCCCTAGTTGAGTACCTCATTGATGAGATTTACGGATTTGCCTTCGGCCGACGATTTCAACATTAATAAGCATGGTTTTACACGTTGGATGCAATTGTAACTTTTATTAGGTCCCATAAATATTTTTATGGATTTTTAGTGTTGAAAGTAGAAAAATTAAATAAAAATAATTACAGGCCTCAAAAGTTATTTTTAGGTTTCTAAAATTTTAGGAATCTCCTAGACTACTATTAGGAAACATGTGGTGCAACAAGAATATCTGAAAATAAGCTTTTGATGAATTTTGCGAAAATTCATGAAACTTATTGAAAATGTGGGTTACTCACGAATTATGTAAAAAAATTGAAATTTTTAGTTTTAGAAAATCTTTTGTGTGGAAAATGAGGAACATGTTACAAGGTCTTCAGATGTAGTCATGGAATTTATTGGGTCCAAAAGTATTTTTATTGTTGAAAGTAGAAAAATTAAATAAAAATAATTTAGGGGCTCGAAAGTTATTTTTAGGTGTCTAAAATATTTGGAATGCCATACATTAATATTATGAAACATGTGGTGTGATAAGAATGATTTGAAAATAAACTTTTGATGAATTTTGCAAAAAATCACAAAATCGATTGAAAACACGAGTTTTGAGAAAACATCAGTCTATGAAAAAATTGAAATTTTAGTTTTGGGAAATTTTTTGTAGGGGAACTAAGGAAATTGTCACAAGATCTTAGATATAGGCATACCATTTATTGGGTCCCGAAAGTATTTTTTTTTATGGATTTTTAATATTGAAAATAGAAAAGTTAAATAAAAAAAGTTACGGTCCCAAAAGTGATTTTGGTGTATAAAATCTTTGGAATGTCCTACATTAATATTAGAAAACATGTGGTGCTACAATGACTCAAAAATAGGCTTATGATGAATTTTTGAAAAATTCGTGAAACTGATTAAAAACGTGGGTAATTCACTGGTTATGTAACAAAAATTGAAATTTTTAGTTTTGGAAAATCTTCTACGTGGGAACTGAGGAACATATTACAAGATCTTCGGATGTAGTCATATAATTTATTGGGTTTTGAAAGTATTTTTTTGTCGCGTCTCGGCCCGAGCTCTCATCACGTCCCGGCTCGACTCCACCGTAACATGATATTATCCGCTTTGGGCCCCAACCACATCCTCAAAGTTTTGTTTCTAGGAACTCACACAAGAACTTCCCAGTGGGTCACCCATCTTGGGATTGCTCTAGTGCGAACTTGCTTAACTTTAGAGTTCCAATGGAACCCGAAGCCAGTGAGCTCCCAAAAGGCCTCGTACTAATTGGATGTGGGTATGTACATATAAGGCATAGAGGATCCACTCCCTTGGGCGATGTGGGATCTAACAATCCACCCTCCTTAGGGGCCCGACGTCCTCGTCAGCACACTTCATGCCAGGAATTGGCTCTGATACCAATCTGACACACCCCGACCTGGGAAGGTCGAAGCATGCTGGCCATCACAGTGAGGTGACGTAACCATAAGGGTAAGTGATGTGAAAAGTGAAATAAATTTAAAACTAATTAGAACTAATAATACTGAACAGTGAAAGAGTGCGCAGTCGTGGGAATAACCCACTACAATTTCTGAGCTTAAAAGACAGTACGATTACTAAAGAGTAGTCAAAGCAGCTAAAGTACACTTATTACACAACAGTGATAAGTTCGTACGTCTAAACCGAAGATAATGTCAGAACTGCCAAATGATCCTCAAGTACCACAAAGAGTACAACTATCTAGGTCCTGGAGGGGTGAAAAACAAATTTGAGTGGGTCAGCAAAACAATGCTTATAAGAACACCTTTATTTTCGAATATACTAACCCCTCGCCGTAAAACAAGTATAGTTTCCTTAAAACATACTACATAGGTATGTAAACAACAATAACAACAATGTAACCAGGAAATATGCCAAGTCATGAGATATCAAATGCCACAGTAATATAATCATGTGATAATCAAGTATAACTAAGTGCTCATCCATCTAAGCTGGCACACGAGTTCGAACAGATAATCTTTGACACGAACAGGATTGGGTGTAATCAATACGCTCTAGTACTTCGATCACGTGAAGGCTGGTGTAGAAGCACGATCACATACAAGTCGGATTGCCTAATGCAATCTACCCGACAGAACTGGCACCTAACTTGGATCCAAGGCGAGCGAATGGTGTGGATGTGAACATACACATAAAGGACTGGCCCTGGCCCTGGGGTGGGTACTAACACCGGGGTGCAGCAGATGAGCATGTACAAATATGTATGAATGTCATGATAATAATATCCCAACCATATAACAGCATTTATCACAATTTATATCATAATAACGAATACTTGGAAAATATAAGTGTAAAAATGAAGTAAATACGCATTTATGGAAACTATAACTATGTATAGGTATAAAAACAAACTGCCCACTCACAAGTACGTCGTCAGGTCGTAGCCCCCGAGCCTAGCTTGGCCTTATAAGTCATTGGGATATGTTTCCCTTATATGTGAAATAACTATAAAAGAATTAATTAAAGCACATATACGGAAACTTAAATAAAACCCTTATAGTTTGCTCAAACCTAGGGTCTAAATACATGAAATCGATCTACTCGACGTCACGAACATCCCCAAATTTTTAGAAATAATTTTGGACCTTGCATGCGTCCCCACGAGCAGGCCAACCCTAACAGAGGCCTAACGACCGTTAGGAATATTCCGTTAAGTCCTTAACAGAGTTTAACGGCGTTACTTGACGTCGTTAAAATATTCCGTCAACTTTGATGGAATATTCCGTCTCTTTCTCCATCAAGCTCCGACGTCCGCCGCCTCCTCCGCCGTCTGCAACTCAACTTCGCCAGATTCTGGAAAAATTTCAAATTGCATAACTTCTTCATTTCTTAACCATTTTCGACCTACATTATATGGATTTGAAGCTTATGAAGAGTAGAATCATGTTATACCTTTTTGGAGTCTAAAAGGTGGACGGAGGTGGTCGGAAAACACCTCGAAAGTTCCGACCAAAAGCAAACTCTTTGAAGCTCAGTTGTTTCACTTCCAAACTTCTTCCAAATTGTTGAATGAGCCTCAAGGAGTTGCATATGAGCTTCCCCAAGCTTCAAAACTTCCCAACTCACTCAAAAATACGTTGAACTCAAATCGTTCGAGTTCGGACCTTCGGAGTTAACGAGTCAAATCTCGTCTAAACTAAGTTCTAAGGGTATGGTTGTGCTCATGGAAGTCAGACGAGCACGAAAATGAGATTCTTGGGTTCGATCTGTGACCTTTGAAGCTCATATAGGGTTGCTGCAGAGGGAATGGTATACGAGAAAAAGAGAGAGAGAAGAAAAAGAAAGAGAGAGTTCCTTTTTCTGATTTATGATTGGGTGCAGTGTAGAGGGAAAAGATGGGATTGGTGAGAGATTTGAGGGAGTTGATTGGTGAGTGACACAAAGGGAAGGGCACGGGTAGGATAAATAAGAAACTAGGGATAAGTCTTCTGATTTTTCTACAGTAAGAGGAAATCGAAATCTATCTGTAACAATGTTTTCACACTGATAAAAATTCACATATGAGTGTAACAATGTGTACAAAATAATTACAGAAGCGAGAAAATAAATAAAGAGAGAAATTAACACTTCTGCGCCACTTACCTCTAAGGGCATAATAGACAATTCACAAGTCAAGGGAGAAATTACATAGGAAAATTAGGGACGGGTCGTCACACAGTCATTCCATTTATTGGGTCCTGAAAGTATGTTTTTTTTATGGACTTTTAATGTTGAAAATAGAAAGTTTAAATAGAAAAATTTACGGGTCCCAAAAGTGATTTTTAGGTGTATAAAATCTTTGGAATGTCCTACGTTAATATTAAAAAACATGTGATACCGCTACAATGACTCAAAAATAGGCTTATGACGAATTTTGAAAAAAATTCGTGAAATTGATTAAAAACGTGGGTTATATGGGTTCTGTAACAAAATTGAAATTTTTAGTTTTGGAAAATCTTTTGCCTGGGAACTGAGGAACAAGTTACAAGATCTTCGGATGCAGTTGTACAATTTATTGGGTTTCAAAAGTATTCTGTATGAATTTTTAAAGGTTGAAGTAGAAAAACTAAATAAAAATAATTAAGGGCTCAAAAGTTATTTTTAGGTGTCTAAAATCTTTGGAATGTCCTACATTAATATTAAAAAACATGTGGTGCGACAAAAAGGACTTGAAAATAGGCTTATGATGAATTTTGCAAAACCCATTGAAAACGTGGGCTTCACGAATTATGTGAAAAATTGAAATTTTTAGTTTTGGGAAATCTTTTACATGGGAACTGAGGAAAGTATTACAAGATCTTTGGATGCAGTCATACCATTTATTAGGTCCCAAAAGCATTTTTTATGTTGAAAGTAGAAAAACTAAATAAAAATAATTATGGGTCTCAAAAGTCATTTTTAGGTGTCTAAATCTTTGGAGTGTTCTATGCTAATATTAAAAAAAATGAGCAACAAGAATGAATCGAAAATAAGCTTTAATCGAAAAAGCCAATTGAAAATGTGGGTTACACGCAGATCCTGTGAAAAATAGAAATTCTTAGTTTTGGGAAATCTTTTGATTGGGAATTAAAGCTTCCGTTATTTCTTTGTTAATAGCATGCATGTGAATCTCTAATGTAAGGATAAGATGGTCATTTCATAGTGATTGGTAGGTGACTAAAATTTACAGCCCACTCTAGTTCATCAACAGAAAGAAAGGAAAAAAAAAAAAAGTATCGAACATAGGGCCCACCATAGTTCATAAAAAGTACATTTCAATTGTTTATTTTTTTTATTGTAAAAAAGGCCGAAGAGTACAGAAAGAGTAAGCAAACACAGGAGGCCCAAAAAATAAGGTTACAGACAGTCGAATACAAGAGGCATCCAAAAATCTTGGCCGTTTATAAAACCATCAGGCGTACATTTCATGTTTTTTCTCCAGCATCGATAAAATCTACTCTATCCATGACGCACCCAACACCTTAGCCATGAAACTATACCGGTCAGCAGCTTCGTCAATCTGTTCATACAAGGGGCAGATAAACAAATACAATGACTATGATACAACTAATAATCTAATAACGAAAACATCCAATACTCACCATTTTCTGGGTTGGACGTCCAGCTCCATGCCCCGCCTTGCATTCAATGCGACCAATAATCGGATTTGTCTGTGGGCTATTCTCCAAACTTGTGATCAGAACATATTGCAAGGTCTAACAACAAAGATGAGTACACATCAATAAAAGATTTTTGTTGATAATGAGTGATGACAGCAGTAACGGTGGGAATATAACATTAAGGCCACCAGGTTTAAATTCCCATTCATCAATGTCTTATGGATTCTATTCGCAAAAGAGACTAACCGCCAATAACTTCAACGAGTGTAGTGGTACAACTCGGTCATCATGATCCGCAGTCAATAACATGGTAGATGGGTATTGGTGAGGTTGGCTTGCATGTTGTTCCCATGGTCTCCTAACATTGTGTAAAGGCGAGTACCTGAAAGCAGAAGGTAGAATAGTGAGAGGATAAGCACAAGTTTATATTCGTAAGAAAACCCAGAAATCTGAGCTTGTCCCAGAAACATAATAAACATGATCGCAAACCGCCTACTAAGCAGATTGATGAAGAGAGGACTCATAATGCATAATCCCTCTTATTCTAATAGTTAATCTCATTCCAGAAACAAAAATTAGCAAGGTAGTGAAATACTACTACTACATTGCTTTAAAAAATTACCATATATAAAACCGCAAGTTGCAATAAAAAACATTAACACCACCAACAGTAGGACGTGGGAAAAAAGTAAAAAAAAAGACACATTACTCACTTAATTAACCAACGGAACTCTTCCTCCTTGTCAGAGCAGCCATAATCAGAAGTCCAGGCATGACCTGAAAACATCTCTTCAATCAGACATATGTTGACACATATACAGTAAAAGAAAGGAAAAAGAAAACACTCAGATCATCTCCAATGGTTCGGATAAAGCTTAAATAATTTAAGTCTTAAATCACCCCAAACAAATTCCAACCATAGGGCTAAAATAAGCCTTGAAGAGAAAATAAATCTTTGCTCTAGATTGCCCCCAAAAATTAAAAGCTTGGCTTAAATCATTCTGGACCCACCAAACTGTCTCCCATGAAGGTGGGCTCCACAACTGAAGCCCAAATTCCCAAACCAAGCACCACACGCCAACAAAGCACGGAGAGGCCCAGGCAACAGTCCTATTTCAACTGTGATCAAATGGTCCAAATAATATGACTGTTGGATCAACCAACGGTCTTATTTCAAACCTCTTTTTTTTTTCTTTTTTCTTTTTCTTTTTTTTACTTATAATCCAACCGCTGTGATCAAAATGATATCAATATCTAACGATTAAAAAAAAGATGCCAAAATTATATTAATGTCCTCAAATTAATTGAAATCAAATTTCACTCAAAAACTTTATAAACACGTCTTAATTTGTTCAACCATCCACAAAAATTTAAATCAAATTCCACTTCCAAAACTATTTCTTCCCTTTTCCAAATTTTTCAAGATGTTGCTTTGTGCTTGTAAAATGATGAAGGTGTTGCTTTGTGCTTGGCAAGGGTTTCTATTAGCAAAAAGATGGTGCAATCGGCATAAACTAAAATCCTTGACAAATTAATTCCATCTCCAACACCAATCGAACTAAGGTGTTTACAATCGATGGAAGAGTATCGGCAAAGCATGTAACTTGTGGAAGGGAAGCTTGGATAAAGCCATGGTTAATGCTAGTGGAAGGATTTTGGAAGAATAGGCGAGAGGAGACAAATGAATAATTCGTCCGAAGGCACTTACTCATGGAGAAGCAAATGGAAAACGAAGATGCAAGAGACCTTTTAGAGCAAGAAAGGTTCGAGTTTGAGGTAATGAAGGAGAACCTCAACAAATATACTCCAAGGGGGAAGAAGTTCTCCCATGATAAGCAACCAGAAATTTTAAGGCGCCAGCCATGCCACAAAGAATATGTTCGATTCATCTAATGATCCATCTAATGTCTATTGCCCAAGTCCACCACCAACTCAACCAACTCCCTACGAATACTAGTATTACTAATTGTTGTAATTTTTATTTGCTAAGGTATATTGTTTTAAATTTTATGTACAGTTTTAATTATAGTTTGTATTAGTAATTGTTATCGGAATTTAAATATTTTTAGGTTCAAATGTCCATAAAAATAAATTAGGACATAATTCACATAAATTTTAGTTTTACAAAAGTTACCGGAAAAAAAAAAAGGCTAAAATCATTATTTCATAATCTCGGGCTAAACTTTTAAGCCATAACCATTGGAGAAGGGCAATTTTTTGGGTTATGGCTTAAAATTTTAAGCTTCATCGCCAACCACTGGAGTTGGTCTTAGTGGAAAGGAAGCAAACTCACCTATGGTAAACTTGTGGAACCGTAGCATATCCATAACACCAACATGAGCCAGCGCACAACCAAAAAGATCAGGTCTCTGCAAGAAAGCAAATTTTTTTATTTTATTTTATTTCATTTTCTTTAATCACTCGCAACAGGTTAAATAGTAGACAAAACTCGCCTGATTTATGCAAGCTCCAACGAGCAGTCCACCATTACTTCCACCTTCAATACACAACTTGCTGGGTTGGGTATAACCGGCAGATACAAGGTATTCAGCTGCAGAAATGAAGTCATCAAAGCAATTTTGCTTTTTAGAGAGGGAGCCTGCTTTATGCCATTCCTCACCATACTCTCCACCCCCACGGATATTGGCTATGCAGTAAACAACACCTAAATGCCTTGTAAGTACACTACGACTAACACTGAATGAAGGCGTAATACTAATGTTAAATCCACCATATCCGTATAGCAAGCATGGATGTGATCCATCCAAACTAATGTTCTTTCTGGCCACAACAAACGTTGGTATCTTAGTGCCATCCTTACTGAGAACGAATACCTGGAGAAAGGAAAATCCAATGAATGAAACAGCACTTGAAGGTTCAAACACCAGAGAACTGAAGATATATTAGAACTGATCTAATCACAAAGTAGAATGAACTATTGTAAAATGTTATAACAAAATGAAGATAGATTAGAATGAGTCAGATCAAGTTAGTGACACTAAAATATCAGTGCAACAAGCTTCTACCTGATCAACATGGAACTCTGAGCGTTCAAACCCAGGAACCGTAATTTCGCGAAGTACCTTCAAGTCTGGAATTTCATTGTCTAGATTACACTGATAAATTATACCAGGGGTAAGAAAACTTGTAAACCCAAAAAAAACTGTACTGTCTTCACGTCTTGCCGAAATCTCATTAACCGATCCAATGTCAATCGGTAATTGATGCAGCAAGTTACCTGATTTCAAATCCCTTATCTGTACAACATACTTCACATCACTCAAGTAACTAACAATCATTTGGGTACCATTTACAGCAGAAGCTGATTCAAGCACATCTTTTTCAGATTCTGGGACAACGTCAGTCCAAACAGTTGGTTCCTTCAGATCAACTCGGACCAACTTATATTTTGGAGCATCCTTGTTTGTCAGAAGAGTAAACACAGTTTCATCATTTGCAATGACATGATACTGTGCATCAAATTTATCAATAACCTTGATAACTGGCAGTAAATCGTTTTTCCCCCTTAGACCTTCAAGACCATTAGGAAGTGCAGACATGTCACAGTAATAAAATTTGTTGACTGGGTCGCAACCCTCCTCAACATACAGAAGAATATACTGCAGATTACAAAAAAATAAAAGAAATGTTAGTTAAAAATAATATCACAAGAAATCTGCTCTTTCTAGGCTAGACAAAAATCTGATCTAAACAATTAGACAAACATAAGCAATGCCTTAGACAGCCAAAAGCCAATATTTGTGACTGACACTGCAATTTTGATACATGTTGAGCAGTTCCCCCTTAGGGCAGAGTATTTGATGTATCCTAAAATGTAAACTCCATTCTAATGTAGAATCACAAAAATATGGAGACAAAAATTGACATATCTTCATTTCAAAAACAACACATATTACGACTGCTTCAACAATAAGAAAATGACAGCCATAAAACCCAGCAAGATAATAAATCTACTTACTTTCCCATCATATGTAACATCAGCGTCAAACAAGTATTTAGGATTTTCAGAATCCCTCCAGCATAATATGTCTTCTGATTGATCAGTACCCACAAAATGATAGTATAACTCGTGATAAAGATTTGAGTTGGTCTCTGTCCCAGCATCAATATCTTCTCCTTCTCCTTCTCTTCAGAATAAATGAGCAGGCTAAGTATTTAATTTCACTAATTTACATAGCTTTTGCAATCGAGGAAATTTCAAAATAAATCTAAGATAGCTATCCACTGCCATAGTCTCTGTAACATCATATCTACATTGCTATACTCACATCCCAAACTTAAGCACAGCAGAGCCTTGCAATTGCCAAACCATCTATAGATCCTCACCAAATAAGTAAAGCAACAATTTATACACCACTTCTGTCCTTTTCTTTTAACTTTTAGTCATTAATTTTTTACAACTGAAGTTTCAAACTAACAACCATTCTGATTATATAACCGCATAAAAATCCACATGTCACACTTTAAAGTAAAGATACAGAATGCTTCTTACTTTGGAGCTGGATAGCGGCTGTAGAAAAACCCTTTATGATCATGTGTCCAGCGAATACCCGAAAACTTGACCTGGAAACCAACGTTGACAAAAAATCGTACACTCAGAACGACAAATAGTCTCACTGATAACACTCGTTTCTAATTACATCAAAACAAGGAAAACTCAGCACTTACCCATGATATAGTTTCAGGCTCGACCGCCTTATCCTCAACCCGCATCACTTTAATCGTTGCCCAGTCACTGCCACTTGAACTAAGGGCATAGGCCAAGTACTTGGCGTCCTCACTAATTGAATAAGTGTTCAAAGAAACAGTCCCATCTTCGCTAAGCGTATTTGGATCAAGCAACACCTCTGCTTTTCCATCCAAACTATCCTAAAACCACAAATTAGAGAAACAGGCAAATATATCGAATGGATGAAAGCATATGCAGTTGGTAATCAAATTCTGAGGCAAAGGGAATACCTGCACGTAGAGGACACTTTGGGCTTGAAGCCCAGTGTTGTGGGTGTAGAAGTACTTGTTCCCTCGCTTAAGAGGTGGATCATAACGCGGGTGATCGAAAAGCTGGGTGATCTTTTCCCCAAGCTGGCCTCTCGTATCGCATTCCTTCAGAACCGACTGCGTCAATTCTACTTGTTTCTGTACGAACTCTTTCGTCTCTTCGGAGTCAGGATCTTCAAGCCTAAACGATGAAAGAAAACCCCAAAATTCAATCAAATTCTTTGAAAACAAAAAATCGGCGATTAAAATCTTCAACCCTACTAAAGTGGAGTTGCTTGTATTACCATCTGTAAGGATCGGCGACCTTGACGCCGTTATAGTCGTCGACGACGGACTCGTCTCGGCGGGCGGTAGGGTAGTGCAAGGGGACGTCTAGGGCACGGAGGGAACCCATTGCGTTCGTGTTTCTAGGTTTTGGGAGAGAGGAGGAGGAGGAGGGGAGAGAGCAAATTGGAAATGGAATTGATTTGAGAACTGATGATGTGTGTATGAAAAGGGAAGGTGGGTAATGGGGATTGCGTACAAAGGCAGTGGCATGTCGAGCGTATGACAACATGGCTTGCGCCCAACGCTTTACGCTTTTGGTTTGTAGCCCAGAATATTTGGGCTAAAATAAAGCATCGAAGCTCTCCAGAAAAAAAATAAAGCATCGAATCTCATGACACTCATATTTGTGGTTCGATGGTTAATTCCAATTAAAAAATGTGAAAGATAATTAATACGATAACTTATTTTAAGTTGTATCATTTTATGAGAGCACACATGATAAAAGAAATTTCAACCCTAACACTTGTCTTAGTATTAGTTGCTCAGATTTTTATCCAAGAAATGAACCAGGGCCCAACAATTGTTATTTGTAAGGATGAGATGGCCATAGAATCATAATCATAACACACTGATTCCATGAACAAATCTTAATTAACATATGGTGATAGTAAGTGTGATGTTGCACAAGTACAAGATTATTAATTAAAGATAGTGTTATACGCATCTTATTTGGACTTTCCATACATTTTTTGTTAATTTATGTATAGATAACATCATCATTAATTAACCTCAACGTCAATAGTTTTCCTTAAACAACGGATGAAGCACGTCCACATCCACATTCATCTCATAATTCCCTAAACAAGATTTCCTTAAACAAAATCTGTACTTTCGTATCTATTCCTATGCATGACCAATTATGTGTAGATATTAGATGCGCACATAGAATATGCAGAGATCAACACATTCATTTATTTTTGCTTTTTTTCGAAACCAATATGGACTCTAGTTATTTTGAGGCTTGGTAAGTCAATTTTTCAACCATCGTTGTACTTTTCCAGATTGTCTAGATTTTATCCATGTTGAGTGCTGTCGTTTTTGAAGTTTAGATGCATCTGTGTTCGAATTGGCTATCCTTTCCAGTTAGGGGTCTAGGCATGAGATAGCTAAGTTATGCTTGATGTTCATTTCTCGATTTGATCTGATTTATTACCATATGTATGTTGACATCATTTTACTAGTCTCCTCAGAGTGGGAAATCTTGTTTAGGCAAAGTCATTTACCGTCTCATAGTTGCTGATCGGTTGTCCCCAGAACGCCTTCTTGATTACTTGGACCTCTCATCGGAATACACCACTCTTGAAATAGCAAACAGGATTGTGGCTGTCGTGCACATTTGGAAGCAAAAGCACGCAAAACCCTGCAAAGTCATCCTGGGGTGCAAAGTTCAAGGGCTTTGTCAATTACATAGAAAAGAGTAAGCTTCTCGCGTATAGGGCAGATACCCTCTTACAGAATCTGAAAATATGGTTCCCTGGCCTCCCACAGACCGCTCTGGACATGAACAAGATTCAGTACAACAAGGTATGCGCCTAACAAATTTTATCATCTTTGCTCGAATACAAGTGAGCACATTTTCTCGTCAGTCACAAGCATGAACAAAAATATTGAAACTGGAAGATTACTAATTCAATGTTATGCATGAGGAGTCTTAGTTTGAAAAAAAATGCATGTTGTTGTCTTGTATTGTTGTTCTCTAGTCGGAAAATTATGCTGTGAATTTTATGTTCTAATCGGAAGAACTTAATTTTCTGCGTGCTGCAGGATGTGGGGCAATCGATCCTTGAGAGCTACTCTAGGGTGATGGAAAGCATAGCCTTCAACATAATGGCAAGGATAGATGATCTACTATATGTAGATGGTAGCACCAAACAGCAGGCAGCTGCGGAGTCTACGTCTCTGTATGACCAGGGAAGGATTGGTGGCACATTGCCAAAACAGAAGCGGATATCACCCAGTCCCTTCCTCAATTCATCGTACCTCTTCCATTATATTATCAGCATTGGATCCTCTTGTGAATCAGATAGGTAGAAGCCCCGGTGGAATGACATATAATAAACCAACAAAGAAGAGTAATTTTAACGACACGCTGGATGACAAGTTACAAAAAGTAACCTTTTGATGAAGTTGAAATAGTAAGCTGACCAGCTTCTCTGTCATATGTAGCCAATAAGGTTAGTATATGATATGCCGTGTTTTATTACTCTATGATCCAGTAACATAGTCAGAGAATCCAATGCTTAACTAACTAATGCAATCACGATGACCGATAAATGCCATGTCCAAGTGATACCGTACAATCTGCTTCAAAACTTGTTTATACAAATGCACGGACAAACAAAACTTAATTATTTAGTCCAAAAAATAAAAAAAAATACACACACGCACACGTTGCCAAAGAGAGTCGATGTCTTCGAATGAAGAAACAACCTGTCAAAGAACCTGATTTTATTCTGCACAAATTATTATGCGTTCAAGGAGGTCCAAATCTATAATATGAAGCCCAAACAAGCCCATTTGCATTTTTTCTGTACTTGAGCTAATGGGCTCATTTGTATTCTTCATATGATGTTAGACTTTTTAATTTAAGATCCCTTGATAACTTATTTCTTTTTGGATAATGTTTGTGTCCATTGTCAAGGAGACATCATAATCGAAGCTGTTAATTCTCTTTATGATCAACTAAAAATTATATCTGTAAAAATCAATTAATTTGGAGATCGTTTAATCATCTATGCATGTTACATTAATCAACAGTTTTGTTAACAAATGACATCATCATGATGAATCTTCCGTTTGTTTTATGCATATAAACAGCTAAAAGATCTCCAAATTGAATATTGAATGATTCCGATTATGATGATTGGACAGTAAAGATTTGTTAGTTGTTTTTTAGTTTTCAAGAATAGAGATAGAGGTAAAGTTCATGAGAAAAATAAAGAATGGACAAGGATGAAGAGAGGGTTAGGACCGTAGGAGGAATGAGGATGAGGGGGAACTGGAGAAGTGAAGTATATAATATCAAAATAATTAAAACTTCAAATTTTTTTCATCTTTTGATTATGTTCATTTTGTGTCGATACATGTACATTCATTTTATATCCGTTCCACCGTTCTTCTTTGACCCTTTCATTTTCCTTTAAACCCGCATACTTTTTTATAGACTATAAATATGATACAAAAAATAAAATTTTAAAACTAAAATTGAATGGTTATCAAATTATTCCCCAATTAATATATACATTTTACACGATAATAAAATATACAATCTAAAAAGGAGAAATTAGGTTCTCATCCCTCTCTTTGCTACTCCATTGATTAAAACCCTATTCCTTTTCAATTTTTGATCAAGATCATTGAGTATTAATAACATCATTAGTTATTTCAATAATAAAATATTTTTTTATTTTTAAATATATTCCCTTAGTGTTAAAAATGTTACAATTAGTATATTCTATTGTAGGCATAATTTACTGAACAATTATGGAGGCCATAGAGAGAGAGAAAGGTGCAGCAATAGTAGAGAGAAAAGAGAGATGTGTAATTGTGGGTGTGTGTTATTCCACCCCATTGTGCCTTTATTTATAGTAGTAAGGAAGCTTAATTCCTTACCCTTTAGGATTACAACATTTAATAGGTAATCCACTCCTAATAGGAATATAAGATACATTCTCATATCTACTAGGATTTACACAATCACATTCCAATTCCAATAGGACTGCAACACTCCCCTTTGAGTGCGTAAATACTCAAGTAAATGGCGCATCAAGTATTCAGTGATGAAGCAAGTACAGTTGATGAAGTCGTCGACACAATGAACGAATGCGAGTCTCAAATCAACGGAAGAATTCATAAAAAGTAAAACTCACAAAACCTCACCATGGTAAAACCCAAGGTGAGATAAAACCCATAGACTAAGGAGAAAAGTGAGAAGTTGCATTAAGTCAAAACTATATGCCTTTTGGACGCAAGTAGAATATCTCACGAGGGTATGATCAGCCTAGGATGGGTGCCTTGTTAAAACCTAGTTAGGTAGCAAAAACCCAGTGGGAAAAATGCTCATAATCGTAGGGAAAAAAAGTACATTAAGATCAAGTGAGTATACTTCTGGATACTCCCCCTGAGTTTAACATAACTCCCAAATGAGAACTACAAGCATTGCATATGAATAGTTAGACATACCAATTCCTCGGACAAGCTTCTGGAAGGTTGACTTCGGCAATGACGTCGTGTAGAAGTCGGCAAGGTTGTCTGGGATCGGCTTGCATGACTTCAATCTCCTAATACTTTGCTGATGTAGATGTAGACGTAATATGTCTTGCCGTTGACTTCGTTGATGTATCATGTCTTGGTCGGGTTAATACATGCAGCATAGCCTTCATGGATCATCGTTGGGACTCAACGATGGATGAAAACACAGCAAGTACTTCAAATATGCTCAACAAGAACTTCTAACCATGTCTCACTTGTGGCGTAGTGAAGTGAGGTGAATCTTAGAACGATTCGAAGATTTTGCAACTAAGGTCATATCGTGGACCTCCAAGATATTGCGATATCCCTAACGGTAAAGACATAACCATTTGGAGATTTTGCCTTGTGCGGGTTTGATAAGTAACCAACGTTAACATAACAAACAAAGCAAGCATCTTTCTGAGGATCAGGGGGTTGGATCCGCTCGAGATGCATTGGGATTTGCCCTCGCAGTACCTTCAGGGTACGTCTTTAATACCAATTCAGTGGTTGCGTATAGGCGCGGTGCTGCATCTTTTACCAAGATCAACAGCGAAATAGATATCCTGTCTAAATACAATGAGCTAAGTACAACGAAGCACAAAGTTGAACTCAGATATGGAATTTCATATTCCATAACCTCTTCAAGGGTCTCATTTGCATATAACGTATAGACGATCAAATGTATACTTAAAGGTAACACATTCGGGATGTAGTTCGACTGGTAAACCAAAATACATTCAGAACAATGCTTCAACTTCAGGTTAAGGTATAAACGAGTTTTCCCAAGATCCTTCATCTCAAATTCCATCTTCAGGTGCATTGCAATTTTCTCAAACTCTTCTGGAGTCTTAGTGAGATTCGTGTCAACGACATAAACTATAACTCTAGCAATTTGGAATAAGACTTCATAGTTTAACACGTAAGGCCATAATTCATATATCTGACTGATCAAATAATCACTTAGACGGGTATACCACATCCGTCGAATTGTAAGTGAACGCCTCAAACAAGTTAAGAGGGTGTTCCGTGGTTTTGAAACTATTTGAAACAGTCTATGTAATTCCTCGAGAACTTACATGTAAATCTTCGTATTTATACCCCCATGGAGAAAACACTAACCACGTTTCATAATGCTGCTATCAATCACAGGACGTTTGAGAGAAACCTTGCGCAATAAGGAGTGCATCATATCGCACTATTTCATTCATCTCATAACGCTTACGTTCCCATTTGTAACTCAACAGGGTTATCTTGGACATTGTAGGAATGACAGGTCCAATATACACTTTGGTAAGGAATTTGACCTAGATTGTAACTTTAGTTGTCCAATCAGTTATAAGTTGTCACTTAATAAACGGAACACAGTTCGATATCGTCGTTTTTCATTTATGTTGGTAGCTACCATATAAGTGAAAACATCATCAATGATAATCTCATTTCAATTCCATTTAGCTCATCCAAACTAGTATACTGGACCAAGAACTTTAAGTCTTGGGAGAAATCCGGATTAATGTTATGAGATTGCAATGATTTAAGACAGCGATCGAGTTTAGATTCATTTTGTGCCATGCCTTCCTCTTCTAGGAAAGTGAATCCTACGAACCAAGTGATATGTTGTGCTCCAGGCCAAGACAGATTGATTGGCTATTCGCTGGTGTACCGAACCGTCCAATAGGGGAGTCCAAACCGTCCAACAAGGGCAGCACACCCTCTAGGGATGTTGACTTGCCAAAAAAATAGCATTGGGTCGAAAAGGAATGCAGCCCAACACACTTTGGTTGGCTGCAATACACGGCCCTGCAAAAATTACAGGCCTTGGGTTACATAACACGGCTGCACAACAGCCCAATTGGATTGCAGATCAGCAGGCCAGGAGACAGAGCCCATCAGTATAAGGGCTGTAGGAAGTGTGGCATAAGGCGTAAGCAAAAGCCCAGCCTGGGCTGGCTTTTGGGTCAGAGGTCGCGGGCCCGAAGCCCAACATAAAGGAACCGAGTAAGTCGGGCCTGGTCCAATACGCGAGTAGCAAGCCCAGTCAGCTTCTGGTTGATGGAATGTGGGGCGAGACAAAAGGTAAGGCTTATCAAGCATCAGGCTTACGATAGTGGGCCAGGCAGGCTCAAAACCCAGGTTAGAGGCATGGTCAACGCATGCAACAAAGCCCAAAGGGCTGTTACCTTATAGTTCCAGCGCCCAAGGCTCGAGCTGCAGGCTTGGCTTGGGGTGAGCTTGGTGTGACGGCACGCGGCCTGACCGTAAATTGTTTTTTTTTTTTTCTTTTTTTCTTTCGACATATTTAGGGTTTGACAAACCCTATATTGCTTCTAATTTATTCATATTCTTTGACTCACAAATTCCACATAGCATAATTATGTAATGCATGAAACAAATATATATACATATTGATAAATATATGAAACATATACAATATATATATCGGAAACTAAATATAAATGTAGGGGGTTTATGCATCATGGGGAATGTTTTCATGCTTCATGGTCGTTTCAAATATCTTACTTTATTTTAAGCGTACCTGATTGGCAGAAAACGATAAAAGCCTTTGAATTTGTTGAAGATCCTTCTTGAAAAGCCGGAATTGCTTCTCTAATGCGTTGTATCACGTTCAACAAAGAAAAATTAAATTGAATAAATAACATGTAGATCAATTCAAAATAATAAATTAATTAATCAGGAAAAGGATGATTAAAACATAATACTCCCCTGATTGAAGAATAAACTCTCTTTAGTGTAGTGTCAAGAGCATGCTGATAACGTCTTGTAGGCATAATTTACTGAAC